AGCGAGGCGCTAGCGCGCACGACCTGTATTTAGTTCCCAGCTCTCTCGAGCTCTCCTTCTTTCCTCGTCTTTTGTCCTAAGAATAGAGTGTTAATTGTTCTGAGTTCTACCTGAATGTAACAGATTTGATTCAGTGAATTCGAGGCTTGGTGTCGGGTAGATTTCGGGAAACAAGGCACTGTAGATAGATAAGTAGCACTTCTGCTTGGAGAACTCTTCTCTCCTCGCAGACAATCTAATCATACTCTTCTCTCCTCGCAGACAATCTAATCATACACCCTGACACTGAAGCACGTCTGTCACATTAGGTTTGGATATTAGTAGTTCTAATTAGAATAAAGCTAATAATTAATAACTTACAATTTATAATTAATAATAGCAATAGACTTTAGGTATAGAAAGTATATTTTAAAATTATAATATAACTTTTTAAATATAACTTAATAAATAGTAGATTAATTTAAATAAGAGTTAAATAGAGAATTAGGAAAAAAATCGCCTTTATTAATAAAGGAGATATTTATTTACTAGTATAAGAATTATGATTTAACCTATTTTAGGAATTTCAGGGTCTTTGAGATATAGAGTACTTTTACTAGGGTTAGAGGTAGCCCGAGTATCTTCTAGGTACATAAAGTAATACGAGTTCTAGCCTATATAACGGCTATAAGAGTCTCCCTGGAGGCTCTTATACTAAGATTATTATAAAACCTATTCGACTATAGTTACTTAGTAATTTACTATACTTTAAAAGGCTATAATAAAGGTACGGAAGATTAAAGCTAAATACTAAGTTTAGAATACTCTTAATATATAAAATAGACCTTTAAATAAAGTTGAAGATTTACTACTAGGATTAGAAGTCTAGGTATAGTATAAGAATAAGAAGTAGTAAGAACTATATATATTATAAGGATAAGAAGGTAAAGATATTACTATTAAGATTAATAATTAATTAATTAAGTTTTAAAGTATAGTTATTAAACCTTATTACTTTAATAAAGATATATCTAACTTATTTAATCTACTACTTAATATTAAACTAACTAATATTATAACTTATCTAGATACTAAGGATATACTACTTATAGCTAATAAACAAATAGTACTACCTAAGAGTTAAATCTAGCTAAAGTATAGTTATAGTTATTTATAAAAGTATACTATAATTTATTACTTAAAAGTAACTATAACTTAGAACTCGAAGGATAGTAATATATTCTACTTATATCTTATAGATTATAGTACTATTTATACTACTTTTAATAACTCTTATAAGATTAAAATAATTAGATTAATAAAGAATAAAGTATATAGAATTATTTCTTTTAATAATCTACTAAAAAACGCTTATATATTTAGTTCTAGATTTATTAATACTATTAAAAATAAGAGAACTTCTACTATATTCGAGAAGTCTAGACTAGTTATTAAAGCTTTTAATAATAATAATAATAAGAAGAAGATAGTCCTAACTTAATCTTTAATAATTTAGTATATTAGCATTAGATTAATTATTACTCTTATAGTAATCCTATTATACGCTAAGAACGAACCTTTAAAGTCATAGCTCTACAATATAGTTTAAGTATATACTTAATTAAAAACTATACTTAATTAACTATTCTTTATATAAGGACTAAAAGGATTACTAAAGTAGGAGAATATATACTTCGAGATCTTAAAGCTACTATATAGTATTCTAGAATTAGGTAACTACTAGTATAATACTTATCTTAAACACTCTATAGAAATACTATATATAAAGTAATCTACGTATAACTCCTACTTATTATATATAAATTATAAAAGAATATTTAAGATAGGTAGATTATTAACTAATAATACTCTTATACTTAGTAATACTATATTTATAGATAAGAAGTAAGAAGAATCTAAAGTATTTAAGTTAAAATTAATTAAGTAATTAACTATTAAAAAACCCTTTAAATTTAATAGTATAAATATTAATTTAGATAAGAATAGTTTAATTATACTTACTTATAACTTTACTTCTTATATTAAACTTATTAAGAATAAGCTAATTAATCTTACAAGTATAAAAGAATTAGTTTATTAACTAGAGGCTATATTTAATCTAAATATTACTACATAATTAATAAATTATAAAAAGAGAGAAATTTAAGTACTAAATAAGTAAATTTAATAGTTAATTAATAATCTAAAGAGAGAACTTAAATATATCCCTCTAAATTATAATTTACTCTAACTTATTTTATTTATTAATATCTTATTTATAACTTAATAAACCTATTTTCTTAGATTAGATATATTTTATACTTAGTAGATAAGAATAATAATACTATAATTTTATACTGGAGTTTTATAAAGTATAAATAAGTTATATAAAGTATTTTAACTTCTAAGTTATATACTCTAAGTAAAGGTTTTAATATAGTAAGAGTTATTAAATTAACTTTAGATACTATCCTAGGTTATAAGCTTAAACTTACTATTTATACTAATTCTAAATTAATCTATAATTAGTTAACTAAACTTAGTTCTACTAAAGAGAAGTAATTAATAATTAATATAATAGTACTTTAATAAATATATAAATAATAAGAGATCTATACTATTATATAGATTTAAAAAGATTCTAATCTTATAGATTTAATAACTAAATTAAAGCTTTACTAAGTACTTACTAAATTAATTAAATCTAATAAGATTAAGATTAATATATAAAAGTAGATTAAATATAAAGAGATTAGAATAAGGAAGAAGGATATTAAATAGGTTCTTTAGAAGAATATTATAGAGTTTCTTTTTTTTTAAAATAGGGTTTTATTTTATATTATTTAAGGAACTAGGAATAGCTAGTTATTTAGCTTGTATATTACTAAGTATAGCCTTCTTTATCTTTCAAAGTTAGCCTAGTATTAGTATAAGTAAATACTACTTAAGGCTACTTACGTACTATACTTAGTACTCAGTATTACTATATAATAGTAATAGTACTTATAATATCTTTACTCGGTATATATAACTAATAGTCTTTATAATATAATATATTCGATACTAAACTATTAGCTTTATATTAATACTTTCCTTATTTATCTTTCGGCTCTATTAACTTAGAATTAAACTAATAATAACTAACCTATAAAGTAGATATATAGGCTATAACTAGAGTACTTTTTATAACCTCGACCTAAAACCCTATCTTATTTATATTATATAAATTATAAAAGTAGATATTATATTTATTAATTACCTTAAATAACCTATTAAAATACCTTTAGATATTCTCTTAAGTTAAAGCGTTCTATTTCTATATATCTATTAGAATTATACTAAGTAACTTAAAATAACTATCTTTAATTATACGTTTTATTTATTAATTCGCTTAATTACTACCTACTTTATTACTTTTACTAATTAAGCGTAAAATAGCTAAAGTAGCTTACGTAATTAGTAGATAACTTAGTAGATATCTACTCTCTTCTATAGTAAAATAGTACCTAATAAGTGTAGCTTATATAGTATTTAATAAATAATTCTTTCTACTATAATTTACTATTATACTACGCTCTAACTTTTAATATTCGAGGGTTCTAATTAGTATACTATATACGCTAGTAGCGATTAGAATAGTAGTAATATCTATATTTACTAGGTCTTAATATATACGAATAGCTTTAGCTATTTACTTTTTATTTACTAAGTAGGCGGTTATTTAGTATTTAGAAACCTTTCGAAGTTATTTAACAAGTACTTTTTTACTCTCTTACTATATAAGAACTTTTTTTAAGCGTACTATTTTAAATAAACGTTATAGAGTATTAAGGTATTATAGAATTAAAGTTATATTTAATAATACGTTTTAGCTATATTTAGATATAGAGTACGTATATTACTCCCTTAGTACTCTATTAAAATTTTAACCTACTATTTATATATTAACTTACGTTAATAATAACCTATAATATTAATTAATGTTAATTATTATATAACTTCGGCTAGTTATTATAAGTATTTATCTATTAAAATCACCCGAAAATAGTATATTATTATTTTAATATTAGTTTATAGGATTAAATCTAGGACCGCCGGCTTAGTATCGCTAACCCTTCTAGCGGGAGGGTAAAGAGGTCGAAAAAAAAATTAATCTAAAAATGCTAAATCTTCTGATTGGTCCACTGAACGCTTAATAATCACACCTCACTATAAGGACTTATTTATTATTTACTCTGAAGCCAACAAGTATACGAATATTTTAGAACAATTGTTACTTTTCAATTCTTATTGTACTAGTTGAAATAATACAATTAAGTTACTTGTGCCAGAGGTTTAATATAATAACTTTTGATAGCGTGTACAGAGCAATGCTCGCCTCTCTTACCGAGTATCGTTTGAAGATCTCCATGCCTTGTGGATTCGATGGCAATGGATGCGATGTCACTTCCAGGGCTGAATATTCCGAATCCCGCTGTTTCTAACCCCTCGTTTGGTTTCAGGGGTACTGAGGTGATTGGTGAGAGGCGTAAGGGTGATATTCGGTCGCATGGCAACGACCCTCCCATGGCGATGACGATTGGATGATGGAGCCCAACCTCCTCATTTTGGCCAACGCAGCATCGCCAGTGACCAGTCAGTATCTCCAGCACAACTTTATGCTCGAATACTCCGTACCCCCCCTCCCACACATTCAGAATGGGGCCCATCCGTTGCCGTTGCCGTTGCCCCAGTACTCCGTAGGTCTTGGATTCTTGGTGGTGGGAATCTCTGCCAGTCATACTACTTCATACTGGCAGTACTGTACCCCACCCCGCCCTGACTGATTACCGTCCTGCGTTCTGCGTACCCAGGTTTCCTCCCCCTCCCACTCCCTCGTACCTACATACTACTTCGTAGCAACCTACATATCCATACCCACACCCTATACCAGCTTCAATTCACTTCTCAAACTGCCTGCCCCTACCCCGTACCCCCTTACACNTCCCACTCCCTCGTACCTACATACTACTTCGTAGCAACCTACATATCCATACCCACACCCTATACCAGCTTCAATTCACTTCTCAAACTGCCTGCCCCTACCCCGTACCCCCTTACACCCCCCTCCATTCACAACCCTTCTGTATGCATAGCATAGTATCGCATAGCATAGTATCGCATAGCATAGTATCGCATAGCGCAAAGCATTGCGCGTGACCTGAATTCGGCACAACAGCTAGTTGCGGCTGTCATGTCCCTCTTCACGGTCGAGAATCACATACAATTCTCTCTGATATCCCTCAATATCGCACCTAGCACGGCCATTGCAATCGTGGTTCTTGCGCTCGCATACTTCTATATCCTTCGCATACGAAATAACTCCATTCGACATTATCCAGGGCAGCAGCAGTTGCCTCAACAACAAGCAACGGTTGTTCATGACTACAACGTTAAGCAAGCGCGAACCGTGGCAAGACAAGTACGAGATCACCACAATGTCGGTCACACTGTCAGAACTCGAGGAGCAGTTCAACGAACATCCTTCCTTGGACGAATCACTGGGAGACTTCGATCGCCTCGAAAACAAAAACAACTTCCACCCCCGGAGCCCCAGCATCGGCTACCCGTCGCATCACTCTGGCTTCCGCTCAGAAACCAGCTCGGAAATGGGGGACTCATCCCTTTCTGGAGGCAGATTCAGTCCCCCCGCGTGGAGAAGGGACGGAAACGGCAATCGAAGCAGCGGCTTCTGGAATCGAGGGCAGAGTAGATTGGGCTTGGGAGGGGGAGACTCAAGAGATGGCACACCCGAATGTGAGAGTGGGGATGAGAGAGATCGGACTTTGGAGGCTGCGGCGCGAGTAAGACTGCCGACGGGCTCCTTGTCACCAGAGAAACAAAGAAGTCCGAGTCCTGCCCCAAATGGTTATCCAAAAACTAGTGTCGATTTTACAGACTTTGCGAATGGTGGAAAGGCGTATGGAACTGGAGTTATCAAACAAGAAGATGACGATGCGCCAGCAAATCCAAACAATTGTATGGGAAAGTATACCTTGTTTAGTAATACAGACATTAATTCATTGGTAGATATCCGCTTTGCCATGAAAGCGGAAGTTCAACACCGAACTGAGCCATTCGAGGTTTCTTTTAACTATATGAAGAGCCGATTCAACATGGTCACTCGCTCCAAGACATCCCTTTTTATTTCTGCCCTTGTTGGCCTGTTTGCGATATTGGGGTTTAGATCCCTCTTTCAGCCAGCGCCTCTGCCTCCTGTACCGGACTTGGTCAAGGTCGCCGGGCTTGCAAAATCTTTCGAGCCTCTGATTTTCTATTCCGAAAATGGTGTTCAACAAATTGGGGACTTGCAAGCGACCGGTACTGCCGTTTGGGATCTTGGCGAAAGTGTTCGTTCAACGAACATGACCTCAGGTCCTATCATTGTCAAATCACTGGATGACCTCGGTGAGAGTCTCAAGACTTTAGCGCTGGAGTTGACTAGATTCTTTGCAAATGTCGATGGCGACGTGGACGGGTATGTAGTTGATTTTCATAAAATTAAAGTACGAGTTTCTACTAACAAGTCACAGGATTTTGATTGTCATGGACTGGGCAAAACGTGAACTATCACAACTACAATCCAACTCACCCTCTGCACTTACATCAGCATTTGACAACATCCACTCTCTGTTTTCCCGATCGGGTCTCTTGGAAAATGAAGAAGGCGATCCAACTCCTGTAGGGGAATTTGCAACCCTTCTCTTTGGCCTCACCTCTCCACAACGAACTCGGCAAACTCTCCAACGCACCTTTACAGAATTTCTCGGTGTCTTGGAAGACTCCATTCAGTCAGAATTGCAACACTCTTTGGCTCTCTTTGCTCTCTTCGAGGCCATTGATAAACAGTTTTTGAACCTGGCACGTACAGTTGTCCGTGAGTCTAGTGCTCAGGAGTCCACACACGATGACATGCTCTCCTCCCTCTGGACCAAAATTCTTGGTCCTAATGCAAGCACGATCCAAAAATTTGAGAAGAACAAAAGACTTCTTTCAAACATCCGCGCCAAAACCGTACAAAACAAATCCGTCCTCCTCGAACACAATGGAAAGCTTTTGACCCTGAAAGCAAACCTCGAGACTTTGCGACGAAAATTGGTCAGTCCTTTAGTACGCGCTAATGGGAGTACTCTCGGCGTGGACGAGCAGATCCGAGGCTTGGAAGAGGTGAGCAATCATCTTAGTGGTGTACGGGAAAAGCAGAAGGGCAAGTTGATGGAGATGCTTTACGGAAGTGGAAGCAATTCTGGACGACGAATTGCAGGGGCTGACTTACCGAGAATTGAGGAGTATTGATCTACAAAATCTTCGATCTTCTTTTCCATGTCTCTCCGTGGTTGCTTTTTTGAGGAAGGTGTTTTGTATAAAGTTTATGTGGCAACCTTGGTTTGTGGGTATCTGGATGGCCGGTGTTATTAGGGGAGTTGAGTAGATTAACGTCACGGATTTTCTGATATTTTCTTATTAGGCTTGGTCTTTGGATGGATGGTCACTGTGTTGGGGTTTATGGGTGGATTCATGCATCTGCATTAGGGCGTTTTGTGCCTTTCACTGTTGGTGTTGGTGTGGTAGGTTATGTTACTAGGGGTTTTCCAGGCCAGGTCAATCTCAGGTCCCTTGCTATAGTAGAAGAGGCCGAGACTAGCCAATTCAAAAACACAATACGAATCCTTGTCGTTTCACGTGAAGCTGTCATGTTGTGATTGCTCTTTGTCTATTCAGGATTAGCGAATTGTCTTGGTTATTAAGCGAAAATGATGTTTTGTTCCAGTGTTCGTCTGGGTGAGGATTAGTCTCGAGTCCACACATATAATATTCTATTAAAGCTTTTCTTGTGCAATGAATGGCCCTCGTGAGATTAGAGAGAGTTAAATTTGTATAGAGTATTAATGCTGTGAAGCTACTTAATCATCTGACTTCTACCAACTCCATAACTATGAACTTGAATTTATCCGAGCCTAAGAATCGCAAAGCTAAATAAGACTCTCACATATGGAACTGCGGAAAATGGCTAGACAACTTCGAGAAACTACAATGAGATTAGTACCACAACAACAACAAACCTGTCAAAACAGCCGAAGCATAAACTTACTTCATAGAATGAGAATGACTACCCTGCTGCTCCCTAGCAGAAACACCCTCGAACAACTCCCCCCGTCTCCTTACCGCTTCCCACCCCCGATTCCCCTTCTTCGCATCCTCCTCCGCCTCCCTCAACCACGCATCCCACTCAGGCGTATCCGGCGCCGCGCCCATCCTCCTCACCCAATCCACCCGCCCCGTCTCCCGGATAGCATACCACATCGACCGCGTAAAACAAGCGACCCCCTCTTTCCCACCCCCAGTACTCACATGCGCATTCTGAGCATCCCCCGGCGTCCTCTCCTCCACGACGTAGATCCCCAGGTCCCAGAAGCGCTTCTTGTTCGCGAGGGAGATGAGCCAGAAGAGGCCGTTGAGGAGCATGTACGAGCCCCCGATCGCGGCTTGCATGGGGAAATCACAATTACCCAGGAGCGCGACGGAGAGCATGAAGAGGAAGGTGCCGGTGCCGACTAGGAGACGGTGTGTTGATGTTGAGACGGCGTAGTGGCATTCTTCGGTCCCTGTGTAGAGTTCCCGCGCGATGTTCTCGTTGCAGTGGATTATTAGGATGGCGCCTTCGCGCGTGCGGATTGCGACGTCGCCTGCTGGGACGTAGCCGTGGAAGGGGCGGCGTTTGAGGATGGGGGTCCACCATGAGGCGTAGCTGATTGTGGAGGTGGAGAGGGAGATGGTGGTTAGTGCTATGCAGGCGGTGCCGTCGCGGATGAGTGCTGCGAGGATGAGCAGGCCGATGGTGAGGAGGCACGAGGCGATGGAGAGGATGTTGAGGGGGGAGAAGGTTCTTGTGGGGATGTGGGGGAGGGGTTTGGAGAAGGTGTTGGTTATTGCTCGTTGGACTTGTTTTAGTGTGGACTCGCTTCTCTTTATCTTGACTCTTTGGGCTTCCACTGCGTCGGGTAGTTCCCCCTCGCTTAGGGCTTCCTTCGACTCTTTTGGCGATGTCCTTCTTGTGACGGGGGGACTTTCATCTTTATGTTTGATGGAGTAGACCTTGAAACCGAGTGCGGGCTGTTCATCAAGGGGATGAATGATATTCGGAAAGAAGTTTAAGTGCCTACTGATGTGCCGTTCATGATCCCCGCGATAGCACAGGGGAGTTCGGGCATTCGAGTTGGTCGGCTGGCTTTGAGGAGGGCTTGGGGCGCGGGCATAATGCGAGGGAGGATGCATGTCCAGGAGCTGGTCATGGGCTGGATGTGGGATTCCATGGCGCCTTCGCCGATGACTGCGAGGAGGGAGACGATGTCGAGGCTCCATCCTTCGCGTCCTGCTCGTTGGGTTGAGAACCAGGACATGTTTTTTGGTGGATAGTCGAGGTCGGTGAGATTTGGAATTGTAGGGTTACTGAGCAAGTATAAATGGGGTTGAAGATACCAGCAGCTAGTTGGGTTGGAAAGTTGTTGATGATGATATGTATTCATGTACATGTGCCTCCTTGCTCATATAGTGATTAACCTGCCTGTGTTGGAAGTCAGCCCCGTCAAGGAGCTGCGAATTCACACCATTTATTGAGATGCTCGATTCCCATTCCCAAAATAACAAACAGCTGGAGTCTCAGTGAAGAGGCCCATAACGATGAAACCAGATGACTGGTGAATACGGTTATTCAACCACTGAAGGGCCATTCATAGGTTCTGGTCAGATGGCTATGTGACGTGTTGATAGAATGAATGAAATGCGATTTGGGTGAAGGGAACATTATGTCTCAAACCAGTCTAAGCGAGACCCAAGTCTGTTCCCTCTGCATGTTTCTCTTTCAGCTTGAAGCGAAGCACTAAGTACTTCCCAAGTTGGCAAGAATTGAAGCGCAAAGAGACTTCATAAAAATAATGAGAAGGCAACACCTTGAAAGATTACAAATCTACATTCGCAGAGATATAAAGTCTTGTTGATCCTCTCGTAATTCATCATGAAATTAAGTAAAGTCCTCTCGACGGCTATCATTATCTCTACTATGAATTATATTACAGTCGTCCCCTCAACTCTCCTTCGTACCTATTCCAAAGATACCCAAGAGGTCAAGAATGCTTTGTAGATGTAGATCCTGTCATCCAGCCAATATACAAGATACTCTATTCTATGCTCGCGCGTTGGAGATGATGGCTGGTGAAACTCAGGTTTCCGCTTTTATCCGATCATGTCGATGTCCAACCATGTTGTCCGTGATATCCAACGTCGTCGAGGTCACGGGACATACACCGCCCGTCTATACTGTAAACAGCGCCGAATTGGGAAAGACCCTGCTACAGCTATCTTGCAGTAGACGAGGACTCTCTCCATCCTGCGCTGAGAGAAAGAAATGCCCTCTAATAATATAAGACATCGATCTGAGCGGCGGCTTGGTGTATGTACGGAATGCACTGCTCGCTGTAACTCTTCTTAACTTTGCTTCTGGCTTGGTGGTGGTCTCGCGAGGATTTGGCGACCGATGTTTCGGAAGCTAACCGAAGACAAATCTTCACAGCTTGTCATCTTGCTTTCGAACCCAAGCCTTTAACTCTTTGTCGTTTTCGTGCTCCTCCACAATCCAGTGGCAGAAGTCCTCCCATTTCTCCTCCCACATGGCCGTGACTTCAGCCTTCAGGTCAGGTTCCATACAACTGTGTTCTAAGCTCCACTTTGCAAGTTGTTTCCACCCAAATAAGCTCATGGATTCCGAGCCAATCATGACTTGGTAGAAATCATGAGAAAGAGAAGATCTACGGTTGTTAGTTCTGTCTGCTATCTATCAAAGCTAGCTAGTTCACCTACCTGTAAAAGGTTGCATTATCGCTATTAATCGTACAAGGCACTTTGTTCGCCAGCAATACCGGAAGGTTGTGGCCCGCAATATTGGGAGTGAGACCCAAGACTTCGTTAGAGATTGGACATGATTCGATAGCAATGCCCTGTTTCTTGAACTTCTCCATAAGATGTGGATGTCTGGCCAAAGCGTAGCCATGTCCTATCCGTTTGGAGCCCAGGAGGATCGCATCGTACAGGTTGCCATCAATTTCGCCGCCAACCTCCAAAGTCTCGCCACAGTGGAATAAGAACGGGAGGTCTAATTTCTCCTCCACGCACTGTCGACGAAAACTGAGGAATTCGGCAATGAAATTACTCAGCTGATTTCCCATTTCCTCGTGACCAACGAGATCGAAACCTGGCTCATTATCAGTTATCCCATCGTATCGTTTGAGATTTCAGTAAGCTTACCGCAAAGTAGGTTGCCATGTTTCTTTTTCAGAGAAATGCAATCATCTAGTTGACTTTTCACTTCCTTCTTGTCAAATGACCGTGGGGTACAGTAAATAACTTTCATGCCCCCAAAATATTGTCTTTTGGCTTTAAGTTCTCTCATTGTCGCGTGGAGTTCTTCCCTAATGATGCCCATGATACCATCGTTGTCGATATTTTCTTTGCCATCATCCGACTTCAGGGTATTCGTTGCCATGAAATTTGGCCGAATCTCAGCATATTGAATATTGTCTGCAACAAAATCTCTAATGCATTCACGTGTGTAATTTCTGTAGGCAGAATCGTATGCAAACAGACCTTTCATCATCTGAGTGCGGTGGTTGAATTTCTCCCAAATACTACTGATCATGAGCGACAAAAATGGGAAACCTCATTGGGGAAATATTGACTTACCCACGACCTGTTTGATTCACTCCATGCGCTTCCTTTTCAGATATCTGCATTTTCCGAATCAACCAGTACTCAGTCCAGGTTGTATCGTTTGGGAGGACTGAAGGCTTCTGAATATTGCGATTCCGATCAAATTTATCCTGAAATTCGCTGTACCGCATCCACGTATTGCTGGTATACCGTGGGCTAAATATGTCCCCCGTACCGACGTATCTTTCACTACCATCCTTCTGCCTTTCATGAGTCGCTGCATGTTCTGTCATCACCATAAATGAAACCCGCGAGTTCTCAAAATTCTCGGGGGCCGTCTTCGTCAGAGGCAAAGTACTTCGAATATACATGGCCGGAATCTTTCTCGCCTGCTTGATCAGAAACTCTGCCGGTAGGCAGGAATTGAAATGTATGTGAAGATGCGCTCCTTTGGGCATTCTCTTCGCCACCTTGAACAGCTTTGACTTGTTAATTTGCTCCACATTCCCTAGAAAGTGCTCCGCCTGAGGTCCCCCCTTAGAATCAGGTGATGAATTCTCAAATGACGTCTCTCGATCATATTTTCTAATATCCCGCACAATCTGAGCGGCTCTCCTCTCAATTTCCAGGGGATTTCTTGAACATTCGGCATCAAAGTCTTGGTCTCTCTCTTCTTTCACAAGTTTCTCCCGGAGGTGGCTGTATTGTTCCGGAGTCATGTTGCTCGTCGGCTTCTGAGATCGCGAAAAGCGAGGTAATATCTGAAGTCGATGCGGATGCTCAGAAATGATTTGATTTTGAGACTTATTCTCAGATGGATCGTCGTCTCCGTTCTTATCAACGGATGAACAAAGAATGCCCATACCCGCAGTCCATACAGCCTTTCCTGGGGTCCACGGTACAGCAATGCCTACACCTGGGAGATAATGGTCTTTGTCTATGTTTGAGTTTGGCGGCACAGAAACCAACACTCATAGCGCAGTTAGGCGTGGCCAAAAGTGTTTCGATGTAGTGGATAAGCTGCTGGCTCGTGGGTCCTGATGGAAGATGTGATGCTGATGCGCTTGCGGGTTGCAGCTCGTGTGCACTCCCTCCTTGTCTTTTCTGCTCAGCCACTTCGCGCTCGTATGTTGATTGGCTGGATATGCCCCCAGCCCTCTGAATATGTGGATATTGGCGGTAAAGGTTTGCCAGATTGGAGGCTTGAACCAGGTGAGGAGAAAGTTACATGAAGCTAGAATTAGGCAGGACTTTTATAGTTGAAAGTATCTGGAAGTGGAGTGGTGATTCGAGATGTAGATGTGATTGTTGTGAGTAGTTTGGACGTTTGTGAATCCCGTCATCTGCACTCACTTCCCAGCTCCTGTTTCTCCGGGTCCATTCATCTGCAGGTTCATTGAATGCACGTGTGAATCACGTGTATATATTCACTTCTTCCCGTCGCTTGGGCAATCATAAGTTGATTCCAGCTATCATTACCCGCTCATGCTCGTACCTTATTACGTGTTGATAAGTCCATTCTCTGGGTACTCTTCGTTAGACTGACTACCTGGGTAGATACCGACAACCTATCCTCTCCCTGCTTAACCGAGTACCACTTACCGCAATCCCCATTCCAAGCGAGGCTGTGAATAACTCTTTTCAATCCCAATAAATCTCGGATCCTAGAAGAGGCTGCATACATGGCAGAGGGAAACAGATCATCAGGCCAGCAGACAAGTCCCACCTTCTGCACAACATTAAAGACTCTTTAGGGACCGAGTAGTCTGGACTTTGCGTGTCAAGCACCCAGCCTTTTTCAGTGGAACACGTGCCCGAAACATGGGAGATACTACGTGGGTTCTGCAAGTTTTGTCATACTGTAAGTTGGTCGGCACGTACTGCAGTTCTATTACCCCGCATCAGCGGGAAGAACCAACGGGCTATATAAGTTGTTGAGAACAAAGGATGGAATGTTGGCTATCCACTTTGTTTTGTAGTAACCCCTGACTCTCGCAAAATCAAATTTGTATACGAAAACGGAACAATATGTTGATAATTGGTAATTGTACGAAGTGGGTGACCGAGATGAAGAGTGCCTGCGAAATGAGAGCATTGTCACAGGAGTAGCCGTACTTGCATTGCCTCATACCATTAGAAATCAAGAAGCTGCAAGAGTCATCGATGAGAGAGGAAATTTACTACGATACTTTAGGCAGCTCGAAATTAGTTAACTTTCCCATACTGTCAAAAAACTTCTCGGTGGTTGAATGTGGCAGTGCAAGAATAAGCCCAACCTACCCTAACGCTGACACGACACGACAAGGGAAATCAAACTTGAATGAAAAATATATGATTGATCTGCTTTATCTTACTGTACTTCAGAGGACAACATTAGTACTATCCCAATAACGCCATTTTTTTTCCAGTCTTGCCACCGCAGTCGCTAGATGCTATCTACCATTCGCTTTTTTGCACATTTCAGACGCCAAGTTCAATCATCAAACTTAATTCCCTTCTTTCCCTCAACGTCAATGAACCCGCCGCGATAACTTCCTCTCTTCTTCTTGTTCTTCTCCTTGGTGAAGCCCTTGCCTTTGGTGACAATGAGATCCTCGTGTGCTTTTTGAGCATAGTCGTATGGGACATATGCGTTGCTTGCCAAGCGCTCGTCAACCTTGATATCCTTGGGAATTCTCGAGAAAGGAACATTTTGCTTCTTGAAGGGCTTTTTTGGCTCAGGGGGCAGCGGTGGGTCAATTTCCATCTTGACAACCTCCGTCTTCGCAGTATCCTTCTTAGCAACCTTCGAGGCCTTCTTGCTCTTCTTTGACTTTTTGTCGACTTCGGAATCACTGGAGGTTGAGGTGTCTGAGGAGCCAGATGCAGAGCTGCTCTTCTTGGAGGTATCGGAGAGGGTAGCGCTGGTATCTGAGCTTTTGGAAGGCTTCTTTTCTTCATCATCATCGGAATCATCATCGGAAGAACTCTCAGAGTCGGATGCAGGCAATGGCGTCTTTTTGGCAAGAGATTGAGTGGAAGAGTCTGAATCACTGCTGTCGGAGTCTGCAGATTCACTGTCTGAGGACGAAGAAGAAGAAGATTCGCTCTTGGCACTTTTTTCTTGAATCACATTCTCTTTCTGATCGGAAGAATCAGAGGAAGATGAAGAGGCGGATTCTGAAGATGATGAAGATGAGTCGCTATCAGAGGGAGAAGCAGCTTTTGTTTTTGCCTTTTTAGTCTTGGGAGCATCGTCATCGGAGCTAGAGTCGGATGCTGATGAGGATTCGCTACTAGATGAAGCTTTGCGCTTGAGGACGTTGGGTTTTGATTTTGGTGTCGGAGATTTGGCAACGGGAACATCCTTCTCATCATCCGCATCACTGTCCGAGCTGCTCGAGGAAGACGAAGAAGACACAGACTTTCGCGATGACTTCTTGGCTGGTGGTGCATCTTCCATTTCGACATCGCTATCAGAACTCTCCGAGCTACTGCTTTCACTGCTGCTACTCTCAGGAGCTTGCACCTTTGCCTTTTTCTTCTCTGCTTTTGTGGACTTCTTAGCCTTGGACGGCGTGACACTGCTCGATTTGTCTTCAGTAGCCTCAAGAGGTGCTGCCTTGACGTCCTTTGCTGCAACCCATTCATCGTAGATCGTGTTTAGTGGGGGTGTATCTGTTGCGCTCGATTCTACTGGAATTCCTCGCTGTTTGCGCTCGGTGAGAAGGGTTCGGCTTGTGCTCGTGAATTCGTATTCAGACAGAAATGAGCCGACCAGATCGAGGAGTTTCGCAGATGGTGTAGGTCGAGAGGCATTCTTGAGAAGCTCATCTGCCAGTTTCTTTTCTTGCTGGCCCTTGCCCTTCGCTTTGCCAGCAGCTTTTGGTTGCCCTGCGCCGCCCGGAAAAAGCCAATCGGCCTGGGGACGAGCCGGGGTTTTTCGCTTCCCCAGCTTTTGATTGTTGGGATTTCCAGACATGATTGAGTTCAATCAATTCTGGTTAGGGGTTGGAGGTTGAAATTGGAGGCTGGAGGTTGGAGGTTGACTGGAGACGTTGCGATGGTCTAGGCGGGAGGGAAATAAAATTTTGGCTTATCGGTTAGGAGATAACGAGCTTTTTCGCGCTAAGCTAAAATTACGTGGCTGTGCAGTGCCGCCAGCCACCAGCCACATATGGCGCATGCATACCTTTTCAATGAAAGGGACGCCTTTTACTGGCATATGAGTTTAACAGAGTTTCTTTAGGAGCTTTGTTCGGCAAGATCAAACGATTGATGATTGAAAAAAGAAGAGTTGTTCATAAAGCAAAAGACCCACCAAAGTGACTCAGTCCAGTTTCTACAAGCTACTAGAGCCAACCTACTATTCTTCTTTAATCACTGCTTACATCATAATAGGTAGGTAAATAGGTATAGGTAGGCAAAGTACTCAGGTATAGGCTAAGGGGGCTACTTGAACAAAGACAACAATTCACCAGGCAAAAGTGACAGTGACATACCATCCCAAAACAGGCAATTTATAGGCAATTAATAGCAGATTATATAAGCGCATGCGTGGCTTTGGCTTACTCGTACCCGACCACCCGAATCGAACTTCAATCATCACCTCGCCTCGCAGGGATTATCTGGTGGATCCGATCGCTCCTCGACCTCGAAATCAACCACACGCGTATGAAACCCTAAATGCGTCCCGTCTTCCCATCATTATCAAAGTCCCAGTAATTGCTGGCGGACGGGCAATCGACACCACCGAGCCGCAGAAACATGAAGCTGGAGCTTCTCCACGATAACCTCCCCAACTGCGCACACCGATGAATGCCTGAACGAGTGACTTTGACAGCTTCGCCGACACGACGTGGCTCCGCCAAATGGACGGTTCTATGAATGGACCTGGCGGGGTCAACGGTGCGAGCAATGGAATGAGTAGGGCAGAAAGGTTCGAGGATGAGAAGCGGAGGATCATAGATACTTGCTTTGGGAAGAAAGATGAGGACGGATCTTGTGCGCCGCCCCCCTCCCTCCCCCCTTGCCTATGAACTCGTGGGGGAGCTTGGAAGCTGTCTACTAACGTCCAGACAGTACTGGAATCCTACATAACCCATATCAGAATCACCGAAGATGCGGCGTACCCATCTGCCCCTCCTCCGTTGAATTCCAGCCAAAGTACGAAGAAGGAACGTCTCATTATCGTCGCCGTGCGAAAATCTGGACGGGTTCGTATGCACAAAGCAAGGGAAAATGCTAATGGAAGCTTTTCAATTGGCAAAACATGGATGCTTGACGATTTGGCAGGCGTGAAGTCCTACAACGGCTCAGTACCGTCCACGGCTGAAGAAGAACAACACAAAGCATGGGCAGGGGGCACTGGATTTATCGTCAATATCGGAAAGCCATATTACTGGGTAGCCAAATCTCAGAAGGAAAAGCAATTCTTCATTGCAAGTCTCGTGAAGATATTTACAAAATACACTGGGGGAAAAATCCCCGAACTTCTGGGATTCGACCAGAAGGAGCGAGACCAGTTACTGGGTGTCTCTACAACCTCATCTTCTCGGCCCCTTCCCGCTGCATTACAAGCTGCTTCTGGTCCACCACCGCCACGTCCATCTCCTGGCCAAGCTCAAAACCGTCCACCTCCCCTGTCACAAGAACGAGCCCTGCGCACACAGCCTAGCCGTGATGGCATGCAGAGAAACTCCCCGGGGCTTCCACCCTCTATACCCCCAATACCCCCCAGTTCTGCGTCCTCCTTGACGTCTCAAACATCACGGCCTCAGATGCGAAACCGTCGTGAAGATTCCCCAAGTGGGAGCACAGAGTCTGGTGGAAATGCAACTATGCAAAGTCCACCAGTTCTGCGAAGACCAGCTGGCTCAAATCAGAGCCAAGAATCGTTTGGAAGAGGGGACGATACTACTTCTTCAAACGTAACCCCGCGTTCTCGAGGTGGAACAAATGGACTTCCACCTGCTCCAGGAAGATTTCAGGATCGTAGTATGACACCAAACTCATTACGGGTAGGTACGCCAACAGAAAGCAGTTTTCCTAATAGGAGAGATCCTGGAACCAATGTTCCACCCGTGCCCACTACGCCCGTGGCATTTCCTCCCGAACGACGTAGACCCCCAATAGCAAACCTTGGTGATACTTCACGCCAACGTGGCATGAATAATGATATGGTTCCTGCGCCATTGGCCAGTCCTGGAATGCGAAGAGATGACATGCGTCTACCAGCTCGCAGTAGCGAACGAACGCCAACCCGAGACTTGGATATGGCCAGCAATCTGCCCGCGGATACCAATGGCTCTGGCAGGTGGGAAAAGCCTAGAGAATCATCAGAATCTGTTCCTAGAAAGTCATCCGAATCTGCAACCAGGACTGAGTCTCTCAAAAGCTCAAATAATATACCTGCATCATTACCCGCTGGTCCTCCGCCGATTGTAGACATACCAGAAGTTCCAAAGGATTCTGAGGCTCCGGATACTTTATTGCCAACCTCGCCAGAAGAAGAAGCGCGCCCCGGACTCGGCCCTATGATCAAACAAAAGTCCAAGAATGATGCAGCAGGTTCTTTCTTCAAAGCTGCAAAAGCAGCGAATGCTTTCAACTCCTTTAAGCCCAGAGCTGGCGGTGCCGCTGAACGTCTCCGAGAGATGGCGGCAAAACAGTCAGAAGGACCGGATGGAATTACTGGCGTCGTTCCAGCGCCATCTCTCGTGCGCGGGATGAGTGGCGACAGCACGAATTCGCAGACGCCAGCTGCCGCTGCTGCTGCCGCAGCGGCAGGTTCTCCTGGAAAATCCCCCAGAAAGCACAAAGATAGTATACCCGAAGTGAAGATTACAGTACCGCAGACTGGGGTTGAAGCACCTGTAAAACCATCAACAGAAAATGCAACTGTGGAGAAACCAAAGACAAGAGAGGCAAGGCGGCCGAAACCGGTATCTGAGACGATGCACAAAGAATTGGCCTCATTGGGAGTTGATTCCAATATCCTTGGAGGGCGAGGTATTGATTTGGTTGAGCTGTGGGAGCAGTTTGGGTGGGTGGGAGATGGAATTAGGACCAAGAATATGGACCAAATGCAAGACGAGATCGACCGAGAATTGAACAAAATCCAGGCCGGCGGTTGGCTATCGAGATTAGATGAGGAGGATGAGAGAATAGAAGGAATCAAAAGTGGTTTGGATAAATGCATTGAGGAATGTGATGAGCTCGATGGCTTGCTCACTTTATATTCCGTCGAACTTAGCGTAAGTTTTCTTTCCAAATTATTGCGCGAAGTTACTAAATGTTTAGACTCTCAACGAAGATATTGCGTACATTGAGGCTCAATCGCAAGGTCTGCAAGTACAGACCGCCAATCAGCGGCTGTTGCAAGCAGAGCTCAAAACTCTTCTCGACACGATCTCTATCTCATCAGATCAACTGGGTAGTTTGCGCGAAGCGTCACTCGAGTCACCACGTGGTCTGGAGCAAATTGAGTCTTCTTTGGTTACCCTGTTTAAGGCTATGCTCACTATAGATCCATCACTTGGTCTTTCTGGCCCCCGCAAAAGCGAGGACGGAGGTGTGGATTCAGGAAAGGCTGGTGGCTTCAATAACTCTGAGATTGGAAGCATGCGTGTTCTACAAGAGAAGAAAGATGTATACAAGAACGAGAGTGCCATGTTCCTTCGTCGCCTCAAACCCTTCCTTCAAGTCAAATTCGGCGCTGCCATCGACGAAACTCGCAAGGCTCTAGAGCGCGAGAAGGGACCAAACCTTACAAGGTCGGCAGGAAAAGCAAAACTTGATTCAAAGAACCATGATCTGGCTCGTGATGTCCTTTGGAGATACAGCCCCCTCATGATTTTCGCTCGAGAGGCTGACAAACCCGAATGGGAGGAGCTCATCAAGACGTATGAAATGGTCTCCAAGCCTCTATATCAGGATGAGTTCAGAGACGCCGTCTTTTCCTGGAAACGCATCGCAAAGAAGCCCACAGGTGACGAGGCCGACCTTCTTTTCACATCTCAAGTCGAAAAGCAGGAGCAAGGAATCGCTACTACGGCTCGAAAATTGACCGTAAAACGAAGTCAAACCCTCGCTAAAAGCTTGCGTTCCCCAATTGGTGATAACGCTAGTAAAACCAACATTGACAAGGCAGACGGTCGTCTACAGCCTCATGAAGTTTTCTCTGGAGCACTCGATGAAATGATACCAATAATGAGCATGGAACAGAATTTCATTGTGAATTTCTTCCATATTACTTCGCTCGGACAATCAGACTTCCCAGATCTAGTCGCCGCTGCGCCACCCGACAGGAGGAGAGGGGGCGATTTGAGAAAGCCTCAAGTAATGGATCCCAACAGAGATCTAGCAAAGGTGGTTATTCAGTCAATGGAAGAAATTTATGCTTTCTTTCCTGCTGATATGCAAGCGCTTATTGAATGGTCGCTTCAAGCAGATCCATTGTAAGCACCTACCTCGATCCTTATCACATTTCGCAATAAACATGCTAACAGAATAACAGACAAGGCGTTGGAGTCATCGTTGCTATTGAACGCAAACTTGTCCAACTAGAAGAGTCAAGTCAAGAATTTCTTGCAAAAACACTCCAAAAATCGCACACAAAACTTCTTGGTCTTTTCACGAAATTTCTCGACGAGCAAATACGTGCAATCGAAGACACCAAAGTCAAGATCAAAAAGCGTAAAGGGGTCATTGGATTCATCCGCGTTTTCCCGTCCTTCTCGCTTTCTCTCGAAACCATGCTTGTGTCCGCCGACAATTTGGAAATTCGTGACACGGTGAACCAAGCATATGCTCGAATCAACAAAACCATGTTTGAATCTCTCAAGGTCATCGCGAGGGAGAACCCGGGTACCCAGACTTCTGGCAATGATCCAGAAGATAAGGAAGTGCTCAATTACCAAATTCTCTTGATAGAAAACATGAACCACTATTTGGAGGAAGTCGATGCTCGATCTAATCCTGTTCTTGAAGACTGGAAGCAAAATGCATCACAAGAAATGGAAGAGCACATGTCGCTCTACCTTGGCGCGGTTATTCGAAGACCATTAGGCAAGCTCTTGGATTTTCTGGAAAGTACTGAAAGCTTAATGCTCTCTCGTCAACCGGGAGAACCAGCTACCAAGATCTCAGGGATGCCAAGTCACTCCAAGACGACATTCAAGAAAATTCTTGCTGGATACGATTCCAAAGAAATCAGACGAGGAATAGAGACACTCAAGAAACGAGTCGAGAAGCACTTTGGTGATGCTGATGATCCTGGTCTTAGTCGTGGCCTGGTGGCAAAGGTCACTGGGAATTGTGAAAGGTATTACGAGAAGGTTGAGGATCGGATCTTGACTATCAGTCGGGATGTGTATGATGGGGATGCGATTGCGGAGTGGACGAGGGGTGACGTTTCGGCGGCTTTTAGGAAATAAAGGGGGTAACGAAGGGTCTCATGAAGTATGCATTAGTGAGGGCATTTGTTTTGGTCCTGGAGACAAAGCCTTATTTACACCTCTTGTATTTTGAGTTGGGATTTCTTTTTCCTTGGGGCGTAGGGGAGTATGGGAGTCGCCTTGGTTGTAGGATTGAGAGACTTGGTAACATCGTAGGAATATACCACCAATTAAATGCATATACGTTTGATGACGCGGGGTAGTCGAGAATCTCGAGGTTGTTGGTGCTTCCATAATGAATTGCTGTCCTCGAGTGATGCTCTCACTCAAGGTCCGTAGGTACCTTTTCTACATCCGCTCTGCTCTGTTCTCCAAGAATGAAGCAGTTGAGCAGAAGTAAGTAAGTATTGGCCCTATGTCCCATTATTCATCCCTCTGGCAATCCCAGATCGCCTTAGCTTGAAAGGCTTAGCCAATTCCAATATCGATATCAATTCACTGGTGGTTATCCAAGAAAATGTCAACCAGAAAGGCAGCGCCAAATTGAGTACAATTCACTGCTAATTTTCTTACCTATTCATTACACACCACGTGGCAGCGCAAAGAAGAAAAGAAAAAGAAAAGTCGCAAGTGAAGGTATAGTGAAGTGAATCCAACGCAACATGGTCGTGCTTCAATCCACCTAACCTCACCCACTCAAAACAAAACCACCACCACCACAACCACAAAAAATCCTTCCTCTCCCACCAAACACCCAAAAAACACCCAAAAAATCAATCCCCAGATCAAAATAGCAAAACAAAGTAGGCGGAAGTCCCAGGAATCACCCTCTGGACGTCCGCCAACCCGAATAACTCTGCACCCGAAGGAGTTGGTTTATCTCGCAAGCAAATCGCGCAGCTCGTTCTGTTAGGCCATAGGTTCGTAAAGGACGTACTTTTTGAATTAGCGGGGTGTTGAATGCTGGCGGTGGGGTGCTTATTTGTGGTGTTAGAAAACTGGGTGGGTCTTTGGGTGGTTTGGAAGATGGTTGGTGAATGGGAGGAGGGAGGGATCGCTTAGGGGTGGTGTGTTAAAGCGGCTTGCGGGTTTTGCGTGGATGTGTGGGAGTAGATGTACTTGATGGGAAGGGGGGAAATTAATGAGGAGGAGAGGGAGTATTGTGTTTTCTTTTTGCTATTGTAACTCGATTGTTCAAATTGGAATACTGATATGCTCACTTGTTTGGGCTTTCTTGCTTAGTTTAATATGTGCGCAGTAGAGCAAGGTATAGTCACAAGAATGAGTACGCCTATTGTTCACCCGAATCATGTCATTATCGAGCGCTTCTGAATGGATACAACAAATGCATCAGCACAGTCACCATGGCTTCTCTCTCAAAGTTATCAACTACTATCGCTTCCCTTGTCATCGCAGCACTTCCAAATTTTGCCCAGAGCAGCACCACACATAATAATCAACACCACAACCAAATCACAAATGCACAAACTTGGTACACAGAACAGAGAAAAATGTGTCTAGTCGAAAGTTTCAACTTCAAAAAGTGCCCCTGCAAACTCACACGTCGGCATATCTGCTATCCTCACTTGCAAAGTCAGAGAATGACAAAGTATAAAGCGAATAAACCCCTGTTCCTTCCTATCCACACATACTCACTCGTCCAGGAAAGGGAAGATAAGCCGGACGTAGTGATAGACTTGGAGGGGTGTCTTAAGTTTCATGAGCAGCCGATCGAGGAGGGGAATGGGTATTGTGGGATGGTCGAGAGTGGTTGCCCGTATGTTGAGAAAAATAGTAGAGAGAGAGTTCTGAGTGATGAGTTGTTGGAGTGGAAGGGGAGAGAACGCTTGTGTCATTCTGGCAATGTCTTAGGAGAGGGTGGAATTGCGGAGGAACCGGAAAGTTATGGGGATGAGGGAGTGGTGGGAGAGTGGAAGGAGGAGGAAGATGGTGTGTGGTTGGTTGAAGAGTGTGAGGGAGATGGGCTCAATAGAAGGAACCCAGTGGGAAGAAGTTCGCTTCACGGGGAGACACAGCGGAAGAGGAAGATTTCTTTGCACATAGAAACCGGAGAGGGAGGCATTCCGCAGGGTACACAATCCTCCTCAATGGATAAACCGCTCCCCCCTCCTCCAGTCGTGGCCGTATCGCCTGAGGCGGTGCATATGGATCCTCGTCATGCTTTGGCCATGATACCTGATGAGGAAGACGGAGAGCTTACAAGGCCGAGGTCAGAATCATTGGAGGAGACAGACCCCCGTATTGTGTTCTATAGATCTATGGGTTTCACCAATAATTAACTTGCAATATGTGTTTATAGAACTGTTTGGGTAGATGCCGCGAATAGAATTTATGGTGTATATGGAAAGGTATTTGGTGGCTGAACAACATGGATATCCTAGAACAAATTGCACCAATTTCACAGTCATTACTCCGCCTTTTACTGTGAAGAAATGTTTTGCCAAAAGTCCCAAACAGTTGATTGTCCAAATGATGAATATGCATAGAGGCTAGGTTATTCATGGTATTTCCGTGGGTTATGAGTAAGGTTTACATTAGTCATTATCACTTTACTTCAAAGAGATGTGACATTTTGCAGATCACTGGTGCAAACCTGTGTTTTAATTCCTCTAAATAGATTCTATCTCAATGCACTCTCCAAATGACACTTTACAAGCTTCTAGAAATAGTAATGTAAGCTAGCTCTTGATATGTTCCTCAGCTGTAGCTACAACTAGACCCTCTTGCGCATTTTGCTTCTTTTCGTGAAACTTGGCACTGTCGTATGATTAGTATATTCCTCTAGAAAGAATAAAATAGCTTAACTCACGCATCACGCCGCTGAAGGAAAACAGCCAAACTCAAAGTCAAAGCCGCACAAACAATCAACCCAACAGTCACTGAGTTCCCCACCAGAAACCTGGGCGCATCCCTCGTATCATACGTGATCAGAGGAATCCAAGCATTAAACGCATGCGCAACAGAGTTCGTCGTCCCAAGGATGAATTTCCTCTCTAAGGAATCCGCAGAACAAGCTTCATTAACCATGGTCAAGAAAATAAGCCCTGTGCCTTGGGCAAAACCCGTGAGATAGTAAGATGCCCATTTGAGATGGAATGGTACATCGTCGCAAATCGCGAGGTTCATGGCTGCGAAGAAGCAGACGGTTAGGGAGAAATAGACGATTGGACTTCGAAGTTGGAGGGCGTCGGAGGTTCAGCCGTAGATGAGGGTTGTGAGGATTGTGACGGCTTTTATGACGGTTGGGTAGGTGTTGATTTGTGGGACGGAGTATCGGTGTAGACTTTTTAGCCAGAGGTTCATGTACAAGCCGATGTTTTCGCTGCAGATGAAGAATCTGGAAAGTATTTAGCGGTATTTGGAAAGTTTCTAGGTGATAGGTCTTACGTGTAATAAGTCGTGTATACCCAGAAATGCCATTTTCCAAGGACTCGCTTAAGTCCATTGAAAGTTACGGGTTCGTCTTTTCCTTTCCCTGCATCCACCATTCTTTGTTGGGCAAGCGAAACTTCTTCTGGCTTCAGCCAGTTGACTCTGGTATTTGAAGGAAGATTAGGGAGCGCGTAGTATGCCAGAAATAATGTCAGCCGGAAGCAACAGAAGGACGGGTTGGTTTGGTTCTTATACCACAACGCCATGGGCAATGTAATTACTCCATCGAAAATAAACAACCACCTCCAACCAGCTAGCCCACCTGTGCCATTCATAGCAGAATATAATGCAGCTTGAAGATATCCGCTGAACATCGAGCCAACAAATTCACTTGCAAAGAAGATGGATGCTCTTTTCGCTAATTCTCGCTTCGTGTACCACCCACCAAGTATAGTGTGTACAGCTGGATAAAAAGTGCCTTCAGCCAATCCAACCAGAAAGCGGCAGACGTATAGCTGATGAGGTTTCTTGACTGCAGCGGTTGCAAACGTAAATAATCACCCATATAAGCTCCCATGTCGGACACCAGATCGAGGGCCGGATTTTTGTACCTTAATTCTGTTGGTACAGATTCTACATCAATAGAAAAGATCCCACTTACAGATCATTTGAGATGGAATCTGACTAACAATATAACCAATAGTCCACATTGTAGTAAACGTTTGGTATTCATTCCCCACGACATTGAGATCTTCATTCCTGAGACGTAGGCATTGGAGATATTATTCTGATTGAGATTCTTGGAGAAATATGTGAATCCCGCCCATGTTCTAGACACCATTAGCCAGCTTAGCCAACTTACTGGGAGACAAATGGGGTTTATACAAGATGAAGACGTCGAGTTTGAAAATAAGCTTTCTTTCTTCGGGTGTTCGGTCGAGACTGTCCCATAGAATCTCACGGATGCGATGGCGTAGGCTCTGCTTTTCCAGACTGGACGAGAGGGAGTTCGAAGTTGGTGTTGTGATCTCAAGTGTAACTCCATGCTCGAGTGTTTTTTCCGACATAGTTTCTGGTTGATAGAAGTGATTGAGCTGTGAATATTTCCCAAGACTTTATCCATAATTATTTTCAGATACATGAAAATGAAGCTACGGTATGTCATTTGGAACAGCTTCTCTACGATCTGCATCCCATTCTTATATCATGGAATCTGAAGTTGTATTGCAATATGTGGTGCTACCTTGAAAGTGGAACCAGTAAGTATCATTTATTAACCGTTTATTAATAGTACTGGACCCCGAAGTGCAGGAATCTGCAAGGAAACCCTGGGCGATCACTTGCTCTGAATTTCATAGAACAGCCTCATTCAGATAGCTCGGGTTTCTTTCGAACAAATTAATGCCCCTGGTTTTCTTGCTCTGAAAGTTTGGCTTGTTTTCGATCGTTACTCTCACCCATAGCCTCCCCCTTCTCGCATTGGGGCAATTCTTAGTTTCTGGATATCATTAGAGCAGCAGATGTCTGTCCAGAGAATATGATATACAAGGAACAAGTCAACTGTAGATAAGATTTACAAGATTTACAAGGAGCCAACGGCCAAATAGATGAGGGAATCCAGGGTACATAAGGCTTGCTAAATCCTCTCCACTTTTTCCCCATTACAAACAACCCAGGAACTTGAAACCTCATGAAACGTAGATCAGGTACAAATATATCAAATCTATCATCAATTGTAAACAAACTTGCTAAGCGGAACAGAAAATGTTGGAGCCTAGACTCGCCTCAAATGCACTCTGGACTATCCTCTTACTCACACCCAGAAGAAACAAACAAACGAGAACTGTACGTTTATATAAGAGAACTCAGTTCAGGATAAGGAACATCATATCGAATTGCTACGATTGAAATGGGCAGATCTCGAGGCCCTTGATAGATCCAAGCTCTCAGATCTCGCTGAAAGCGTGAGTTAACAACCCTACCCGGTTCCTAAGTTTCACTGACAAGAATAGTAACCCAAACTTGCTCCTATCCAACGAAACCATTCATTAAACCAATCACTCCCAGAATTTTCTTCCGTCAAAAGCCACGGCCTCTTCGAAAAAGACATGAGCCCGCCAATACGCCATCGTCCAATCCCTCTTCTCCCTCTCTCTAGACGAGAAAATGAAGTATCTGGCCAACACAGCAGTGGCCGACTACCGACGTTACAAAGCGCAATCCACATCCAAATCACCAGCTAAAGGAAACGGAAGTCGCGATAATGAAGAACGGTATAACATCTCTAAATTCCCACGCGAGCACGCGCGTCCATATCCGGAGCTAATTATAGACCATTGAAATTTGAGAGAATTCAAGGACTTCTCGCTTCATGTACATTCTTACTCACGCTCTTACGGAGTACTCATCCTCCAACTCCAGGAGAAAAGCGAAGAGACGTAAGAAATACGGATTATGACACTTTGAAATTTTGGTTCCGTGACTTTCGTTAACCTGTTGTCAAACTACAAATTCAAACAAAATATAGACCGAGACATGGAACATATATCTCCCCTCCCCTCTTCTCATCCTCTCACTCAACTTCTCAAACCCGACAACCCATAAACGAACATCAACACCACATTCAACCCCGGGCCAAATAATATAGTACCCAACGTAGCCAGCACCCTCAAATCCATCTCTAGCGGGTATCAAAATCAACAGTCCACCGTGTAGTCCGACCTCCCATCGACGAAAGAGGGAAAGCACGGTTAAGCCCCATTTACTCTGCGCGGCCGGAGGCTGATACGAAATGAAAATTCGTTAGAAGGCCCTTGCTAGATGGAATGGGATCTAGGAAGAGAGGTGATGCGAGTTTGGGATGTGTTACGGCCGAGGATTGAGAACGGGCGAGGATTGCGAGGGATCGTAGATTTAGAGAGGGGTTGGTGAAGGGGAGAGAGATGACATGGTGGCCGTGAACACAACTAAGAGGAGGTAGAATAAAATGAGAGTCCTGGGGCCCGAAATTATGGTTAATGAGAAAAGCGGAAATAAACGAATTTCGTTATCTTTATTCCCATTGTTGTAGATCAACCCAAGTCGTTAACTGTTGGGACTATCCTTCAATTTCCTCTATGCTCAAAGGTATCGTCACCCTTGGTGCGCCATCTCATATGCAAAAGAAAAAGACAAACTATGAATACAAAATTTGTAAACTCCATGAATCATGTTCATCCGCTTACTTGTGGAAGTTCTTAACCTTCTCAATTTCATCATAACTACCCATAAATATACCCGATCTGTCATGAATTCCGTCGGGTACAACCTCCATCATTCGGTTCATTTTGCTGTCGAGTGCTTGGCCACCAGCTAAAACATTTTAGTTAGTTCTTGGCGGTAATGATAAGGGAAGTTCGCTTACCATTCTCGAAGACCATTGCCATAGGTGCACATTCGTAGAGGATTCGCAGTTTACCTTTAGGACTCTTCTTGTCTGCGGGATATGCGAAAATACCCCCGTATAACAATGTTCGATAGGCGTCAGCAACCATGCTACCGATATATCTAGCAGAGTATGGTTTGCCTCCTTCAGTGGTTGGGAATTTCAAGGAGTTGAAATACTCCTTCACCGGATCTTCCCAGTACAACGAATTTCCCTCATTGACAGAGTATATGGATCGGGACTTTGGAATCTTCATATCCGGATGTGTGAGAATAAATTCTCCGAGGGCGCTATCCATCGTGAAGCCATTGACAGTACCACCCTTCATGGTGATGACTAGTTGAGCAGAGGCACCATACATGGTGAAACCTGCAGCAATCAACTCTGTTCCTGGCTTTAGCAGATCCTCTTTTGTGCCTTTTGATCCCTCTTCCAGTTTGTGTATGGCAAAGATTGTGCCCACGGAAACACCTGCGTCCAAGTTTGAGGATCCATCAATAGGATCGCATGCTACCGCATATCGGGCATTCTTGTGTTCTGGGAAGAATATCGCTTCCTCTTCCTCCTCGGAGACGAGTACTGCACATTTTCCGGAAGAACGCATAGCCGCAATAAAAACATCATTTCCGATTACGTCGAGTTTCTTCTGGTCATCGCCAGTAGTATTGCTCGAGCCTGCAAGGCCCGTGAGATTAATCAGGGTTGCACGTCGAATGTAGTAGGCGATCGATTTGAAGGAAAATTGGAGAGCATGGCACAGCAAACTGAGTTAACTATCAGCTATAGCAAACAAATGAGCGGTTCAAGGGGAGCACACGTGAAATCTCCCGTTGCCTCCTTATGTTTTGTCTGCTCTTCCGTCAGGAAACGAGTCAGGGTAACAATATCTGTATTAATCTTCTCGGAAGAGTCCATGGATCCGTTTGACGCCATCTTGAATGTTTCTTTATGAGCGTGGCGGTTGCGTTGGGGAGAAGTGCTGTTATGTGCCCTGAATGGAGAGGAGGGAGCTAGAGCAATTGACGTATGTGGTGGGCCTCGGGTCAGGGCGGCGGAGGCGGAGACAATGATTTGTTGACTTGCTGAATATGAAGCTCCACGAAGCACGAGACAATCAAAGAATGGGCGAAGCGGGTGGGATTGCTAATGGGAGAATGGGTGGTACCGGCGGAAGTGATCCAATGGATAGAATTGGCAGTACTCGGTACGGTAAATGGACTCCTCTGGAAGAAAGCGAACTCAGTCACACGATGCTTCGCCAACCTACTACTTGTACTGTATCCTAGGTTACTGCCGGAAAGTCAGGTCTTTGCTTCATATTGGGAGCCAGCTGGAGCTGTGGTGCTGGTACGGAGTATTGGCTTTCAGCACCAGCACATGCTGCTCCAGTCTCCAGACCACCCCGCACCCGCATCGGCACAAGATTTCCCATACGGAGCAGACTCAGGGGACCCAGTCTCGCCAGTCTCAACCACTCCCAAGCGGTGAAAATCCGGGACCCCGCTAGCTCTCAACGGAGGAATGGGCTACGCCAAAGGGCGGAGTGCAACGCGCAACGCAAAGACGAAGATTTCCCGGCAGAAGAAATACCGAGTTCCCTCTCTAAGCATCGCAAGGTTGAAGATATAAAGATCACAGCCGTTGCCGGATGCGGGGAATATCGGGTGGGAGCAAGCCAGGTTGGTGGGCGGTGGGTGGTGGGTTCCAGCCTCCAGGATCAAGCTTTCATCTGCAGAGAAATGGAAATGGAAGGTTGAGCGGCTTCAAGCTGGGGTATGACCTATGGACCTCGGGAGATCTTACAGCTGTCGTGCCGGCCCGGCTAATGTAGCCGATAACTCTCCCGAGTCACATGGTCGAAAGCTAAATCTTTTCCAGCCTAGCGCCACGCTAGTCCTATCCCACTTCGAGAAAATTTCGAGCTCTAGCTCTTCTTTGCTCTCTCCAGATCAACATCTTCACTCACCAACAATGTGACCAACCAACACCAGATCGCTGCTGTGCGCAGTTTGATCAAGCAATTGAACATCCCCGCTCTGTCTATCAGGTATGCCATCATATTTCTCTTCTTTCCTCCCTCAACATGATGACAAACATACAACCGCAAACTAGAGTCTTTGACCTCTAGGGGAATGAAACTATTGTATACGTCAGTCTGATATACAAATCACATTTCAATCGTCACAGTCAATCTTCGTTTGAGCCTGATGCTAATTGGCGCTCTAGATGCGACGACTATCCGCGATCCAATCCTCGCCGTCGCAGTAAAACATGTCCAGCAACGTTTCGCACGGTGCAATACGCGGGCATACCGAGACTCCTTCTATGCGATGATACAACGTACGTGTGTTCTGGTTACCTCCTATTCCCACCGTCCGGCTCTGATGAACAACTCGTGCTTTGCACGCTGGAAATTACCGACTGAGATGCAAGTCTTTGAAGTCAACAAATGGCTATTTCTGAGCTCCCAAAATACAATTATTATTTATGTATGATAGATCATGGAAGGTCAAACGCTAATGATACTGTACTACAGATTTGATTAGCGGGCCGCGATCTCATAAGGTACGAAGCAACCATACTTCCACGTCCCATTCTCTTTGCATACACAATGTCACATGATGATACGGCACTGGGCTCCGACAGTACTCGAAAACGGGGCTGTTTCATGAAAGGAGACGCCATTTTGCGGCAGGCCTAGAAAACCTCGCCCACTGATTACATTATTCAATATTCTGGCGTGTTGGAATAATATGATGGGAGCATCGTTGACAAGATTCTTGTTCTAGTATTGGTTGTCTGCCGCCGCAACTCAAGCACAAATGGTATGTTCATTTTTCTATCAATTTTCTCCACATTTCATGATGAGCATTTTAGATGACGAGTCTGATCCGGGAAACCGATGTTGACACAAATCAAATTAAACCATTCATGCCTTCTGATAATTTTTATGTGGCATTACTTGAATAATTGGTTTCCCTGTTCTAAACACAAGCTAATGTCCTTCTCTCAGTATACTCATCTTTCCTCGAGTGCGATGGCTGCAATCAATTTTGTCAGCTGAACCTTAGATGGCTTGCAAATGGTAAGACATGTTCTCTCCAACTTTTATAATCCACCTCATATCTCGAGCATAATGATGAACTTGACCTACAAATGACAAGCATATGTCCAAGCCTCCGGGTAATGACGAGCATGTCTCGACTGAATGCTTTGATACTTTGTAGTGTGAAGTTATTTTGTGATTCCAAGTCGCTGACCAGAATCAATAGAATTCAATCATCAGCCTTCCTTGCACCTTCACATGATCATTGTCTGGCCATCTTTCGGTATGTTGAACCATCTACCTTGCACTCTGCTCAATCTTAATATGATGAACAATTTTATCACGACGGTCAACATAACCACACGTTGGTATTGATGATAATGCCTGTGACAAGGCTTATATCTGAAATTTCTTTTGAGCTCTTTTTTCACAATCCGCCGTACAGATTGTGACCCAATACTAATTGGTATTCAGATAGTAGGCTATTTCACATGAACACCTTTTGGAGGATGACGGAGGGAGAGTTTTCAATGACTCAGAATAGTCGAAGTGGCCGCTGAATACTTGGAAGGATTTGAACCAATAGCGTAACCGTGGGACAACGGTGATACTTGTCTTGGGAATAGACTTCTCAGCTCGTGGTAGATAATAAATCAAATTTGCCTTCCACATTTGTACACTGCTCTCTCTACACTGTGATTCATTTCATCTGCTGCTCTCTTTCGATTTCACGGTCCCACCAGCGTTGGCAGCCGAGGTGGTTGGCTTGACACATGCTTCTCTTATATTTTACACTTTCTTGGTTGGCTTGTAGGATGAAATTAAGATTTGTGTATGGGAATTGATGTTGCTAATCCTGCAACTCTTTACAAGAATCGCTCTCGATCAAAACTGTATACAGCTAGTTGTATAGGAGTACGGAGTACATCTTTTGAGATAGTCTTTCTCCCACTTTCTTACATTTTGTAGGAAAACGGTGACGAGATAGAAGACTCAAAGATCAGTTCACGACCTACTTAACGGTCCTATCAATGGGTGAAGACATCCATTCCAATGGATAGGTACCTAGGCTTAGGTACCGTTTAATTTGCACGTGATTATCGCTTGGGCCCGACTCGACTTAGGTTAATCTGATTTCTTTTAGCGCATCAAAAATAGCCCCGCGGGGATCATTCGCAGGGGGGAGCGGCCAGCGCTACAAGTTTCCAACCATCCCATCATTTTTTATTTCTGCCTACCACTAACAGGTGGCAGACCTTGCGACTACGGAACTTGGTGCACACTATGCCGGCACAGAACACGAGATGCTCTCAGCTTTCCAACAATAACCTTTCGTGAATACCCTCTCGCCCTGCGACCCAAGAACCAGGACACAGAGCTTTGCGGGTGGGTTCCAGAAGCCGAATTCGTAGGTTTTCCGGAGGCTCCGTTATCCCACCCAACCGAGTTTCCTTCAAGAAGAACTGGGCTTTCAGAGACAGCCCTTCATAGGAATTGGGCCCCTTGAAGATGCCGCGCAAGGAGGAACAGGTGCACGCGCACATGCCGCGGAAGGATAAGCACAAGGAGAAATATCCTATGACAAACTGGATATACGATGTATTCCTCTGGACCTTCTCTATCTTGGTGGATCTCTTCTTCAGAGAAGTCCATCCTCGCGGTTCGTGGAAAGTGCCACGGACAGGCCCTTTGATATTCGTAGCGGCCCCCCATGCGAACCAGGTGCGTCGAAATCTCCATGAATCATTAAGAATGATCGCTAATGTACTTATCTAGTTCGTCGATCCCCTTATCCTCATGCGCACACTTCGAACCGAATGCCACCGACGAGCAGCTTTCCTTATCGCTGCAAAGTCTATGAACAGATGGTTGATAGGATGGTTTGCTCGAAAGGTCGGTGCCGTACCTGTTGGACGAGCCCTTGACATGGTAAAACCAGGTTCAGGAACAATATATCTCCCTGATCCAATTTCAGATCCTTTTCTTGTTCGGGGGTTCAGTACAAAGTTTAGGAGCAAGGAGATCCAAATTGGTGGTCTACTGGTACTTCCGAGCGTCAACGGAACTGCTGCCAATGCTGAAATCGCCGAAGTTATAAGCGATGAGGAAATACGGCTAAAGAAGCCATTCAAAGGTAGAGCTGCCATGGAACAACTTACTGGAAGAGAAGACTTGGACGAGAATGGGAAATTCACAAACGAGGCCATCCAAGGGACTGCTGAAGGATTCCAGGGTGTAAAATACAAGACCGCCCCAAAGGTTGATCAGACAGAAGTTTATGATGCGGTTTTTGATCGGCTCAACGGTACAGATGGCGCAGTTGGAATCTTCCCTGAAGGTGGCAGCCACGACAGAACCGAATTGCTTCCCCTCAAAGCTGGTGTGGCAATCATGGCTTTAGGTGCTTTGGCCGCAAACCCGGACAGCGGGTTGAAAATCGTTCCTTGTGGCATGAACTATTTTCATGCTCACAAGTTCCGTTCTCGTGCTGTTATAGAGTTTGGGAACCCAGTCGAAGTCCCTCAAGAGCTTGTAAAATTGTACAGAAGCGGAGAGCGGAGAGAAGCCGTGAGCCAGTTGTTGGACACGGTCTACCAAGCTCTTGTCGCAGTCACTGTCACAAGTCCGGACTATGATACCCTTATGCTTATACAAGCAGCTCGTCGCCTTTATAACCCGACTGGAAAGAAGCTCCCTCTGCCAATGATTGTGGAGCTAAACCGAAGACTCGTCAAAGGATACACACATTACAAAGATGATCCCAGAATTGTATCTTTGAAAAAGTCAGTGGTTTCCTACAACAAACAATTACGGTATATGAATATTCGAGACCACCAGGTCGAATATGCCAAAAAGTCAATCCCAAAGGCTTTGCTTCTGTTGTTTTATAGACTGGGGAAAATCTCTGTATTGTCTGTGGGCGTGCTTCCTGGTTTGGTTCTCTTCGCCCCTGTTTTCGTTGCTTCCAAGATCATCAGTATAAGGAAGTCCCGGGAAGCACTTGCTGCTTCAACTGTCAAACTCCAAGGTCGTGATGTTATGGCAACTTGGAAGTTGTTGGTAGCACTTGCGTTTGCGCCAATCCTATACAACTTCTATACTATCCTTCTTACTTACTGGACCTATCGTAATAGAATACAGGGTTATGTCCCAGACCGCGTGCCTCTATGGGCAATTTGGGTTGCTGGATACATCATATTCCCTGCAATTACGTTTGCGGCCCTTCGTTTCGGAGAGGTTGGCATGGACATTCTCAAATCTTTGCGACCCCTCGTTCTCTCTCTCAACCCAACATCAAGCAACACCATTACCAAGCTTCGTGCTCGGAGAGAGAAGCTTAGCGCAGAAGTGACGGATCTGATCAACACGTTGGGCCCTGAAATGTTTCCTGACTTTGATTCTGCCAGAATCGTTGCGAATCCCTTTAAGAACGGAGGCATGGCATCATCTCCCACAAGCTCAAGGTTCAATCGAAGAGGCAGCGAACAGTCTGGTGTTTCTGGAACGTCAACTCCGCCCAGCTACGAGAAATTTGGAGACGGACCATCCAGCAATAATGGCCATTTACCAAGGAACGAGTCTTTCAAGAATCTTGGAAACATTGCGCTCTTTGCCACACGTCCACCATCAAGGAATCGAAGCCATAGCAGTAGCAGTGGCGGCGCTCCAGGCTCGGCAAGTTTTCCTCTGCAGGCCTTTAGCACTTTAGATACGAAGGGAAGCTTTGCGGAGGTAAGTCAGAAGATTAGAGGAGCCATGAGAGAGAGGGGACAGACTAGAAGAAGACAGAGTGAAGCCGCTAGAGGGGAACAAGAGGGAGAGGATGATGAAAGTGAGAATGGTGTTGAGGTAAGGAAGAACATTTGATGGACGAATACACTTGTGGTTGTTGGGGGGTTTCTTTCCTTTTCTGGGAATATGAAGATTCGAGATTATTTGTGCCAGTCTTCTCTGCTTTTGTAATCGCGGGGCGTCAACAGATAAAATACCAAGGTCCTTGTTTCTTTTTTGCAAATCTTCTACTACTACAGTATATACATGCACAACTAAATTGGTTGCACAAGGAATGAATACTCACTTTACATAGCACACCGAACCTTCCGTAACTCATGATTACCACTCCATAGTTACTCTTCTAATCTAAACGTGATCATAAAAGCAGAAGTATGATCGCTTGTCAAATGCGTTCTTGATGTGTGGAAATGATTAATCATTCACGACTTGTACTGTACCCCTTTTTCCAAAATTAAGGCCCCACCATATATGTAACCTCAGCCTAAGCTTACCCCAGAAAATCCCCAGAACTCAGGACGACCACAACGCGAATCTCAACCCTCAACGCTCGTTCATATAAGTAATCGCTACAATGGGTCTACCGCCATGGGAGACGAGCGACAGCCAATTATTTGCATTGATAACTGGCGCCAATAGGTAAGCACAACAATGGCGAATCATGCTCAAAACTGCCACCCCGCCATGAACTTCCGATCCGCGCTGCTGCATGCTGCAGTTGGTTTCTAGGTCCTTTTTCCACGTTTCGCGCATGATGCTGATACCTTGACAGCGGTTTAGGCTATGCCATTGCAGCCAGACTCATCGATGAATTCATCACCTCCCCCGCCACGTCTCCGAGCAAGCACCTTATCCTAATCCTCTGCACACGCACACCGTTGAATACACGCTTTACCATCTCGAGACTTCGCGCCCATTTGAGGAGATGTGTTGAGTATTCCGAGTATGCTAAGAAGCTGGCCCAGAAGGCGAAGGCACAGGGCAAAACATACAAATGGGAGGATCAGGTTCAGAGGGTGCATTTCTTGGGGGTAGAGGTTGATCTTTGCGATTTGAAGGGTGTATATCGTCTTACGGACAGACTCGTCAATGGCACTGTAGGGAGTCCGGATGCGACAACTATAGATGGCCGCAAGCTTCCTCACGGTTCTCCTGGAACGCAGAGCTTCTCGGGCAATATACAGCAGGATCGTTGGGCCTTGAGCCAAGAGCCCGGTTCTGTTGGGGCGCAGAGATCATGGGGCTGGGGATTGAGTGGCATCCGCATACCAAGATTGGATGTAGTCATTCTCAGTGCGGGGATTGGGGGTTGGGCTGGTGTTAATTGGCCTGTTGCTATTCGAGATGTGCTATTCGATACCGTGGAAGCAGTCACCTACCCCAAGTTCAAGATCCCAACCATTGGAGCCCGTTCTAAGCCTCAATCGTCCTACGGCGCAAAGAATGGCACTAAGGATGAAGAGAGAGAGCCATTACTTGCGGGAAAATCCGAATCTACCGAACCTCCGCTTGGTAAAGTTTTCTGTTCAAACATCTTTGGTCACTATATTCTCGCCCACGAACTAATGCCCCTTTTATCTCGCCCTGCCTCACCTACTTCCAAATCGGGCGGAAAGATAGTTTGGGTTTCAAGTATTGAGGGACTACCAGAAAATGTCTCTCTTGACGACATACAAGCCCTCAAATCCAAAACACCTTACGAAGACACAAAAGGTCTCATCGAAATCATGTCTCTCACCTCAAGTCTTCCTTCTGTTCAGCGTGCCGTCTCCTCCTATTTCGATAGCTCGAAGACGGTTTCCGCCTCAAAATCCAAACGGGGGGAGAATGAAGAAAAGGAAGAACTCCCACTCGTCAAGCCTAAAATATATCTCACCCACCCCGGAATCTTCTGCTCTGAAATCATGCCGTTACCCGCGATTATGGTATTCTTCTACAGACTGATCTTTATCTTTGCGCGCTGGATCGGGAGTGTTTGGCATCCAGGTCAACCGTATAAAGCGGCTGTTGCGCCGACCTGGATTGCTCTCACTGACGATGAGGTTCTTAAGGACATGGAAGGTGGTGGCATGCAAAAGGCGAAGTGGGGCTCGGCTTCTAATAGGAGTGGGGAGGAGAGGGTTATGAAGACTGAGGTGAAGGGGTGGGGTTGGAATGGTGTTGTTGGGGCTAAAGAAGGGAGTCTAGGGAGGAAGAGAGGTGCGGTTGATGTTACGAAAGAGGAGAGGGAGGATTTTGAGGTTCTGGGTGCGAAGTGTTGGGCGGAGATGGAGGAGTTGAGGAGGAGCTGGGAGGGGGTTTTGGGGGTTAGGGATACGGAGAAGTGATGCTTAGAACTGTAATTGGTGGATCATGTATGTGTACGTCTTGTATTAATATAATGCTAATAATGTCCTGCGAGAGGGGGGATTGAGAGGGGATTACAGCATCGTGCGGAGTTTTTTGAAGAGGATACTAGCTTTGCTTCTCGCTAGTTCGGAATGAAAACACATAACCATGATAAAGAAAAAGGAAGAATAAGCCAGGCGAATCCACCAGGGCCATCTTAATAGACCTGAGTGAAGTATCAATTTACCCCAGCTCTCTTCTCCATCTCTCTCCTGCCAAGCCGGGCGCATGCACACTCCATTAAGATCGCAGAAGTTATGTATAAACTGAGATAAACTTCTCAAATACAGAACATCACTTCGATACCAGAGTGGACACATTAAAGCACAAGTCCAAAATATGAATGTTCTCCAGCTCAACCCTAAGCACAAAGAGGCTTCGGCACTCCATTCGAGTCACAGCCAGCAAACCTCCAATACCCCCGATTCCACAACGTAAAACAATGCGTAATCGCCCACCTCGCAGCACCAGGAATGGGTGGCCAATCCTGCCATAAGTACTCTTCATGAGTAACATCCAAATTAAGAAAGAAAAATGGGAGGGCACTGAGTTTTGGCATTGTGGTCTGCTATGTTAGCGAGAAGCTCATATTTTTAAAGAGGAGGATAGTACCACGGTTTGTTTCCCTTCTTTGTTCCAGAGGTCCGCTATGGGGAGGGTGCTTCCGTACTTTTTTAAGTTGAGGAGGCTAAGGATCTCGGATGTGAGGTGGGTGTGGAGGGCGGGCGCGAAGGAGGTGATTATGTTGTTCAGGTGGGATGCGTTGAAGGTGGGTTCTTTGCCTGAGAGGTTTGTGAGGTAGGCTTTGAAGTCGTCTAGGCCGGATTGGAAGGATGCTGGTTGGATGGTGTTAGTCGGGTATGATCCAGCAATAGAGAAAACTTCTAGTAAATTTGGGAGTGTGAGGTTCATTATGGATGTTTGCAAGCAGCAACTTAATTTGTAGAACCAAAGAAACAGCCTGGCGTACTGTGTTGCTGAATATTTTCCTCCATTATGCCTTTCTCACCAACCGCCTCCTCAATCTCGGGAAAAAACTGATCTTCCTCGTTAGTATGGTGCTCGTGAACAACAGAGTGCCAGCATAAGCTATATCCAATGAAGTCTTTATAATCGGTCGGTTGAATGTTTGATCCCTGATTATAGATACTGTTGAGGCCGCGGAGTAGTGAGTTATGGACAACACACATTGTGCTTGCAGTTTCTGTGTATGGATCGGTATATCCTGTCTGGAGAAAGATCAGCTTTCATCTTAAAAAGGATTGGTCGAAGAAGTAGATGGAACCTTTCTTTCTTTGTACTTTGGTGTCTCGATTAATGGAAATGGTACATCTGCCCATTGTCGCGGTTTTGGGGAAATTGAATCGGTCATGATGAAGCTGGAGCTTGTTGGGAATTATGATAAAACTAACATGGACTCATCAGCAAGTGGATTCATATTAACTTCTTTCCTTGTCTGAGGAATTGGCTATGATTTTGTGGTCGTGGATTCAGACTCGGACTTCGTTGCTACCGATTGCTACCGAGATCTTAGCAATCATCTCGGTAGCGAGCCATAGTCCGAACTACCTAGCCTTTATTTTAAAAAAATATATACAATGAAATATCGTATAAAGACTCTCTCGATCTCGTTCGATGTATATTAGATTTTGAAACTTATTGTTCAACAAAACCTAATTTTAATCTCCAACTTCTCAATATAAGATGAAAGTACTTTTGCTGGGAGTTACGGGAAACGTTGGATCTCGGATGCTTCCCGCTCTCCTTGCTCGAAACCACCAAGTCGTTGCGTACGTCCGGACACCTTCCAAGATCCCTTCTGAAGCAAAGTCCAAAATCGATTCTATTGTCACCGGTTCGGCTACCGACAGCGAAGCCATCAAAGCTGCAATCACCTCTCACAGCTGTGACGCAATCGTCAATGCAGCCGGTGTGGCTCCTATGACTAGGTTCCATTCCCAAGGAGATTTCTCGACCATTTTTGCAGCTGTCGTAAAGGCGGCTGCTCTAGAAGCTGGACGTGAACGTGGAGGGGCGCCTATCCGATGTTGGCTCATGAGTGGCTTTGGCATACTAGATAGTCCCAAGAAACCGTATATGATGGCCGACTAGTAAGCATCCCTGACTCTTGCTGTAGATTTATTGGCATCTGATACAATTCTCCTCAGCATACCGATGTTCCCAGCACACAAGCCGAATTATATGTTGATCAAATCACACCCCGTTGAAGAGCTGGCCTGGTCACTCTTCTGCGCTACCCAGATGTTTCCTAGATACGACACGCCCCGATATCCTGCTGATACAGACGCGGCCAGTAATCTTGTAGCGAAATCTGACGCCCCACCGGCTTGGACTGAGAGATTCCGATGCGTGCCGCTGATTGGAAATTATTTGAATGTTATGGCGCAGTCACAGAGCTGTTTTTCTGTGCTGGAGAATTGTGTGGATTTTATGGCTGCGGATTTGGAGATGGGACTTCGAAGCGAGTGGGTTGGGAAAAGGGTGGGTGTTATGGAGAAGAGTAAGGTTAAAGCCGTGTAGATAGGTTGTAATATCTTGTCCTACACAGCACATTAAATTCGAGTTGTTGAGTTGAGTAGTAACACTTATTCCACTTAGCTCGAGTAGTAAAAATCGCTGCTCAACTTAATTTAACTTGAGTACTACTCGAGAAGCGTTGAGGAGTTGAGTAGTTGAGTAGTTTTGTGAATACGCTGACTTTGACAGCTTTATACAACCTCTGTCATATTTAACATGTCTCATTGCTCAGCCATTTTTAGGCAGTTCAGGTAAACTTTTGAGTTAATTACTGACTTGAGTTAGCCTATTAGATTGTTTATCTGCTGAAAACATGTATTCTTGATACTAAACTCATTTGTAACGTATTGGATATCCTAGAAGAATAGTACAAAAAGTGATTCATTCGCAGCGGATCTCCACCATGAGGCATGTGTTCTATTTTTGCACCATTACTTTTCAGCCTCTCTCTAATCGCTAAATAACCCCTGAAGAATACAGTACAGCACGGTAGCCTAGCGGCTAACGTAAGCAACACATGGCAATTGCTCACGACCGAAACCACATTTCTCTTCATGTGTACTGCTATACCTGAAGTCGGCGAAGAAATATCCTGGAAGACTCAGAGACATCCATTTATAGGACGCACCGCTTGAGGTTCCTCGGCTTTTCTCTTCAAATCAAGCGTTCCCCCACCACAACTGCTCTCGCTGGTCACGTTATCTTTTTACTGAAAATGAACAATCTTAAAGCAAAAACCAACTTTGCAGAAGAGATGGTAAACGCTTCAGTTGCTCTCCCGAAGCCAATGTCCTGGCCACGGAGTGTTCGAACATCGTGTGTACCTGATTTCTTCAATTTTCTTGGACAAAATACTTCCCTTGGTAGATTCTATTGCGAGGGCATCATCAAACCGCCACAGTCTTAGGAATTTTTCTTTTTCTACTTATCAGTAGTCTTATGGAAGTACGCTGACTCCAAGAGCTTGAAGATGCGATTCGTGCAAACAAATGAAGGTATGCAATTTCAACGCACAATACAGAATGACACGACGGCTGACCAAGTTTGGAAAAATGGAGATAAAATGTCAAAGGGAAGGCGACGATAGCTGTAAGCGATGCGTCGCTCGAAAGCTATACTGTACCACAACACCAGTAGAGAGAAAGAAACGAAAACTGACGAAGTAGTCTTACCAAGATATCTCACTAGCAAAGAGAATACTAACTGAAAAAAGCAAGAAAGACGCATTTGATGAGATGGAAGACCGGATTAAGCGCATGGAGTCTGCCATAATTACGGCTGGACTGATCGAGGTAATCGAGCCGGAGGCAGAGAAGAGAGAAGAGGAGAGCTCCGATAAAATAGAAATTCAGGCAGAACTGTCAAATCATCTCTCAAACTTAGTAATTGATGCTAAAGGGTCTCCAAACTTCATTGGTATATGTGGAATCACTTCTAATTTCCTCGGTGTTTCTGACAATGATGATTAGGCTGGGCTTCTGGTTTCTCGCTTCTTTCTCCGCAATGAATTCGCTGGATCTCGGAAAGGTTATATGATAAAGACGATATAATTCGACTCACGCAGCTTGCAAAGCGCGATTGTGGTATTTGGGGGAGTGGGGACGCTGATCTTTGGTATCCTCGGCCACTGTCACAACACTCACCTCTACCTTCCAAGGATCTTGCATCAAAATACGTCGATTGTGAGTGGGGGCTTGTAATCATGTTTAGTAATGCGATAACTTATATCAATAGGCTTTTTTGAAACATTTAATAATGTCTTCCCCGTCGTTCATCCAAGAGTTTTCAACTCCTACTTTGAACGACAGTATACTTCAGCCCCTCCCGGAGGCACTGCGTGGTACGCTTTACTTAATGCTGTGTTAAGCTTAGGAAGTATCAGAACAACGGAAGTGCTAGACGGAGTTAGTTACCTTATCGATTATACTTCACCATCTCAGGAACCTGGTGTGGAATATTTCCGCAACGCAAGTAGCTGTTTTCATGACTTATTGTTTAGCGAGGCCAACCTGATGGCAATGCAAGCGATGACTCTTATGGTAAGCCTCTTCTGTAATGACATAGACAGTCTTATGGCTAAGTGTATGAAAAGCTGTCCATCACCACATCAAGTCCCAATCCTCAACCCTCCTACATCATGACTTCCGTGGTTGCCAACCTGGCAAGTACTTTAGGCCTTCACCGACGTTCGGACAGCTCCAGTCACAATGCAGAAGAGATTGAACAGCGGAGGAATGTCTTTTGGGTGTTTTATATATTCGAGAAATCAACAAGTCATAGCTTAGGTCGCCCGTCTTCCATATACGATGACGATATCGCCGTCGACTTGCCACCTAATGGAGCTGCCACAATACAGGCCTCTACCGGAGCAAAGTTGTATGACTTCTTCCAAAACCAAATCACTTTGAGTATCATCGAAAGCCGCATATACAGCGAGTTGTACTCTGCAAGCTCACTTACGAAATCAAGGGAGGGTCGTATGAGAGTACTAGGCAAGCTAGACGACCATCTCCAACGCTGGAGAGATGCGATACCAATCGAGATAAGACCAGAGCATCCAATTTCATGCACGAATGAACAGTATATCCCAGTAGTCATGATGCACTTCACTTATTTGGAAGCTGTAATACAGCTCCATCGTGTATCAAGTCGTCAGGGGATTTTCAGGAATGGTACCACTACGAAAGTAGAAAGCGGTGATGAGCTACGACTTGATAATCAAACTTATACAAGCCATTTACTCTGCGTCGCCGCTGCGCGGAGATCCATCCGTCTACTAGACACAATCGGCAACAAAACTCGGCATAATCAGCATTTCATGTGGTCAGTGATGATTTTGCTTCACGAGGTTGATACGCTAATTCTGACCTCAGGAGGGCGCTATATTATCCTCTCAGCGCTTGTCTTGTTCTCTTGTCTAATATATCTTCAGACCCGCAAGACCAGCATGCTGCTTCTGACATCCATTTCATGAAATCGATCACTTTATTCATGACTCGATTTGTCAATCCAACGTCCTCATTCGCTGCCACCCCGACTGTGAACATGTTCCAGGAGCTTTATAGTATTGCCGCACGCCTTGTAGGAAAGGCACCTTCGTATGCAAGCCAGAATTCGAAGAGGCCAGCTGAAAATGATCTGGCGCAAGCGGAATTATCTACAGTGATGTCTGAAGAGCTTTTGTACTCAAATTTGGACTCGCAACCTACAGAACCACCTGTGAGTGTTTGATCCCTGCAAACTTTCCTCTTCTCTTCTTCGTATACTCACGATGGGTCTCCTAGGCTCAACGCGACCCAATGACAGCAAATCCCCAAAGCGAAATTAAGACACATATACCTTCATCAAGATACAATGACCAACAGAACTCCCAACAAGATCAAGATGTACAAGATGTACAAAATGAACAAGAATTCCTGTTTGACGATAATCCTCTTGGATTTGCGCCATTCATCGTTGAAGGAGCGAGCTACCTGAACTACGATCCATCAATTTACGACCCTCCCCTCTCCCCCACGAGTTCAGAATGGGATATGACGAAAATATGGGTGCCATAGCCAGATCGAGCCAGATGTGCCGAGCCTCGCTTGCGTATCTTTATCAGGTTTCGGGAAGCGTTGTGTGGCGTTGGGCAAGCGGTCGAATAGGAGTTAAGGGAAGTTCATTCGTTCGCTTAGCAAATTTAGTAAAGTACCAGTACTGTATTGGAACCACGTCTCATATCCTTCTACGATAGTGTAAAGAGATAACAAAATGGGGGGTTTTCAATAGTCTGAGTATCATTGGGAAAATGATACTTATGATCACAATAAGTTCTTTCCCGGACATAGCTAGATTGATTTGACATCGCAAGTACTTGCTCATGCTTCTTTCGGAAACATTGTGACAGCCTCGGCGTTTAGAATGATCGACGAGCTCAATTATGCACCTCTGGCATCGATTATTCGGGGCTGATGCCCCTCTTTGGCAGCAGCACCACCACCACTATTCTCATTGATATTCGTCCCCAGAAACCCTTCCCGTTTCTGTTGAATCCACATGTGTCATCCAAAAAGAAATTTGGTTATGCAAGAGTATAGGATGTTTTTTTCGATGACATGTACATCTAGAAGGCACCTTCCATTCTGAAGAAGTATGCACCAATCGGAGAAGGTACTCGGTACGAGCAAACGCCACATATGTATGCAAAAGTCATGTAAATTTAGAAAACCGATTGCTTGAAGATCAATATACCGATATGATAAGAAAGATACCGAGAACCCGGATTCGCCACTTAGAAAGGAAGAGGGCTGGTTTTGATATTTGTTACTGTGGAGGTTCCGGGAGGTGCAGCTTGGATAGATTATAATAATGCTGCTTTGCCGCAAATTGGGGTTGAGAAAGCAGAAAATAAACATCCTGACCATGAGTTTCTAGTCAATATCGTATCCTGTTGGAAAGATACAGTGTTTACTCAATAATATGTGCAGACATTTTATAGGAGGATATAAGCCGTGCGCCAATAGGATTTTCGCTCAACATAACGGAGGTAACGAAGCCGCACAAAACCCATGAAATAGATTAATCCCACCGTTGATCATCGCGTTATTCTCCCCAACACAGACCGGGTTCTCGGTCAACACCTGCGAGACATACTCCACTCAATTCATTCTCATACCGTCTTTCCAATATTCCTGGAAGTTCTTCAAGCAGTTCCTTTTGGCCCATGAACTTATCGAAGCCTTACGAAACCACCAAAAGTAGAACCGGAAAGTGGGGAAAACCCCAATTCTTGATGAAGACTGAGCCGACAGAGGCTAAATCACATGGGCGACGAACGAGTAAGCTGTACTGTAAGAATTTGAAATCCGATTTCAGCCCGGTTCAGGTGCATATGTTTTCTGGATCATATCCCAAAAGAAGCTTCCAACTCCGGGCCTCGGATTGTCCTGAACACCGTAGCAAATCGAACTTACGTTCGTAAATCTAAAAGGATGCTGGGGTATGTGGGTGGAGTACGGAACATTGTGAACTGAGGTGAATCGGAGGCTCCTACTCGCTAGAAGCGCATGATATGCGTAGAAGATTGAGGGATTCGTGGAAAGCTGTTCTCTGATTGGTCCGACGAGTAGTGAATAGTCTTGTTGACATCTGGGTCCTCCACCTACTGTACACTCCCCAGCATCCTTCTGAAGTTCGATTAACTACTGTAGCGTGCTCTCAACCTGTATCGTTATATTGCCCAAATGTGAACTGCTTAGAATTTTTTGCACAAACTAGCGGTAACAACAAGTCTGAACTAACATATCAATAATTATAACTCTACGATCCAAAGTTTATACAGTAATTGAAAGTTGTCCGTGCCCTACCCGCCAATATCCGTTCCGTAAACGATGCCAATTCTCACTAAGCTCTTGACACACAAGCTCTACCCTGCAATATTCACCCGTCAACGCCTTCAACGACAAGGCCCCATGTGGGATTCTATACAAGTATAGCGGGGTGCGGAGCAAAGACCAAATCCTACGGGGAACTCGAGCACAGAATATCCACAAGTACTTAATAAAATGAATAACCAGTATTCAACCAGTGTGCTCGCCGGGAGTACCAGATTGGGATTCCAAGCGTTGTACTTCTCATCGATAAGTAGCAGGCGTTGAAACCTATTTTCTTCTGTTGGATCCTTAGTTGGTGGCTGGCAAGATGTTGGACTTCAAAGCTTTCCTGGTTTTCGCTTGTGCCGGCTCATCATGGGCTGCGGTAGTAAGATCTGCATTACCAATTGTCGATTTGGGTTATGTGTTACAACAAGCGACTATCAATGTAAACAAACTCCCATTTCCATTCAATTGACTGCCGAATAAGTTTCTAACTGTCACCAGGAAACCGGCCAATACTACAATTTCTCCAACATCAGATATGGAGCTGCTCCAGTCGGGAATCTTCGATTCGCAGCACCAGTTCCACCAACCACCATCAATCGCACCGTGAACGATGGTCAAACAGCAAACATATGCCCTCAAGCTGGCCCATACTGGTATCAGATTATGACAAGTTATCTTAGTGGAGTCGATATTACGACATTGGGATTCATTGCTGCTCAAGTAAATGCTGCAGCAGATGCCTTGACAATTGCCAGCGTCCCAGAACCAGATCCAAGAGAAACAGAGGACTGCTTGTTTCTCGATGTGATGACGCCCGTTGACGCTTTCAATGGAGGCAAGAAACTTCCAGTTCTTGTTTGGATATATGGAGGAGGATTCACAACTGGATCTAAAACCAGTGCCGGAAACCCAGCAAGCTTGATCGCAAAGGCAAAAGAAGATGCTGGTGAAGGTGTAGTTTTCGTCGCCATCAACTATCGTTTAGGTCTTTTTGTAGGTGCTGCAAGTCAAAAAGTCATATCTCCAAAAAGCTAATTTCATCATAGGGGTGGCTACCAGGTTCCACATTCGCTGGCCAGGGAGGACTTCCAAATGCCGGGCTTTATGATCAACGTCTTGCCCTCGAGTGGATAGCCGCGAATATTGGCCGATTTGGAGGCGATAGCTCTCGCGTAACTGTTCTAGGCGAGTCTGCCGGAGGAGCTTCGATTATGCACCAAATCACTGCATTTGGTGGAGCAAAAGCACCTTTCCAAAAAGCGATTATGCAAAGCCCAGGATTTAGTGTCACTCCCGCAGACGCTCAACAGGAAGCTGTTTACAATACTGTACTTTCTGATGCTCAGAGTCTGATTTCGACAAACATCACAGATGTATCAGCTCTTCGTGCTCTCGACTCCAAGACCATAGCTGCCTTGAACTACATTGTCATTGCAAGATCAGAATATTCTTCATTTACTTTTGGCCCTGTAGTTGATGGGACCTTCGCACCCAAACTTCCTGGTGTTCTTTTGGAAGAGGGCAAGTTTGACAGCAGTGTTGAAGTGATGACAGCCCACAACTCAAACGAAGGCATTGTCTTCACTTCGCCATTCCTCGATACGGAGGATGAATTCAAGGCTGCACTTGAGAATCAACTTTCCACAGCAACAACCGATGCCATCGACTACATTACGAACACACTTTACCCAGCTGTATATAATGGCTCATATCCGTACACCAATGTCAACCAAAGAGCGACCCTGTTCGCAGCTGAGCTGTCATTCACTTGCAATACGCGATATCTCAACACAGCCTTCTCCAATGAAACGAGCTCCTACTATTTTGCTGTTCCCCCGGGACTGCACGGCCAAGATATTGCATACACTTTCTTCAATGGGGATACCACGACGTTGAATGATGGATCCCCAGTAAATGCGGCAACGGCAAACCTCTTACAAAAATACATTGCCAACTTTGCAACTAGCGAGAGCGCAGATCCCAACGGTCCCGGGCTGCCATACTTTCCTGTGTACGGAAATAATGCAACTGTCTTGGTTCTAGATTTGGCAGCCCAGGGACAGTTGGCGGTGGACAGTGCTGCAAACGGACGATGTGCTTGGCTTCAGAAGGCTTTATATGCATAGATAGATATATATTCCCTAAATAGCATGGAAAGAGAGTATAGTGATAATGCCAGAGTGTAAATATACCAGATTTGAATTGAAAAAACATCAGAAAGACTTTTGGTTGCTATATCGAGACTTCGTGCGAAGAAACCGATTATATGAAAATTATGATGTGATGATACCTTCAAGAAAAGACGCACCTCTCGAGCGCGAGTGGCTCTAAATACATATGACTGATGGTGGCCAGATATTCTTGGCTAATAGGTCCTGATTGATGGAATCGTACAGGGCAACGAGGAATACCATTAGATGACTGGAGAAAGGTGAACTCAACACTGGTGAACCCATTTGAGGTTGGGACAAGATAGCTCTTGCATTTTCCTTCAAATTGTGGGTCAAGCCTGTTTCCTCCTGTTAAGTTTGGCCTGTCGGATCAAATATGTACCGTAGCCCTACAGTGATTCCGCTAAACCTGTTTGTTTCCTTACTTCCCCTCTGTATGGCTACAATTACCTACCGGCATACCTCGACATAATAACACGCAAATACCCCCTCCTCAGCTTAGCCGAAATCTATTCATAAGCAGCTGCTCAGATCAATACCCAAAGAGTCGCCCGGACTGCATCTGCATCCTTCTATATGGAGCCACGGACATCTAAAGCCATCTCTTAATAAATGCATCAAATTACACCATTATTGGATTTATATATTCAGGTGCCCTCTGGAGTTTGTAACACGCAGATAGACCTCTCCCACGGCCGGTGGTGGCAAGATATAAATGACCACATCCTTCGGCGTGTTCCCATCTAGCTATTTTGCCGGGATATAAGACGAATTTCCCCCTTTCGATTAAATCGTCGTCCAATGCGCCTTGTATGATGACATCTTGGAATGAAAATAACTTATTATTCATGGATTTTTGCAATTTGCCGCCATTTCCCCTCCCAAGAACTTTACTCAAATACAACAGCACAAACACCTTCCACTTTCATACACACGCTTTTGCCATAATTGTACAGACAATTGAGCGGCAATTGCATCACGAACTGCATCGGAAAGCGATTCAGTATCCTCTCCGTCAATAGGCCCATTGTCTCGCTTCTCGTAAAGGGTTCCTCCTTCGGCCCAGATGCGGCGGAGAGTAAATAAAGTAGCAGCAGGATGGTTATTGGAATAAGCTTCCTTTTCTAGCTCACGCAATCTTTCAAAGCTGGTGTAAGTGACCGATCACTTCTCCCCGCCAGTTTGTTTTTCAAATTCAGCAACAATCTCGTGGCCAGTGGTAGTGAAAGAGTTGACTCTGAGAGCGCGATTTTTCGCAGCTTCTGGATAAAGAAGGGCCTTGACAACCAGCCTTCCAACGCTGTTTGATATTAGCTTGGTCATCTAATGACTGTTGCGGTATTTTGAATCATAGTCAGCAAGTGTTGTCAGACTGATCTTGCCTGTTCCATCTCCAGTCAGGACTGCTTTCTTTTCCTTGACATTAAAACCTCCTATTTCCGGAGCAAATGGAACAATCCCGAAGAATGTGCCATTTGAAGCGCCATCGGCATATGGTCTAGGATACTGGAATTAGCCTTCCGAAACAAAATACGCATGCCAGTGTGAATAAGCTGATTGCTACAGGACGTTTCGAATAATGAGAAATGTTTGGATCTACTTACCCAGAACTACGTAAGTGTGGTCAAGATATGAAACCTCCTTCAACGCTGCTCGAACCTTCAACTTTTGTTGATGGGGTGGTTCTTTTGCTGACGTTTCGTTATATTCTATGTCAGTTCCGTACTCGGACGGAAAGAACCGCTTGACGCTGGGAACCTTTTCAGCAAGCTTGATCAATTTGAGTTGATCAGCAATGACTGCTTGTCCCACAGCGCTGACGATTGTGGTGATACCTAAAATACAGGTTAGGCTTATTGCTGGAAAAAAAGATCAACTGACTGACCATCAAGTGCATTCACAACGTCAGCTTCCTCCCCCGCACTCCCCACAATCACTTCTACTCCATTTTCCTGCAATTGACTAATCAAGTCGGGCTTCTTCTCCACGGTTCCAGGAGATGTGAAAATGGCGATGCGACCGAAGGAAGTCTTGGCTTTGACTATTTGATCAGTGATATACCATCCAATATATCCCGTTGCCCCAAAAATGAGGATGTTTTCTTTTGTTGTGGATGCCATTTTGGTTGGATGATGTACAAGCGGCTGCAGCGGGCTTATGTGTGTTGTACTTTCAAGATGTGGAAGTTGCGTTTGAGGGATCGCAGCTAGATTCGCACGCCCTCCGGTATTCGGATGATGATTTATAAGCTTCTTTCCTTCAAATCCCGTATGGGCATCCCCTAAACCAAAACAAGTCACTCCAAATCTATGTAATTTGCAGTTCTTTTTGTTGGTGTCGATGGTTAGAAGCAACACAAAATGAGGGGTTTTCATCATCGTGCCAAGCTATTAGCTACATGCATGCAGATTATAGAATGCTACGCCACCAGGGGAATAGCAACCAGGTATCACCTGTACCTCCTGTATAGAGTTCTTATTTATCCCACTATTTGTAACTTTTAAGGTTTTTCCTCAACAATTCTTCTCATTGAAAAAGTTGTCAAGTTGTCTTGCAATCTTCACAATGGCTGTGCTGCCTGGACACCCAATCTGCTTTGGAGGGCTTAAATGCCTTGTAGTCTACCTTGTATTGCTCTTGTTACCTCTACAGTCATCTGCATATCTTACTGGTAGCCAATCACCAGTTATCTGCTCAGGAAACCAGAAAGAATATGACTTTGTAGGTTAAATTTAGAATGTTCTCTCACATACCAAACACATCATTAATGGCTCTCAGATTATAGTTGGAGGAGGCACTGCCGGACTCACACTTGCCTCTCGACTAAGCCAGAAGTTGACACAAAATTGTTTTCTCATAATTGAAGCAGGAGAAGATGGCCGTCAAGATCCTGGGATTTTCATTCCCGGTCGACGAGGCTCAACATTCGGCAGCAAATTCGACTGGAACTTAACAACCGTTCCACAAACCCACGCTTCAAATCGAATAGTCAATTTTCCCCGAGGAAAAGTCCTCGGTGGCTCCTCGGCTCTGAATCTCATGGCATGGGATCGAGGATGCAAAGCAGATTATGATGCCTGGGAAGACCTTGGAAACAAAGGTTGGAATTGGAAGAACATGTATCGAAACATGCTTAAAGTTGAGAATTTCACATTTTCTCCAGAGTATGGAAATAAAGGCGTCTCGAGGGGTGGTTTCATCCAGACGACTATCAATCGGATTGCTTCTCCTCAACAGCTTGCCTATTCACCGGTTATGCAAAAATTGGGACTGAAAGTCAATCGAGAGAGTCTTAGTGGTGACAATGTTGGTATTTCGAGGCAACCAAGCAGTATAAGATCGGAGGACTATACGCGCTCATACAGCGTTGAATATCTGAAGCATGCACGAGAGAATGTTGCTTTGAAATTATCGACCCGAGTGGCCAAGGTCAATTTTGACAAACATTTAAAGACCACGGGTGTCACACTACAAGATGGAACGTTCATTGCTGCTAGTAAGGAAGTCATCATCTCAGCGGGAACCTTTCTATCTCCAGGCTTGCTTGAGCATTCTGGTATTGGAAACAAAACGATTCTTGATCAACTTGGAATCACGCCACTCTATGATTTACCAGGGGTAGGCGAAAATCTTCATGACCATCCTAGAGTTCAAGCTTCATATATATTGAAGCTTGGGTTTGTGTCTGTTGATCGACTAAGGTTCAATGCCACTTATGCCGCTGAACAACTTGCGCTCTACAATGCTCGACTACCTTCAGAGTAAGACACATCCAGTCTCAGCAATTCCAAAGACCTCAGATGTTGACTTGCCTAAATTTGTATCTCTCAGTTGCATTTACTTTTTAATTAACATTCCACAGATGGGACTACACAGCCTCTGCCTTCATCTACACACCGTGGTCCACCATATTCCCCTCAACACAAGCCAAACTCCTCAGCCTCGCCAAATCTCTCATCACCAAGAGCTCCCCACCTAACTTAAAGAAAACACTCGACCTCTTATCCGACCCCTCGGTCCCGCAAGTAGAAGTAATCTTCACCGACAGCCTGACAGGAACCGCCGGCTACCCACCACCCAACTCCTCCTTCTACGGAATAGAAACCTTCACCCTAGTAGCCGGCCTCATGCACCCCTTCTCCCGAGGCTCAGTCCACATTTCCTCTCCATCAATTACCATCCCTCCCCTCATAGATCCCAACTATCTCTCTTCGCCAATGGATCTAGAAGCCCAAACACAGCTTGCAAAATACTTACGAGAAATCGCTAATACGGAGCCCCTGAAAAGCGTGTGGAAGGGAGAATATGAACCCGGGCTCAGAGTACAAAGTGATAAGGACTGGGAGGATTACGCGAAGAACGCGACAATGACGTTTTCTCATCCTGTTTCGACTTGTGCGATGGGTCCTGAGAAGGATGGTGGGGTTGTGAGTGAGAGGTTAAAGGTTTATGGGACGAGGGGGTTGAGGGTTGTGGATGCTAGTGTGATCAGTTTGTTAGTCAGTGGACATATTCAGACGGCGGTTTATGGGATTGCGGAAAGGGCGGCTGAGATTATTCTTGAAGATTGGGAGTAAAAATTCGGGCCTGGTTGGTGGATGGAATAGCATCAAATGTGTGCATCATAGTCCGTGGCGCCCGATAAACAATACCCGTGACAATGACCAGCTATCTCGTTGTTCTGTTTGGCTCGCTTAATTTAAGTCAATAGTACTCTACAGCTACCAGTCTAGATCCGCCAGAATAATCGCTGTGACTATTTTAGGATATTAGAGCAATCGTGAAGTGCTCTGGAATGCTGGGATAGCGAGAGGTCTCTAATACTGTTGTTATCAATGGCAATCAATGTGTCTCAACATGTAAGGATTGTGCTCAAAAGTATTGATTCGTATCCTAGGTCGTTTGGTTCGTCACTCAATTGCTCTCCACTTGATCGCGCTGATTCTTTTACCCGTAGTCATTGTTATCTTCGTCTGCGCAAGGTTTATCAAACGATTCAAGACTTGTAGATATCCGAGTCGCTATGAAGGTCAGCAAATGTGCGCTCGTCTTCAAGAAGAGCATGGACTCACAACTTTCCAAATTTCTCTCTTCCTTCCGCGTCCTTATTAACCCACACACTTACACTTGTTCCGCAGCACTTGAAATTTCCATATCCGTCTTCTCCGATCCGTACTTCTTGTTGCTCCCAACCAAGCACATCAGTCCATATCTCGCCACTATGCATCTCACCAACATGCATTCTCTTTTCGCCAGGTCCAGCGTTAGACATTACCACTGCACATCCAAATCTTCTATCCCATGTTCCATATCTGACCCAGCCGATGCAGGTGGGGTAATCAAAATAGTCTTGTTGAAGGCCATAAGAGTAGAGCTTTCGTGCCAAGGCGAGATCTGTTGCCAGTAAGAATCACGACAATGAATAATGGGGAAGTTTCTTACCTGGAAGTGCACCGCCACATGATGGCGGGAATGGATGCTCTCCTTTGATACCGTAGAGGTCACCGTAAAATAAGCAAGGATATCCATCGTATCGAAGGAGGATGAGTGCGTATGCTAGTGGCTTGAAGAATGGCTCGATGGATGCCTCAAGTGCTTGGTATGGTTGAGTATCGTGGTTCATAACGAGAGTCTGTAATGGGAATTAGCGCTTTATGCAAGAGCAACAGATGTTGATAGGCTGACCACGGCGTTAACAGGAGTGGCCTTGACCAGCGTATCATTGAATACAGTTCTCAAATCCGCGTTCTCGTTCTTGCTCAATTGACTAAAGTTGTAGACCAGAGGGGCGTCAAACAAACTGAACTTCTTGCCCATTCGATCCAGATAGCTCGTCATATCAGACAAGCTATCTTTCCAAAACTCGCCAACGAAGAACCATCCTTCTCCATGGATCTTGTCAAGCTCGGTAATCAGCTGACGAAGAAAGTCTTCACTGAAATGCTTTACAGCATCAAATCTGATACCCTTCAAGGTAATCTGATTACTTAGCCATATACTCCAGTCTCTGACATCTTGTGAAACTTCCGGGTGGTCGTAATCGAGATCTGCAAACATGAGGTAGTCGTAATTTCCCTTTTCAGCATCGACATCATCGCCATCGGCCCAACCTTTGGTTTTGTCACCAAGAATCTTGTAGATGGCAGTCTTTTCGTTGGCAGCATTATAATCCGTACCAGAAAAATGATACCAATGGTACCTCATTTTGGAGTATTTGCCTTTTCGGCCAGGAAAATCAAAACCTAACCATGCATCAATCTCATAAGGGTCGGATATATTTTTGTTTCTGTCCTCAGGGTTGACCTCTTGGACCTGACACTTTTCCTTGCGGTCCGCTGCAGCTTTATGATTCAAGACTAAGCGCTGGGTCAGTAATTCAATATCAGACGCACAATTACACAACCCGGAACTTTACCTGCATCCCAATATATTCCCATGCCACAATCATTAGATGCCTTGACGAGCGCCATAAGTTCATCCTTCGTACCCCATTTCGTGCCTATGGATCCCTTCTGATCAAATTCACCCAGGTCATAAAGGTCATAAATATCGTAACCATTTCCTGATGGCGAGGATGCTTTGCATCCCGGGGGAACCCAGATGTTGTCAATTCCAGTTGCCTTGAGTTTTGCAACATCGTTTGCCAATCGTTGCCAGTGTTTCTGGTCGTCCGGGACGTACCACTCGAAGGCTTGCATCATGGTCATGTTCTCCTTCGTGGGTTCTTGCTCTACCAAACTTTAGTTATCTTCATACTGTGGATGAGACAGAACTTACTTGAATCCCCCATCTTGGCGGATGATGCAGGACTGTGATCTCTGAAGCTCACGGTAAAGGCAATTGAATTGTAGAAGTACTTGGAGTTTCAAGAAATGGTGGTCAAAAGTAATGGGAAGAAAATAAGATAAGAACGAGAAAGTTCTTGTCGTCTATAGCCCGTCTCTGAACCCCACTACTGTAAGTGAATATGCGAGTAAGTTGGGTGAAGATGGAAGGAGACTACTGTAAAAGTACGAGTAGCTGAAAGCTGCTCCAATCATAAAACCTACACATGTGCTCAGATAAGGCCTGGGCCTTCAAAACCCTGGATTTGACACACATGACGTAGATGGCTTTAAAAGCCAACAGAACAATCCTACAAAATACAGAATTTAGACTGGAAAATGGAAGACATTGCGATTGAGTTACGGCATCAGGATAAATCGGACTTCCGACTCTGATTTATTGCTGGTTGTGTGATTGTACTCGTACAACTGTTGCACAAAACACTGTAGAACCAACCGTCGGGCTGCAGGAGCATGCATTGTGGATGGGCACTGCACTGGCGCGTCAATCTCGAAATTTGACACAAACAGTACTCGATGAGAGGCTCTCAATGACATTATTTTCACCATAATAATTCTCATGAACATAGTACTGTACAGTAACTACTGGGTGATGGAGTAAAGCATAGGTAGGCATAGCTCGCTTGCGCCCCTGATGGGCCTGAAGTCGACGAACGAGAGGGGGTGCGGTGCTTCGACTCCTTGCATGCCATTTCCATTTCCATCTCCATCTCGGCGCCACAACCACAATTGCAAGTGCCGACACGAGACTGGATAGAAACACGGAGTTCCTCAAAATACTTCGTAATGCCACTGAACAATTGTACTGCTGTCACTCTCCACTGCGGTGCTTGGAATATGGAGGACGAAAGCCAATAGTTCTTCGCCTGTACGGGTACCCCTGTCCACGGACATTTGGCGGTGACCAATCGCCACGACAACTAACCTTGGAAAAGTCAATAAACCACAGCTCAACCAAACAAAGTACCCGAACACCAAGAGCTCCATCACAAGCCACCAAAGTCGAGTCCTGTCCAACCTCAATTCGCTGGATATATTTGTACTGCATTTATCCTGCACATACCCAAGTGACGGGTTGCTGCATGAACCCTCGCCCTCGAGGACCTTCTAAATCATTTGTTTACCAACACTGACCGCCGCCCACGAAATGGGGAAAAAAGCTACAAAACAGAAGAAAGCCAAAACCCACCTCGATAAATCCGGTTTAACAGTTTCCGCTGATCACGCCATGTCCCCCGACAGAGACGCCTCTGATTCCACGATTATCCGCCACGATTCATGGGAGGGACAAACGAAGGGAACCGAGGAGAATCCTGAAGAGAAGGAGGGAGACGCACAAGCCAGTGACGACGATGGTAACGAAGGGAGCACGGCCCGCGGGCAGAAACTGGGTAGTCTCGAAGCAAAAATACACGCTGCAGCTCGTGCTGTTATTGCGGACATTAAGGACAACTACGGCGGAAACGATGAATCGGTCTTGAGTGTGCAAACGGACGAGAGCCACCCTTCTTACAATTCTGGCAACGAAGAATTGTCAGAATTGACTCCTGATATGGATACCTCCGCAATTTCTCACGAGCATGAAAAGCTTATGGAAAGTATCGAACGCGACGAAGACGACTACAACGAGGCGCATGGGTTGGGAGGACACACTGAAGACAGAGTGGAAAGCCCGTCGTCGAAATCTCAATCCGAGAATGATCGAGGGGGAGACTCGAGTTCACATAATGAAGGGGACATTGATGACGACGACGTGTTCAGTCGAAATTCTGGCCACAGCGCTCGGAGCAGTTTGAACTCCTGCCACGGCTTGGACAGCTCAGACGAGCCATATGGACAGAAAGCACTCACTTCCCCAACGGTTGGGGAGGAGGCCGCCAGCACACGCCGTGGATCAGAAGTTTCTCATCTTGAATCATATATGCATGAAATTCCAGAAGCAGTGTCGCCTTCACAGAGTAAGGTACTTTCTCGCCCTCCTTTTCGGACTCCGTCTGCAGTGCGTGCTATGCAAATGTCTTCCCCAACTCCATCAGTCTACAATACGTCTCCTCGATCAGTCAAACGCCATCTACCAACCGTCTCTCGTATCGGAACCCCAAGTTCACACACACCTAGATACAGAACCCCAACACGTCTCAAAGCCAAAAAAGAACAGCCTCTCGTCTTATTACATGTTACCGTTCTGCCCCTTGTATGGCAGTACTCTCATCTTATGCCGTCATCAGATCTTCCAGATACGCTCAAAGATGTCAAAGAAAACTGGAGGCTTCTACAGGAAAAGCTAGCTGACACTGTTCTTGAGCGCGGCATCTTGATCCCCCATCCCCAAGACTCGTATGATGTTCTCGAGGAACGTTTGCTCGAAGCATTGGAATTGCCTGTTCGACCCCGCGCCATGATATTGAAGTGTGGGCACTATATGGGGCCACTAGAGCATGAAGTCCCTTCATGGGATGAAGATGCTGATGAGTTCTGGGCCGACAAGGCCCCTCAAAGGAAGTGGTGTGATATTTGCCGAAGAGATATAAAGCTCGAGAATGGCGGAGAGCCGGAAAAACGCAAGTTCAGGGTCAAGATATTTGCAAGTAATGGTTTGATGCATGCTGGTGCTTGGGCAGCAGCTTGGAGGGAGATGGAAAGAGTTGATGTGGAGATTGGGCCATGGATTGAATCTGCCCAACTTGATGAGCTTGAGAGGATGGCTATGTCAAAATCTAAACCTCCAGCAGTTAGTATCGAAGACCTCGAGGACGCCTTTGAAGACGAAGATGGGGATCATGAAGTGGTGAGACGTTCGGTCGAGCCTAGCGATATACAACAGCCCCGTTCTGGGGAGATGCCAAGCAGTGAAGATATCTCGGAGATGTCGAAGGACATTCCAGAACATATCTCAGAAGATGCGCCAGAAGAGATGCCAGAGATTGATCCCGAGGATATTTCAGACCAGATCTTAGAGGAGGTGCCAGAAGAGATTGAGGATGATTTAGATGATTCCCCAGAAAAGATCTCGGAGAATTGTGTTGAAGAAATTTCAGAAGAAACAAAGGATGCGCCAGAAGAAGTGTCAGAGAATATCCCCGCAAGTTTTTCGGAGGAAGTCTTAGAGGAAATTCCACAGGACATGCTTCGGAATGTTAACATGTCAGAGAGACACGAGGAGCACGCCAGATCTGTAGATTTTGATGAGTCCGATCAGCCTCAGGAGCTTGAAAAAAGTGTCGCTGATTACGAAAAGGAGATGCAAGAATTGCTTCTCGAGGAGGAGCAAATGAGGAAAAGGCATATCCATAGCCCGGAACCACCAATCCCCCAGAGACCTCAGCCTTCTTTTAACCCCCAGCCCCCTTTCAACGTCGACTCAAGACCCAAGATAAACGAGGACTCTCTGTCCGAACTTTTGGTCGCCGCTGGCAAAGTCGCAATGAGGGATCGGAAGAATCTAGCTATATTATTTCTGAGTGTTCTAGTCTTGATCCTCGCCCTAAGGCCAGTAGCTTCGTCATCCAGTCATCTTCAAATGGCCGATTCTCCAGCTATTGCTCCAGAAATACTTCACGCTACCGACAGCCAATCTAATCCTTCCGCCCCTGAAGCGCTTGTTGAGGTGATCTATGAGGGTCCGGTAACTGCAGCAAAGACCTCTGGGCCCCAAGTCCAAGCGGCTAGTAAGAAGGTGCAACAACGAAAGTCAAAAGGCTCAAAAGAAGCCCCATTGAAGGCAGCATTGAAGAAGCCCCCGCCAGCCTGTAACGAAGAGGCGAAGTCAGAGGAATCAGCAGTGGCCGAAACAGTTGAAGGCATGCTTGAGGGGGAAAATGAGGGCATAGAGCCAGAGGAGTCTGTTGATACAATGCCTCAGTTGGACGATGACGTGGAGGAGGATATTCAGACCACGCAAGAGCTTCAGGCGGATGCTCAAGAGGAGGTCGTTGAGGCTATAGAATCCCAGCTTGCCGACGACATGCCTCAGGCGGAATCCAAAATGGGGGCTGAGGAGATTAATCGCGTTGATATGTCGGAAAATGATTTGAATGACGAGGTGGGGGCGATGGAGGAGGAACTGGAAAATTACGAGAATGAAGATGAAGCAGAACAGGCTGATAACGAGACAGACCCCAGCACAAAGGAAGCGCTTCGAGTCCCTGATTCATCTGACTCATCTGTTCTCTATGGAGATCATGACGAGAATCCAACCTCGGCGACTTCGGAGAGAGAAGAGTTGTAGATTTCTGACTGACCAGGAAAAGAAGGACTTAAAACTGTCAATGTTCTGGAGCAGAGGATGAAGGTTCACGGGACGAGTATTTGAAGAAGAAAGCATATTTGAGCGAAGCGTTTTGTTGGTTTGTATTTGTCCTCCCTTGATTGGAATGTCTGGAATGTCTGGAATGTTTAGGATGTTGGGAATGTTGGAAAGTAAGGTTAATGTGATATGACAATAATGAAAAAGTTATATCATGCCAGCCAAGTTGAATTTCTTGTTGTGCAAGAGTTATTTGCTCGTAGAAAAGTAACGTTGTCGTTGCTCGTGATCGTATTAGGTCCTTGTCATGTCTTACTTTGCTTGGTGATGCTTACTCCACAATTACGAGGACGAAGCGATAGTTGGCTACTGTGCTGTACCTGAATAAGCGAATATACCACGAGATGGGCGTCGACTACTGTTGATCGCCTTGATGGCGCCATTTCTTCTACAGCCTCGTAAATCTTTTATTCTGTAAACGACTAAACTACGACCTTGTTAATCCTTTGCGACAGAACTGCCATCTAGATACCACTTCACTTTCTTACTAGTAGAATCATCAGCGGAGTAACGTCAACTTCATACGAGTAGGTAGTAGGCAGTTCTGTCATAAGTGCACAATATACTCCCGCGCTCGTATGGAATTATAATCGTATTTAGAGCACGTCTTACAAGGCATATAATATACTCCCGCGCCCGTATGGAATTATAATCGTATTAGGAAAACAGGCGCGCGCATATCTAGGAGTTCGATCTACTGACCCACTTATATATCTACGGGGCGACAGAATGACGCAGATGTAAAAGTGAGGGCATAAGGATTCGTGGATGTGAGCGGCAGGGCATATATAGTGTTCGCATATACAGTAGCAGTGGGATATGGTGATGACATACTTGTAGCACTGGTTTTATTTTTATTGGATTTGTATGTAAAATGATAATAAAACATGGGTGATATATAAGTGGTAGTTTTGTCGTTTACCGTTTTTATTCCAAGTCTTGATTGGTAATTGGAAGCATGTTTTTGGGGAAAATTGTATTCCATCTCTAGAAGTATTGTGTTGGTTAACGAAAGTAAGTGGTGCTGTTTTTCTTCCAAACAAATCCCCGCGTTTTCCTCTATCGCAGTACAGTCTAGAACCCAATCCAAGAATATCCCCTCGTCTAAAAGCCCAATTTATATCCCCCCCTTTCTAATCCATACATGATATTGCTATCCTTCTTAGTCTAATGTCTATCGCTAAAATTCCAACTCGATTCCCATTATCCTACACGTGAACTCCGATCAACCACAGGGACTTGTATCGAAAGACAAAAGTGTGTGCAATGCAGGTGCTTTAGATGGCATCTGAATCACCGAGGACGGCATTCTTTCTGCCGTAGTACTGTAATTGCCGATGTTAACATTTGTACTTCGGTACATACTTGTCTTGCTTCCTTGCACTGTGTCACATCTTGGGGCTGTACTTACTGGGTCATCTGGTTGAGGCTCTGGCTTTGGAGGATCACGGCTTGGAGATCCGAGAACTGGGGAAGTTTCGTACATGGACATGGACAACGACATGTTTTCGATTGGAGAGGATTGAAGAGCTTGAGGTTGAGAAGTTATTTTTGAGGTTATGAGGTTGATCTGAAGAAGAAGAAGTGCTCTTGTCGAGTTTTGAGAAAAGTGTTCTGGTTGAGGAGATGCTCTGAAGGTTGATTGAGTTGAATATGAGACATTTCTAGAGAGAAAACTTGAAGTTCTTATATCTTTCTGATTTCCTTGTATCACCAATCATCCTCACTTCAGAAATGCGCAGTCCGTAAATGGATGAGCAAATGAAAAAGCCTAGAGCTTCAATCCGAGCAATGTGCATATGGAGGAGCTAATCAGAAAGCCCAGGCCGTAGCTTCAACGAACTGTGAAGGAGGCATCCCGCAGTATGTTCTCCACTCTACACTCGCTCTCCTACAGCAGCATTCACGCGTAGTCATTCAAGAAGTTCACTTGATTGGAACTTGAGGCTGAGCGGCTCACCGTTACACTTTCTAAAAACAGGGTGCTTTTCGGAGACTTCCTGTTAGCAGGGTGCTCTCTTTGAGGAGCTGGGCCAGCTAGGAGACCTGATCTGCACTGGGAGTCATTAATCTCTGTTCCAACTACTTGGTGGCGGTGTTTAGCAAAAGTCTTTAGAGGAATCCCTTTTTCTCCTCGGTATACGTCAATCGTATACCCAGGGCACATTTTTATGAACTTTCTTGTTCATCCAGACCAGCGGATCCTCTTTAGTCTTCAGCCACCCACTCCTAGAAGATTTACTAGTGGAGGGTGGATGGTGGATGGTGGCTTTTGTTTTCTCAGATGAAAAGGCTGCCTGAAATCTGAGACTGCTACCGGTCGAGTTCAATCGAAATAGGCCCCGAGGCACATAAAGCTATTTGAATAAAAGATCCTGTGATTCGTCCATCCTTTACTTGGCCCCTAATACCGGCCGTAACGAGAAGGTAAGAAGCCAAATGACTCTGTATGACGGGACATAAATTAATATGTTTTTTTCTGTTTCATCTCAATTATCCCTAGCTCAAACCCTAAAGTCATATTACCGGGGTACTTAATAATTTTGTTTTACTCCCGCGCGTCTACCGATACAGTACATCTGCCAACGGACCGTTGTAAGCACCTTTCTCGTCTGCCCTTCGTCATTGAAGGGGTAGGGGTCATCAGGGGTATGTATGGGGAAGCCGAGGCACCCAATTAATCGAGATGGATTTTCCTCATCCACTTCCTCTACTACTCGCACATATCTCACCCCTAAATGGGACCTTTGTGGCGAGTAAACAAGGATTGTTTGTATTTCTCGCGATGGTGGTTCGAAAGAGTCCCAGACTCATTGCTTTCAGCCCTACGAATAAGCATCCAATCGTATACACGATTCCACATCCCACTGCCCTCTTATTCTCTGCATGAACCTGAGATAACATGATCGTAAGGGCGAGCGCGCAACACGAAAAACTAGTCATGTGCGAAATCGATCGTTTGGTGTAGGAGTAACGCCTTTCTGTGGGTGCCTCAGTCAAAAATAGCCAGGCAGCTTCTCGGTTCCATTTGGGTTCTTTTCTTTGCGGGTGAGTAATAAAGTTGGTAAGCCAGCTCTGCCCCCGTGGTCTCGGTAACGAATTGGGGTTCGGTGGTAGTTGGATCTTCGGCCAACTATACTTCCGGACTTCAATTGGATTTCTTTCTAGTGTTTCTCTACTCAGCTAAGCATATTTCTCGAATCGATGACGCTACAGGGCTGATTGGTGGACTGCAGTCAGCGGACTGTTGGTGGAATGTTGGTTGTTGAAGGTTACCTTCACTTGAAGATTTGCCACCTTGTTTGTATGATTCTTACTGTTTGAGACCCTCGAAACTTGTAGATCTCTTGTATTTTTAGACTGCATACTGGTTTGGAGTCACCAATCGTAGGAACCTAGAGGGTCCATTTACTTGAGCCTCGTTACCCTCATTATCTACCAACAATCTTCTTTACTTCAAACTTTCTCGACAATTTCTACGACAGGCAAGACACATCATGCATCGGAAGAGTCCGAAGACCTGGAGATAGCCATTACCACCGACTCGGTCCGTTGCCATTGTGTTTACCAGATTCTGATTCTTTCGAGCTCTCAAATCAGCATATCTGCCTCTGTTTACAGTTCACTGCCTGTTCAACTCGCACTTGAAAATGCGGTCATTCTCACCACCTTCTATCGTGGCCGCAAATCTGCAGTCATTCTAGTTGATGTGAGCACTGACCGAGTATCATTAAGTTCGATAGAATATGGTCCGAAAAGTGTCCGCAGTTCTTGGTTCTTCCAATACACTCTCGAACCTCGGATCATGGACAGTCGTACAATGATATTCCTGCAGAACTTCACCCTTTCTGTTATCCGAGGGGAATTCCTATGCATATGCGTCGACTCTCGTGTCCAGCCTTGCTTTGCGTCCGTAAGTTCCAGCCCAGAGCCCTTCAGACTAATACTAACGTAGAAATCTGCATATATTGCCACTATACATTCTATGGTGGGTATAAGTTGCTATAGCAAGAAATGCACGAGACTAATACTAATGTAGAGATTGGCGAGCCACTGTATGTTCCATGACGGATAGAATGCAGTGCATTATAGCAAGAAACTCACCAGACCAGTACGAATGTAGAAACCTGCGAGCATTGGCACTATCCATCTCATAAATACTTTCAACATAGTAAGACACTCATTAGGCTAACACTAATAGTAACCTTTGAGCCCTTATATATCGAATAGATACAACATTCCACTCTTGGTTACTTGAAGCCGTTAGTAGTATATTTGATACAGTTGTCGACTTAACATAACAAGAAACTTACAGGACTTATACCAATATAGAAGGGTTCGAGGCATTACATCTTCAATAATAGACTGAATTCCGTCGCATAAGAAATTCACGAGCTACATCACTCAATATACCATTGACGAGTTCTAGCACACACTAGCCTAATACCAATACGAATACAGAAGTTTGCGAGCCACTATACTTTCGATGATAGAACTTCATATAACAAGAAACTCACCGACTAATACCGATATAGAAATCCGCGAACACGCCGTTATGCATCATACGTTTTACGAAATCCAGTACTGTACGAATACCGTACCGTTGAATTGTCACCGTATCCCTTTTCGTTCTCAGGGGGTGCGAGAAGCGAGGAAATGAAAGTTGAAACAATGCAATGGTCTATCAACCAAGTCAGCTGCAACTCCCCGAGAGCGAGAAGCGAGGAATTGAAGTAATGCAATGGAATATCAACCAAGTCAGCTTCACCACCTACGTTACACTACTTATGAACTCATTAAGAGCTGCTGCCTACGAGGCTTTCTAGCTATGAACTTCATGGGAAGCAACTCATTACCCTTTTTTGACCGATGTACCCAGAGCTTTCCGCAATCAAGCCGTAAGAACACGAACTTCGAAACAACCCCCTCAATTAGGGCTGTCGAATCTAAATTTAGATTTACTAAATCCAATTTTAAAACCCGTAAATTAGCAGAATTTATTTTTTAGCATCTAATTTATAATCTTAGCATAGTTTTAGTAGTATAAGGAGGGTACAAAAGAGAGTAAATATAGACAGAATTCAGTGGAAAGACTACTGAAAATGTATGTGGAATAGTACTTAGTTTGTAGAATTATCTATGCTAAACCTCTTCCTCGTTACTTGATTCGTTAATCTTAATATCATTCGTACCCACGTCAGTTTCGTCGTCTTCTTCTTCTTCTATTTGTATAGGTGCTCTCCTAAGTTTAATAAGTCTTTCCTCTATACAGAGGTTAACGATACTATGAATTTGTGTTGTAGCCCCGCCAGATATTAGGATATTCCGCCCCGAGGTCACGTTTCAGGTCATGTGATACATATAGGTAGAATCTAATTTATTATTGCTAAACGACTAATTTACTAATTATATCTAATTTATATAAATTAGATCTCAATGCCCAATCCTTTCCTAAATCCAGGTAAGTATCATAATCAGCACGGATGACAATGTGAGCACGCTCCTCGTACATAAGTACGGAAAGAGTCAGAAAAAAGATAGCGAGACGTCGTAAAAAGGAGTCACGCTCGTTCAGCTGAATACGGTAAATTTAGGGAATACTTGAGTACGGTAGATGTAAGGGGGACTGTCCAGCTATCTCTCGGTTCTTAGGGATAGAAGGGCAGAAGTATTGGGTTAACGCATTGTGCTTGTTTATGTGTAGCTTCTATAGCTGTCTACTGTTTGTGTAGAGTAGGTGAGTTAATCTCCGATATACGGGAAACTCTCGACCTCGTGATCTTACGACGAAAAGAAAACACTCTTTTCTATGATGAAACATAAGATCATCGAGTGAAATGAACGTAAAAGTTGTGCTGTTAACTACTAAGTAATTGCAATCTTTCCGTGCTAGAGAAATTATAGTCTTCTGTGATACACCAAGGAGCGCAATCAAAACACATAGTAGTCAACCACTAAACCGCGAATGCCTCCTCTATATGTTTTCTGCTGAAACAGAAGCTAAGCAATGTCTAGATACGAAAGGAGGAGTGTTGTTAGCTAACGAGTGGGTTCACATTAGCAGTAGGAAGGACTTATAGGAAAATTATCCTGGGCTCCTTTTATTTTGAAAATGGACAGTTCTAGGAAGAGTTATCCACAAAAACTTAAAAGGAATCCTCTAGGAATCCACCTATGGAAGTACAGATTCCATATAGGACTTCATTCGAAATCAGGGACTTCATTCGAAATCAGGGAGTAGGTAAGGCAGGTAGGTATTCATACCCAAGCAAGATAATTTAGTGGGTATATACTAAGTTCCTTCTAGCTTTATATGTTATTGGAGCTTTGTATGCTTATACTCCACTATCTATATTCTTACATGTATATACATACTATTCGCATATACTCACTTTCTACATGACCTCAATTTTTGTGTATACTCACCTTCTGCACATACTCACTTTTTACATGTCATCACCATACCTATTTATATTCACGTCCGTCCTGCTCATGGGTAAAGGGGGCACATATATGGGACCAGCACCTGGAGTTTAGAGAGCCCCGGGGTGCCACACGCTCTTTCTATTCCTATTCTTACAAACAGAAACAAAGAGGCTGGCTACAACAGTAGTATAGTAGTAGGGATACAAATGGTAGTGTACAAATAGGGATGGTGGTGGGCGAGAAAAGAGAGCCCTAGGGCCCGTACGTGTTCTGCTCTTAGGCAGGAAATATGAAATTGTTGAAGGTTCCTGCCCCCGCCGCTAGCTCTTATCGGTTGTTTGTCTGTCCTCACGTGATATAAAACATCCCTTATATCCTTACTATTCACAAGTCCTTATGATTTACAAGTACTTACTATTTAACAGTGCTTACTCCTTCATGTATTCACTTCTTCATGTATTCACTCCTTCACGTATTCACTTCTCTTATATATTCACTATTTACAAGTACTCACTTCTTTATATATTCACTTCTCGCATATATTCACTATTCGCATATACTTACTTTCTATATATACTTACTTTTTATATAGCCTTACTATATCTAACTACTTCTTATAGATATATCCTTTTACATTTATATATTTTCGCTATCTATATATCTTTACTATAAAATACACTTACTATAATCTATTCTTACTATTCCTAAGTACTTACTGTTCTTTTATTTTCACTTCTTATATATACTTACTTCTTTATATACCTCTTCCTTAATATCCTTACTTCTTTATATACTTACTTCTCTATATCATTACTTCTCTATATACTTACTTCTCTATACTCCCTTCTCTATGTACTTACTATTAGCTAGTTCTACTCTTACTACTAGTATTCTTACTATTAGAATACTTCCTATCTATATATACTTACTAAAGGTAAGTCCTTATAATATACTTATCTTTATTATTTATAAGAACTTACTTTCTATATGTATTTACTTCTCTATATATTCACTTCTCTATATATTTACTTCTCCACGTACTCACTTCTCCATGTACTCACTATTGGTATATCCTCCTTACCCCCCCTCACTATCCCACCCCTCACTTAATCCCTAACCCCTAATTCCAACCTTTCCCATCCCTATCCCCTTCCCCATCCGCCCCTCTCTTATACCCCTCACCATGCCACCCCTCACCATGCCACCCCTCAACCTTACAGCATCCTTACAAAAATACAAAAGTCCCTCTCTCCCTCCCTCACCACAACAATGTACGAGTACCTAGGTAGTCAGTCTGTTAAGGACAAAACAGGAGTGCCAGAATAAGCTGTGTGAAAAGTGGATTGGAGAGAGAAGCTAGCTAAGGGGCGAGCAGGGCTCTAATATAGGAGCTGACTGTCGACCTGGAAGTGTCCGGAATAGGACTAGCGTGTCCCGAAAGGGACTAGCGCCTTCCATAGAATATACTAGTGCCAGACAGTGGAGTCACGAGAGCTCGTGTCGTAACACAGTCCTAGAAATCCTAAATTCTCCATTCTCTCTCATCACGATTCTGACGCTCATCTCAATCTCTTCATCTCGGTTTCTTACAAATACCAGAGCCAAAGCCAAAGCCAAAACCAAAGCCATTCAATCCCACATCCTTACAACATGAAAAAAGAAAAGAGAGGGTTTTGGACTTGGGTACACAAAGTTCATGTACATAAATTCTATCATTCATCTCATCTCATCTTAACCCTATTCTATTAACACTCATTTCATTACCCCACAACACCCCGAAGCCAAAACCCAATGCACAAAAAAAGAAAAAGAAGAAGAATAATAATAACACACAAGAACCATATAATAACCCCCCCTCCCCAAAACTGCCTTCAAAATTACTTACGCCCATTTCCCCAAAGCCGCCATAAGTCCCGCGCCTACACACATACACCCATAAGCCAAAAGCAACATCTTCATACTAGCTTTTCTCATCTCAGGACTAAACATGAAATCATGAGCCATCAACTCCACCAACCCCGTGTAAATCAAGATCCCAGCAGAGATGGAGTCAAAAACACCATTAATAATCCGGGTACTCTGACTGTTGGGTTCTAGCGAACTCCTCACGCCTAAACCTGCCGCGATGGCGATCGGAGTCGTAAGTCCATATGCTGCGCCCAAAGCCCAGGGCATCCACCACTTTTTCTTAGGCCAGGCTGCCGTTGCGAGTCGTGAGCCGAGACCTAGTCCTTCGAATGTTTGGTGGAAGCAGAGGACTATATAGAGAACTACAAAGTCCTCGCCTGCTACCGCAAGCGTGAGACCAATGAATATGGAGTGGAAGATGACTCCAAATTCGAGGATGAAGAGACCGGTCATTTGGGCGGCGAAGTGGTCGTGGTCTGACACGTGGTCATGATCTCGTTGGTGGCCCAGATGATCGTCTCCTCCTGGAGGGTATGTGAAATCGTCTTCTCGTCCTGGGACCCCCGTGGTTTTGGAGGGGATGGTTTGGAGTTGTGATGATTCGGCCGTATGGGTGGAGTGGCCGTCTGAACTGTGGCCCATGTGTTTGGTTTTTAGAACCCCATTGCTTGAGGCGGATGTTTCTGATTTCTCCTTTCTGATGAAATCTCGTGCTGGGTCATTGGTTTCTAAATCGTGTGAATGCCCTTGGGTCCCAAAAACATCGAATCGAGCAGCCATGAGCTCAATGAAGAACATGACGAAAATGGTCATCAAAACGATTCCGGCTGCCCAATCATAATCCGTGATAGGTCCGGTATTACATGGGTTATTCAATGCTTCGTTTGCTGGAGAAAGTAGGTGAATAAATGCTGTGGTGATGATAACTCCACTACCAAAATGTTTCGTTATAAAGAATGCCAGTTTGGGAACGTGCATTCGTTTGGTTCGTGCTGCTGCAATGGGTAATAATGCTCCTAACATGGACCCAACTCCAATGACAAAAATTGAGGATATTCGGAGGCCTAACCGTCCATCATAGTCGTTTCCTGTGCCGCATTCTACTTGCACCGTAGGCACCGCGGGCATGAGGTCCGCCATGATGAATAACGACTTATGTGGTTTCCCTTCGCCCCGTCGGGAGATACTTCCGTCCGATGCGCTCCGTATCAAGTTGTCTCCGTGCTTGTCGTGAGCGTCGTAGTCTCCCGAACGTGTTTGGAAAGATCCGAGTAGGAACAAAGGCTATTGTTGTTTATGAGAAACTGCGGGAGCTGAATATGACGATGACGGCTGAAAACTAGTCTCCTCTGGGGATGGAGGGTTTGTATAGAAGAATTCTGGTATCCAAAACTAGAGTTTGATTGCTTTGTTAGAGGTTTCAACCAAAACCAAATTTGCAGAAGAGGAAGGGAAGGAAGGTGGGAGGGCGTTGGTGGGTTGGAAAAGAAATGGGGCATGGGCAGTTTGGGCGGCCGGTAGGAAATACCTTGATGGGTAGCAGGGCCCAGCAGCGTTTTTTTACTTCTGTGCTGACAATGACGCTTTCAACTTGACTTTGGAGGCTGCATTCAACACAAATATAGTACAAGTATTTGACTTCAACCCAATTTATTCTAAGCTAACTAGATGAGATTGTGGACGAAGATGGAGAGAGTGAAGGGGTCGGACGAGATCGAAAAACATTACTCAACCGTCACATATTGAATCAACAAACATTAATCTCAACGGTCTAGAACCTCTCACACATACGATTTACGTTATATATATACTTCGTAGGCTCCCCTCACACCAAGAAGTCATCCCCGCCATCGTGGAATTTGCAAAGCTTAGTCCGAGTACAGTACTGGTACCTCAGATATCGAAGTCAAATCAGTGGAGTCTTATGACGATCAGAAGACATGCAAGGCAAGGCGGTGTTCACTCGCATTGACATGCTCAATAGTTGGGTTTGACTACGCGGTGGGCAACTCGCCCTATTGGTTTCCATGCGATCAAAGTCTCCCTAAGGCACGCTCATCCTTGCAAGAATTCCATTTCCATTACCATTTCGCCGTCTCCGTCTTCTACTGTAGCCTTTAGGTAGACTCGGTAGAGTAAGGTGGACGCCGGACGGGAGGGGCACATGCGCCTCCAGCAAATCGCACTTTTGGTACTCGTAGTTGCGCACGAGTAACGACCATAGAAAAAAACACCTTGATGGGTAGTGGAGACATCCCAGTCCACTACAACCAATCACCCAACGTCATTTCTTCAGCAGCGAGATCCACAATCACAAGCCTCCCGCCCGGTTCCTTTTCGTAATGGAGACTCGAGTGTTGGATAACGAAAAGGAAAATGTGATGAAAGGAAAGAGCGGGTAAAGGACAACAAAGACGCAGGTGCAAACATCACATCGCTTCGCTTCTAACAATAACCACCTGTCCCTTGTCCAACCCCGAGGAGCAGCCCTATATCGTGATGGCGACTCCGCAGTGGGGGGGTTAAAGTTGGTGGCTGTTACTTTAACTACGATTCGCACACAATCGTGTCTCACCAATATTTTTGACAAGCGACCGAGACGGGGACGACGGGCTAGCGAATGGATCTCGACATCTCTCCTTTCACAACCGCAAACTGGGAGATGCAGAGCCCAAGTGCTGACGGAATCAGAGCACCTGTCAACTCGCACCGTGTCAGCATCCCAATAAATCATCCCTCCCAAACTCTCCATCCCCCACACGCTGCTTGCCGAGTGGACGAGATGCGCCCCGGAAACTTTTTTTAAATTGCGGCTCTATTCTGCCATAGGTATGGCTAGCAGTGTAACAATGTCACACAAATGCACCACGCATGCATCATGTACAATGACTGCAGAAGGAGGGATGGACGGGAAAGAATAACAATAACCTTGGCTGTGTCCCTATTTCCAACTCCGCCCCAAGTTGAGAGATGCCCAAGACCCCAGATTTGATACTGCTATATATTCTTTATTTGGGGGGCGCCAGAGGCGGAAGACACTTATTCGCCAAGGCATGCGAGGCAGTGATAGTGGCAGCATCTAGTCTAGTACTACTGACCTCGCCGAGCAAGAAGTCGCCGGCAGCTTAATACACAGAGCACTTTGAGGCATGTCTCTCCGGGCTCAAATTCATCGCGTGCAGTGTAAACTTACTCCACATTGCAGCGACATACTCTCCCCATGCAGCAATGGTTCAACAAGACAGCGGGCAGCGCGGGCTGTACCACCAAGGTACGATACCGCCTCTCGGGATGAACGCTTCCACGTGTGCAATCGAAAACGAATATATAGCCTGTAATGCATCGCTAAGTATGGCTTGTTCCGGGAGAGGGATATCGAACACTTAGTATGGAAGCGTGACACAAGGAGCACTTGGTGTAGGATAAGCATGATACTTTGTGCAATGTCTTTCGATATTGTCATCCTTCTTAGAAGAACCCGGAGATATACCTGGGCGACTTGACTTGCATTTCCTATGCAAGACCGGCTACGATAAGCCACAGTGGTCTTCCTGTCCTTCCAATAGGACCCTCTTGTAACACAGTGCGATTGCGTTGCCGCAGTATTGGCGCGCTTCCTTCTCAGGATGTGTGACACCTTCCCCAAGCTTACTATTCATTTGAATACGCGGCTTCTCTGCCACTTTTCTGATTCGACTTGGCTGAGTATCACCAATTCGGAATAGGAATATCTGCCTGGGAAGCAGGCGCTGCATGGCTCAGGACATTTCCCAAGCCTTCTGGTAGAACCCGTGCGTGTGGTACAACTGAGTATGCGAATTAGGCACGGCCATGTGTTTGTATAGACAACCTTCGGTGGTTTGACCTTGTAGATTGCAACTCCACGCCATGACTCTCACGATGAGTACTGCAGCTCCAATCCAATGGCTCTGAATGGCTGATCCCTTCTCTTCATATCGATCGATGATCCTAAAGCAAACAGAATCTCCTTGACCCTGCCCTCCCAAAGCAGGCCAATTTTCCAATTCTGGTCGACCCTGGCTTTCAAGACCCCTAAAACTTGCTCTGGTTCCGGTGTTGCTTTTTCTTCAAAAGGATCAAGCCTCCACTCGAGTTTTGCAGCCATACTCCTCTCTCTAACTCTTGGTGATCTTGCTTTCATCCTCCATAATTCACATCCAAGCATAAGATCACTCTCATAACTATAGACGTTAAAATCGAATTTCGAGCACAATGCCAAGTTATTCCCAGCTTTGACAGCATATGTCGTGCTAATATTGCCCATCAACGGATTCAGCGTCAAAGTCGCCGTAAGTGGTGTACCACTATGCGCCGGAAGAGTAGCAAACCTTCCCCCTAAACTGACACCTCCGGATTTATTCAGCGAGCCATAATACATCTCGGCACCTGCACTGAATCGGCCATAAAATCGATCTTCAGTTCTGGGAGGTTCCCGTTCTCTGATTTCCTTTCTAGGATCGGTCCCAAAGTTGTATAATCCTCGAACACCAATGAGACCTCCATCTGTCGAATACAGAGTTTCTGCACTGTATTTTCCCACGTCATATTGGTGCAGAGCCAATATGGTTGCGCCATTCTTCATTTGACTGTTGCTAACGGCTGAAAGTCGGACTTGCTGAGTCGGACTCAATCTTGATAGGTACAAGGCCTCCAAGGTGCTCTGTGGTAGGTACAATCGGCCATAAAATAACGAGTCTCGTTTGTCGATTCGTCTCCCATTGTGCCATTCCTCCCACATCCAAGCTTCATCGCGTCGGCGTAATTCTTGAATTTGTCGATACCCTTGTATTACTGACTTTAATTCCACATTTCCACTCTGCGATGAGGCATGTAAAGGTCGCGAAGTGTAGAGGTAGGATAATGAGCCATCAACAAGACCTACACTTCCAATGGCGTATGAAGTGGCAAAGTTCGGGGAGGAGAGCGAGGAAAGACTTAGACCGAAGCCGCGGGGAGTCTGGAATTCTAGTAAATCTGCAGACCATCAATTAGCATAGGCATCCAGAAATGCGCGCGATTGTTGTTACTTACCTCTCGCAGTAGCTGTCAATTGCGAATAGGAATTCTCACGATCCCAGTGAGTGGTGTCGTAGAAGGCTTGCTGAACATATTCCATGAACTCCAACATTTTCCCCAAGAATTAAACGCAGGCTCGAAGCCAGAAGAAAGTAGTCACGAAGGGAGGAAAAAAGAACGTAGTGTGAAAGTAGGTCGCATTGGATATTAAAATAGACTACTGTAAGTAAACAACGACCTCGAGTCTCCATGTTCCCCAGTGCCAAGACCTTTAAATCGGAAAATTCCCACCCCTGTCTAGCTCCACCCGCAACAACCATTGATCCGCCTATCGGGCGCAATCCAAATTCTCTACTTTATCGACCTTTTATTTTTGCGGCTCGATATCTGCATCCCACCAAAACCACCGATCCCCTTTTCGCAACAACACGCCAGCTCCCTCCCTCCCCCAAAACCCGCACAATGCCTAAATCCAAGCGCGCGAAGGTCGTCCACCTCACAAAAGTCGACAAGAAAGGCAAGGAGTTAACCCTAAAACTCTTCGCCAACGTTCGAGAATGTCTCGATGAATACCAATTCTGCTTCGTCTTCTCCGTCGACAACATGAGGAATACATATCTCAAGGATGTGAGGAGCGAATTGAGTGATTCAAGGTTCGTTCTTTCTCATTTTCCAAGTTATTAATAAATTCCCAATCGCGAATTCAAAATCCAGAAAGAGTTGTATTCAAATACTCTCCGATATCTTCAAGAACCTCGAATTCCAACGAGTACATAAAAGCTAACAAAAAACTAACCCAGACTCTTCTTCGGCAAAACAAAAGTAATGGCCAAAGCCCTCGGAACAACCCCCCCAGAATCGCACCAAGAAAACACCCACCTCCTCTCCCCCCACCTCCAAGGCAACGTCGGCCTCCTCTTCACCAACCGCCCCGTCGCCGACATAAAATCCTACTTCGCAGCCCTCTCAAAAACAGATTTCGCGCGCGCCGGAACCCCCGCGACGCGCGAGTTTACTATTCCCGCTGGAATTGTCTACTCCATGGGTGGCGAGATTGCAGAGGAGGATGACGTCCCGCTAGCACACAGTCTGGAGCCGGAGTTGAGGAAGTTGAATGTGCCGACGAGTTTGGTCAAGGGGAAGATTGCGTTACAGAATGCGTATACGGTTTGTAAGGAAGGGGAGATGTTGGATAGTAGACAGACGCGGTTGTTGAAGTTGTTTGGGGTTGCGACGGCGGATTTTACGGTTAAGCTTGTCGCGTAAGTTATTTTCTGTCTGAGAGGAAGTGATGGTCTGGGATTTTGGGCTAATAAGTTTTTACAGATACTGGAGTTCAGCCACAAGCGAGGTCACAGAAATCCCTAACGAGGAGGAAGAATTGTGAGAAATTTGTTATCTGGGATTTCCTATCATATCATACAAGTTGGGGATAAACTGCTGGCGTTGACCGGCGCTACCTTATTAGGGAAATCAAAAGGAAATTTTGTTGCTTGAGCCTCCCGTTTCTTACCATCCACCCACCACTTCCTTATTGAATAATACATAGCAAAAAAAGAATCCATCCGAGGCTGAACTAGCGTGGTCAGATGGTACAAAACCTTACCTCTGACCTTACCTCCAAGCTTAGCCAAAAGAACAAAAGGTCGTCCACGGGTTGAGTAGTAGACCAAGTCGAGAATTCGATACCAACCAGACTGACATATGGGCCGAGGGGTTTTGGAAGAACAGTATTCTCGTTTACCATAGAAGCCCCCTGAAAGTGGGGAAAGAGATGGTATAATCGAGTTGAACGTAAAGGTGCTTGCTGGCAATACTACCTTGTTGTGAACTGCATCGAAGAGATTCGCTTACCCCTGGTGATAAAGGGAAGAAAGACTGAATGATCGAAAAACCCACCGCAAGACAAACCGAATCATGCCTCGCTGCACAATTAGTACCTTCGAAGCTTTCTAGGGTCCTCATCGTAGCCATTGCTTTCGTACTGTCTCTTGCGTGAGTCGTCTTCGCGTGGTCGATAATCTCGGTCTCGGCTGTCTCTGTATCCATCTCTATCCCTACCATCTCTACCTCCGTCTCTACCGTCTCGTCCGGAATCTCTGGAATCCCTAGGTCTTACCGGCTCCATGTTGCTACCACTGCCACGGGCTGAGTCGCGATCGTTGTATCCTCGGCTTCCGCGATAACCACCGTTTCTGTCTTCATATGAGCGACCACCACCGCGAGAATCATACCCACCAGATGGTGCTGATGATCCATTTCGATCAGGGGATCCGGAGCCACCATATCCTCCACGGAAACCACCGCCGCTTGGAGTTCGACCTCCTGGGCCAGCTGGTGCATTTGGGGGAGCACTGTACCCATTTGAACCTCCATACCCACCGCCGCCGCCGCCACCTCGTGAGAAGCCTCCACCACCTTGGTATCCAATTCCACCACGTCCGCCACCATAGCCTCCGCGTTCTTGAAATCCTCCTCGGAAGCCACCTCGACTTCTGCCGCCATCGAATCCACCACGGAATCCGCCACCTCTGAATCCTCCAGGTCCACCAGGTGCTGGTCCTCCAAAAGATCCTGGTCCCATGGGTCGAGGGGGAACAGCCTTTGTATATCCACGGCCTCCGAGTCCTCCTCCAAAGCGGCGAGGTTTCCAGAGCTTGACGGTTCTACCACGTTCAACATCTACCTTGATGCGAAGATCCTTGATTCGAATTCCATCACAGGATTCTAGGGCAGCTTTTCACGAAGCGCGAGCAAGGCGCATTTGTCAGTTATTTTGCCCATTCTTGTATACCTTAAGTTGGGCATTTAAGAAGAAGGAAAGGAATGGGGAAGACAGGCAGCTTGAGGGCCATATCTTTTACATGATTTTTTATCGTTCAAGTTTCGTTGACAACACTGTGGGCAATTAGGGATGTGATGTGTGTTTACCTCTCATATCTTTCTCTCGCTCATAGACAACGAACGCATATCCACGATGCTTCTTTTTCTTCTTGTTTGGCTTTTCGTCTTGGTGGGTGTCAACAACAATGCGGATCTGGTCGCAAATGTCAGCAAACTGTAAAATAATACGATGTCTCATTGTTCCTGGACATACTCGTTCAATGGCACCAAATCTACCAAACTCAGCTTCGATATCTTGTTCAGTAGCTTCGTAGCTGAGTCGCGCAACAATGAGTGTCTTGAAAGCATCTCCACGAATGTTTGGATCTTCTTGTGGCTTGTCTGTTTTGAATACTCGTCAGCATATATCATGGAAGTAATTGCCACTGCGCCAAAAATCGGACAAGCGACAATAAATAGCAATCAAGACATAATTGGGTTCCCTCACAAGAAGTTGGAACCTCCTTCATCAATTTCTCCTGCCGCTCCTTCTTCTCCATCAGTATGCGATCCTTTTTTTGGAGCCATGACTCAGTTGGTACGTAGTTGTCGTTGTCCTTGTATTCCTGGAGTTGTGGAAGGAATGCTGCGACACCAGTGATGTTGGCGGTTTTGCGCTCACCTGGCGCGTGGTCAGATGGAGGCAAGAATCGCAGAGGAGGGCGAGGGGCGAAGAGAGCGAGGAGATTTGGGGGGAGTTTGTCCGTCATGGTCTTGTTGAGGAGTTGAACTGCCTGGTGTTGATGTGAATTAGATATAGCCTTAGATCAGCTGAGCTGATGATGAGTTTAGGTAGTTGGGAGAAAAAGGTGCCTGGTCGCGTCGCAAAGGAGTGAAATTGCCATGTCGGGGAAACCAAGGTCCGATTTCACTCACGTGCTCACAATTTTTGTGGCAGCGCGGGCAGCTTTTGAGTCCATAACTTTGGAAGTTATATCAACGCAAGCGCAATTACATATTGACAATGGTTATTCGCGCAATAAGAAAACCTACCACTGGCCAAGTAAGTCTGGACATCTAGCTTCTTTTTTCATTGACATGTCACTAATACCTGCCTTACCAGAATGGTGTCGGTGCATTCATTCTCCAATGTAAACGCCTAGAATTCCACTACTGCGACTGGGCCGGTTCCTCAAAAGGAATGAAGTTAGTACACTACTAGAGACTTCTGGTTATACTTAGCTAACAACTTGTGAAGCTCATTCATCAAATCTCGCCTTGGAAACTTCGCGCGCCTCAATCCATCCATCGAAATCGCCATATCCCCAAGACCTTCCAAACACCCCGTCATCCGAGGCCATTACATCAACGGTCGCGAGAAATCAATATGCGTACGAAATCTAGACGAGAACCAGATCTTAAAGAAGGCAGAGCTGTTACGAGATGCCAGTGGAGAGAAACTGAAGGTTGTCAAGAAGCCCGTCAAGAGTTTGAACGAGAGTGTGAGGGGTATCTGGAGTCCTTTCCATAAACCAGATGGTACAGGAATGACAGTCTAAAGGGGACTTGGAGTTGTATTATATGGTACAAGAGCATTTGATGATGGCGTTGGGGAAATTGGAAGTGTTTTATACGTTGATGTATATTTTGAGAATCTACGTTTGAGAGCTTCCGAGGAGGCTCAATCCAAAGCTTCTTCCATTTCTTCATCCATTTCTTCTTCCTGGCTCTTTTCGTCTAATTCTGCCTCTCCATCTCCCGGGCCTTCGTCATTAGGATCCTGTTCTCGCTGGAGGGATAAACCAAGAAGTTCAGCACCAAACAACCCCACCAGCATCACCATACACCACAGCCTCAAAATCCCACAAATGTATGTTACCACATACTTGAATAAGCTAATCCCTGACAGCAGGAATAACAAGAGCCCAATACTGTTTGATCTAGCTTCTGGATTGGCGAACCGCTGAAGAAAGAGAGATGTAATAGGTGATAGATAGAGTTGAGCGGTTCCCAGGAGCACGTCAAAAATAAGTCTTATTGTAAGAATGTTGTTCTCTGACATAGTTTTTGGTTGCCTCATTGCCGGAGTAGTGAAGTGGTTGTTGATATGAGTACAGGCAGGTAGATTTATAGTGAGGGAGAATCTGAATGGTCCTTATTAATGTTGTTTCGTGAATCTGATGGTGTCTATTCACAACTGGAAAGTAAGGGAAGATTGTAGAATCTGGTGGCTCGAGATGAGCTACAGTAAATGTCTCCTTTCATTTCTTTTTAAAGGAGCTCTTCAATGCTCTTAAACATTTATAGAGCTAAGCAACTTCGTTGTTCCTGCGCGTTGTAGGAGATTGAATCAGTGCTCTAAAAACTACTGTACTAGAACACTTTGTTGTATAATTGATCTAGTGCAGTCAAAGGCATTGTTTGAGAAGGTTTAGAAGAATTGATAGATCAATGTCTGGATTCTCCTGGCCTTTCAAGTAATGTTTGTATCTACTATTGTCTTAAAATATGCAAGTTGATCAGGAATTGATAGCTTCTGATAGCTATACTTGATGGACCAAACAAGGGCGTTCTTTTTCTTTTTCGTTTATCTGTCGAAACAATATATTTTAATAACATTCTACACAAAGTTTCATATTATAAGTCAAGGCCATTCCTGCAAGACAATAAGAAGTATGTCTCCCTTTCCCAAGAGAAGATAGGTGAACCCCGAGCCTTTGTAATTCATTTTCTTTGGAGTGGGTATGTATCTCAGGTAGCAGCATTGCCCTTTTCAACCTCATAATCTACTCCTTCAAAGCCTAGCATCGCCATGCAGTCACAAGTGGCTGTTAACGATATCCACAAACGCAGGCTTCAAACTGGCACCTCCGACCAAGAACCCATCAATATCAGGTTTCTTGCTCAAATCCTTGCAGTTCTTCTCACTCACACTTCCACCATAGATGATTCTGGTCTCTTCTGCAGCCTTCTCGCTAACCTCCTTCTTCAACCACTCCCGAATGGCAGCATGGACCTCTTGTGCCTGCTCGGTAGAGGCAACCTTTCCAGTACCAATAGCCCAGATAGGCTCGTATGCAATAACAAGCTTGCTCCAGTCACTAACCTTCTCCTTCACAGCTGCGAGTTGTCTGGTAACGACCTTGACAGTCTCGTTGGCCTCACGTTGTTCCAAGCTCTCTCCACAGCAGAAGATAACTCCAACTCCTCCATCGAGAGCGGCCTTTGTCTTGCTAGCAACGAATTGATCATCCTCGGCGAGGGTAACACGACGCTCGGAGTGTCCGAGAAGTGTCCAGCTGATGCCAGCGTCTTTGAGATGCTCAACTGAGATCTCGCCAGTGTAAGCACCGTTTGGCTTGTCGAACACGTTTTGGGCAGCAACCTCGATAGGTGCCTTGGCAACTTCGCGGGCAAGGAGGAGGTAGAGGGTTGGGGGAGCGATGACAACCTCTGTAAGAAGGTTTCGTCAGTAAGGGGTCTCTAACTATGCGTTGTTCTTTTTCTTTGGTAGAAAAATATCGTTGTCGGGTCTCACAAATTGCCCTCCTGATCGAGAGTTCCCGAGACCCTCAACAACACAACCAGACAAAAAAAGGAGAACTCAAACTCACCAGTCTTAGGATCCAATTTGGAATCATTCAAATGGCTGATAATCTTCTTGATGCCTTCAGAAGAGGAGTTCCTAAACCAAAATCAGTATCACTCTCTCCAACTCCCCTCTGTCCCGCCCAAGCTCTCCCCATCCAAACGACCCCGCGCTTCCCAGCAAAATCTGGCACGTACATCTTGAAGTTTCCACCGACAAAGAATTGACGAGCCATGATTGCAGATTTCCGAAAAGCAATGTAATTTAATTGAAGAATTTCGAAAGGGTTCGTAGGGTAGAAGGGTAGTTTTCAAAAACAAGGTGGGATGCTGCGGTAGCAGAGAGGTTCTTCAGACGTTGTCAAGCTGAGGTGGTGGGGGGGATAATTCAAGGAAGAGCCCCGCGGCCAATGACGCCCGACCATCTTGTTTTTTTCTTCTTCCCCCAATGCACTCATTGCGCGAAATCCCTCTCTCTCTCCCCACGTGAAATCTCTTTTCTTATTTGTATCAAGTATTCGTCGTGTTAATATCGTCCCGTCTTCCATCCCGATATCGCCCGTTTCCACATCCAATGATGTTTTCCCAGACGGGCAAATTGTCCATTCATCGTGTCGCGTCTCTTCAATTGGCCCTCTCGCGCGCGAAGTTGCTCAACCCCCGCGGCCGACGCAACCATACCTAGATGCAGAACCTCGTGGCAGCTCGAGGACTTGGGTATTTGGGTATTCGCCAAAGAGGTGTGTTGCATCAGCGTCAGATGGTTGGAAGATGCAATGGAACCCTCTTCGTCCTTTCAATCCCATGGTAAATCCCACGCTCCCACGCGAACGCCAACCATATAAGGACCGGGACACGCGCAAAGTGGCATCTACACTTGCTTCTTCTTCTACTTCTTCTTCAAGAGCTGTCACTAATTGAACAGAAATGGTATCATCACAATTAATGCCGCAGCGAAGGAAACTCGTTCATGTTCATCAGAGCATATCCTCTTTCGCAAAGAAAATCATTTCATTTCAATACATAACTCATTAAGTGTGTGTGGTATCATGTGCAACGTAATAATCAAAAATTCCCATGCGCCAGGCACCAGATTTGGGTTTAAACCAAATAGAAATCAATAGACGAGTCCGTCCAATCCATCCAAACACATCTGAACAATACTGATCAAGCATCGCAGGAAATCCCAAAAAAGATCCAATGCCCCCTCCAAGGAAAAGTGCCTACAACCAAAGAAATCCGTCTCGTAACGACCCAACCCCTTTCACGGATAACATGACCCAAAGGTTACCAACCCCGGGAGCTCGACGAGAAACTTGGCGTAGGAGAGTACTGAGGTCGAAGAGCTGGTATTGGTGAAAAGGGGTTCGGGTTAATACTCAAATTCCTCATGGGCAATATTCTCGCATCTCCTCGATGAATTCGATCTTGGTAATCTTCGACATCTCGTTCCTGGCGACGCAAATCGAAATCACGGAAAGGCGGTGGTGAAGGAGATCGAGGCATGGTGTTATCAGATTGAAAGTCCTGAAAGTCGGAAACAAACTGTTCCACTCGAGGAGGTCCTCGATGATAGTCCGGATACCGGTAGTCTCGAACTTCGGGGACAAAAGCTCGAGGCTGCTCATGATATCTTTCTTCTCTATGACGAGGAGCTACAGGTGTTTCGTATCGAGGTTCCAAGGCGTATTGACGAGGAAGGTGGGGTCCAGGGTGATGAGGCTCGACGAGACTATTACGTCTCGTCTCATAAGTGAGAGCCCGTACCGGTGGATCCTGTACCACAACGGGTCTATGAGGCACACGCGCTGGCTGGTGTTCGGCAAGATCCGCTTTTGCATCCATGCGTCCTAGACGGTATGCCTCGAAGGCATCTATGGCTGTAGCCACGGGGGCATTGGGTATGGTACGGGTGGGTTGAGGGGATGCCATGTTGTGCAGCCACGGCTCTGGGGAAGGTCCTCGACGAACATCAACATAATAATCCTTCTGATGGTGGCGGGGAGCTTCTTTTTGGAGACGCGACTGAGAACGACTCCGCGCACGAGAAAAGCTTCGACTTGGAGGTCGCCTAGAATGGCTGCGTCCGTGGTCCCTTCCATGCTTCGATCTGCTACTCATAGAAGTCATGGACGAATCTGTTCTTGACATCGAGTCCGAATCCGAGTCGTACGACGACGATCCGGAAGATGAACTCGAAGCTGAATCGTTATGTCGTGGCCCCTTTCTCCTGGGACTCTTTCCACGAATTGGGCTCTTTCCGCCATTTATTGTGACGATAGGCGGGTTTCCACCACCCCCTTTATTGTTTGGTGGCCCAGGCAGCGGGCCAGGTGGCGGCGGCGGCAGTGGTTGCTGCTGAGGAGGAAGAGGAGGGCGATTTGCATCCGCTCTAGCCTTTTCCATGGTCTCATAAAAGTGCCGGCAATTGATATGCGGGAGAGGACTCCTCCGCACGTATATCATCATCAACGTAGTTTCAAGTTTGGTGCTGGATTTGCTGGACGACTTTTTTCTCGAGTCTTTGCTTGACCGCCGAATTTCACGCTTCTCCAACTCGATTTGAGCCAATGAATAAGTATAGAAGGGGTCCCTTTCTCGCGATATCAAATCGTCCAGAAGATTTGTGACCTGCTTGTGCTGATTTGGAGCCAGAGCTGCCTTCTGCTCTGCTACAGATCGCTTGTTCTTTTCACTCGACCTTTTGATCTGCTTCGCAATTTCACCTTGTTCCAATCTTTCATCCACCACCTCGGCCCTCGCCCATGTGGGCTCTTCCCTAATGGTCGCCGGTGAGGCCTTCCTCACAGAGAAGGCAGAATATTGCGTGAGCATTTTCCTGAATGCCGCCTCGTCCATTGGTGGGACTGACGGCTTTGGTCTAAGATCGACCAATCTTGTCGAATTGTTCATAGGGGGAGGCTTCTGCTGCTGCGGAGCACCTTGAGTGTGACCTGGATGACCCGGGGGTGGTGGAGGTGGAGGTGGGACTCTGTTACCACCACCACCTGGTGGCCCAGCTCCAGGTCCTCTGAAATGTCCTGGGGGCGGAGGTGGAGGGGGAGGTCCTTGGTTGTTGTTCATTGTGACGACTCCTATGAAGGAAATCAATAGTGGTTACTGTTTGGCCCACGTGCAGATCTGACAATGACAGTGTCGGGCGACAAAAGGATGGACTGCGGTCAGATATATGGAGATATTAGAAGTTCAATTGGGTTCAGTAGCGTTCGTCCAGAGCCGCAAAAGGTCCGAACGGTATCGCAGCCTTGCTTTTTCAAAAAGGCAAGACAGGTTCAAGGATTGAGTTGAAAAGTGAGGCGATCGGTGGTTTGGTGGGGGAAGGGTGATATATATATCGATAAGGTGTCGCCTATTGTGGCGTTGCGATTGTCAAGGGTTGGTGAGGGGGAGCAAGACGCAGCAAGACGCAGCAGAACGGAAGATGCAAGACGAATAATAAAACTACAGAGCTTTGGGGAACGGGATGGAGTGACCACATATGGGCTTGAACAGGCTTCACCGAATACTTTTCATGCATGCGGGAAACCTTGATGCTTATCTCGATGGCCTACTTGCACACGAAGAGTCGCTAAATGACACCTGAGGTGTCATCAGACTTCGACGACGAAACAGAAAACAATCACGGCCCTCGTACTGTAGCGTTCTCGGCATGCAAATGCAAGCTCCAAGACTCGCCCGGACAGAGAAGGGGGGCCTAATTGCCAGCGCTTGTTGACTGCAGAAGTTCTTCCCGCTGGGGACTGTAGTACTGTATCTCGATCCTTTCAGTTCCATTTAGCGCTTTCTTTCCAGGCAGGAGAGCTAACATCCACTCGCAAGCCCCAATTGAATGAGGCTCATTGTGTGGGATCGGCCAACTAGGCAGAATTGCCGGCCCATACTTCCCTGTTTTCAAAGAGGAGAGCGCGAAGATGTCAGCACTAAGGCAAGAGCCCTTCATTACTATTCCCCTTTGAGTCAGCAGCTGCTTTTACCTGCAACGGCTGCGGACCCGAGGGAGTAGTACAGTACTCGTACGGTGCACTGCCATTGTGTAAGTTTTTGAAAAACCGCCAGGTCGTGTCAAATAAGAGCAATCGTCGCCATCGCAACACAACTGAGACAATGTGCTTTGGGGTCAAGCTAAAATTGTGATTCATACAGCAGCAAAGCAGCATCTGTGCAAAGAGACGATGGATGTCGTTGGGAACTCGCGGGAACGGTACGGGAGGTGCCCGTGCTGCTCTAGGGCTGGAAATGTGGAGCGATATTGTCATGTGACACATACCAAAACTTCCAAGGTTGGTAAACATGCCTGTGAACCGAGCACAGCCCCTCAGTGGCTGTATTGAACGGGAATCCAAGGTTGCAGTTGCAAGTATCAAGTACTCCGTATTGTGCTCTCATCTCATCATTCCAACTCAAGGGGAAACGGAAATGGTACACCCGACAATCCGTGAAATATTGCCGTCAAACGACACCACCAACATTATTTCCGCAACGCCCGAAAATGTCAGCAAAAACGAAGTGGGCGATGCTTGCCTACCTACTCCTTTGCTTGCAAGCTGGCGAGCGGGGCAATTGGATCTGCCTCACATTTGCGAACCATTAGAGCATTGCGAACCACCACAACAAAACCGTCTGGGTCCTCGCCAACGTCGCCTTGAAATCATTGCGCCCAGCCTTCCCTGGGAGTCAAGGTCGGACATCAGCCTACGGACACGGGAAATTGATGCTGGTCAAATCAAATCTCATCGCCAAAAGTTCCCTACAACGATGCGATGGATTGCCGAAGTTTCTCACAGCAGCACCGGGCGTCGAATTCTTGACCATCATCCAAACAACATTGAACCGTAGGTTCAAGTATGAAGTGCATCATGGACGCGTGCTGTATGGGAATTTTGATCAACAATAGGTCGGCACGAACTTTTGACGAACAGCAAAAATCTCGCAGCTGTGTCGACCAGCTGAGCAACCAGTTCCACATCCACGCATGTCTATGCATTACCACCATTTTTCGGCCGATGATCCCGCAATATTTCTTTTTTGATATAGAGTAATTGCCTGGATACACTTCCTGACAAGTTTTATACTCCATGCCTTGACCTTGTATTCGGCAATCGACTGGATACAACATCATCAAAACTCCCAGGCTGGGCTTTACCGCTCTTCCACTCGAGCCCAATTCCATAACCTTGTGCTCTTCGGCTGATCTTATCCTCCTAAATGGCTTCAGGATGTGAGTTTTCCTTATACATGACTATTGACAACACCAGTAGATACTCTTTTTAGAATCCCCATGCAAATATCACGCACTGTAGTTACATGTACTGTAAGTTGCAGAAGTCTTCTACATGCAGGGTAGTTACACTACACGAAGGACATGTATTATGTATGCATTTCACTCGGGCGTCCAGCGCATCATCAGTCAATGATGTTGGTGATTTGTAAAGGTTGTAAAGGGCAACTCAGATCCGTCGCCACGCAACCCCGCACCTATCCTTGCTGCAATAATGGCCCCCATCGTTTATTTTCATCCCCAAGTTCATCTCATGGTTGTCGTTGGGACCACATGGATACCAGCCTACCGGTCGCGAACTGCGATGCAACGGTACTACTGCCTCGATTGACTGATAGCTCTTGTGGCTTGCATTCTTCATGATGCTGAGGAAAATGATGAAGAAAATATCAAGAGCAGCCACATTTGCGAGTTCAGTAGAGTACCAATCATGTGTCTCGCCTCACATATAATTGATGAAGCAAGGCTGTCCGAATACGCCCAAAAGCTACATCAAACAGATCTCCATCGAGGAATTTGAAAAGTGATTTGTATGGATATTTCATTGAAGCGGGTAGTTCCCGTGTCTCGATAAGGGGTCAAACATTCTCCTGCCGTGGTGTGAATGGAAGCTTTCCAGACGTCCTGTCGGGCCAAAACTCATGCCGGGACACCAAAGTTAATTGGCGGTTGTCCTGTAAACTGTAAGTTTAATCTATTACACCAAGCTTCTCCCCCCAACACATCCAATCGCAAGTATCATGACGGCTCTGTTTTCAAGCCTCCATACTCTTCTCGATTCTCTCACCGAAGTCGGGCGATGTATTGATCGCCCGAGTTGATTGGGAATTGACCAATCTGCATTTCAGAAGAGTCTACCATTGGGCAATCACGATATTGGAGAAGCACCTGATGACCTTAGAGCCTCATGGTTCCATTCCACTCTTTTCTGGGCGGCGGCTTGTGGTTTGTATGACGTCCCATCCATCGGGTTCGTCCGTGTCAGCACACCCTCTTCTTTCTTTGCGGGTTTTCGAACACGAGGCAAGAGGCGAGGGGGTATTAGGTTCTTACCCCACACGCTACTGCAAAGTACTTTACATTTCACTTTACAGGATAGTATAGTGCTGTACTGGGACTGTGAAATCAGGTCGCGGGTGCCAGGTGGCATCTTTGAGGGACGATCACCGTCTCATTCTATCGCTTTCTGGTGTGCTGTCGTCGCAAGGCTCGGACTATTTTACGTGGTGTGATGCTTTGGAGGAACTTTATTTGTTGGTACTCTGATTGGCATTGGAAATCAAGCACGGATAAGTGTCAGATCAGTGGTCTGTTCTTTCCTTTCATACAGTACAGTACCTCGCGAGCCTTGTCCGAGTAGGAGGATATGAGATTTGAGTATCACTTGTTCATCCACTACGAGGGCTACCCAGTTCTGAAGGACACATCCCGCTGGCTTATTACCATTCCTACATACCTACAGTACTGTACAAAGTCCCCTGTACTGGTATTTTCCAGATATCACTACTCCCACTCATAACCCTCCAATCCTTCTTCCAAAGTTTATTTAAGCTCGAGCACGAGGTAAAGTACCAACTAGTACAGTAACCATCAAGCGTCCCGCGTTCATGCCGTCATATCAAGTATCTGTGCGTTAAGGGGAATGGAAATCATAGAATCCGCCGTGGTATCTTGATTTACAACGCTGGTGACGCCTTCCATTTGCCCTTGGTACCTTTTTTCGATTGACTTTTCTTTGAGGGCTCGCAGCGAGGAAGAGCCGGTTTTCAAGGGAAAAAAAGGAAAGAGACAGGTTGTTTTGTTTGGGTTGATAGGAACCGTAATAATGGTTCGTTGGCAGTTTATGAGATGCTTTATTTGAACACGTTTCTAAATGGGAACTGATGAACATATCTGAGAACTACTGTAAGCGAAGCGAGTCGAGCGAATCGGCTTCCCTTTCTTTTCTTTTTTTCAGGGTGTTTGTGTGTAGGATACGGAGGTAGGGATAATACTTAAGGCGAGGCTTTGGGAAAAGAAAAAAGATGGGGATATATCTAGACCTCGCCGTGGTAATGATATATAGAGCCTCATGTCCTTCTTCTCTATCTGTTAGTACAGAGATACCCGTGCCGTGCTATTAGCTAAGCGATATCCATGCTCTCAGGGTAAAGGAATCAATAAGACAAGTGCAAAACGGTGGAATGTAAATCGATTGCTGTATATACCAAAGGAGCGGAAAGTGTTCAAGTACTTAGGGTACTCGAATAAGTTGGTCTACGATATGGGAGAGCTAGAAAGGGGTGGGATATATCGTAATATTACTATATACTGATATATTCGTTCATTCCTACCCAAAGCCTAACGTACCCCTGTAGCCGATCTAGATATTGTGTCTCCTTTCTTTTCCCATAACAGCCCGCTTTCCGGGCTTTACTAGAAGTTGAGATTTTCAGAGGTATCGGATGTGAGGGCTATAGTAAGATATAGATGTCTAAGTGAAGAAGTGTTACTCACTCTGTCTGAACTTACTATTTACTATCTACTCTCTACTACTTACTAGTAGTCCAATTCACCATCTCATTCAGCCCAACCAATCCAACACTCCACTTCCAGAATCCAGAATCTAGAATCGCCTAAAGTACCATAAGCCCCACGATTCCCTCTCCTTCCCCTTCCCCTTCCCCTTTCCCTTCCCCTTCCTCTTCCATCACGCTTCCGAGAAGAGACGGGACTTGAGATGGGCCAGGATACTATATCATATATCTAGATATCTAAGAGACCAAGGCTATGTGATGCACTATAGCTTTTATCAGGATATCAGTATTACAATATCTAAAGTATAACTTATATATATCAGTAACGTTGATTCCCATGGTAGGTAAGATTCCTACAGACCATTCCGTGGAACAGAACAACGTTCTCGGATTTCGAATCCCGAGTTGCGAAGCTGACCTACTATACGTACCGTACCATACGATGAGAGTGGAGAGGTATATAGAGAGAGCACTATAACAACATCACTCCCATGCATCCCTTAGCCAAAAACGCAGTTACACAACACAACACTCCCTCCCAAAAACCCAATCGGTAAAGTCGCCATATATACGATAACCGAGTAGAAACAACAAATACCTCATCCCATCTGATTAAAAAAATAAAATACTGTACATCGGATATAGAGTGTTCACCAAGCAAGCTACCTAGTTCTAAAGGAACGTCCGGAATCTAATGATTTACTGCTACAGCTATTCCGATATTCCTCGTTCCAAGTCTGACCCTTCGACTGACATAAGAGTACAGTAACGAATCACAACTCCAGAAAATGGGCACGGAGTAAGCAAGACAGACACATATACAAGCACAAGCAAACAAGGCACCAGGAAATACAGATAACATAGGACAGAGAAATTGAGACCAATCTTTTTCATTTGTTTCTTTCTTTTCTCTAATTCACTCCACCATCACCACCACCACCATCATCACTCAACCCCTCTCCCAACTTTCATCTCAAATATACAACGAAAAAACCAATCCCTACCCATCACTACCCATCAATTCCCATTCATTCCAAAAAACAAACACCATTTGATACCCCTCATCCCATCCCATACTGTCATATCAATATCGCCCCAACCCCACCCTATACCCATCGTATCATATTAAAATATTAATAATTACCCTTCCATCCTTTTTTCTCTCCCCACCAATCTCAAAGAAGGAACAGTAGATTCCCCTCAATCCACTCTACCAAGCGAGTGTGCATACAGGAGTAAGAGGCGGGTAGGTAAACAAAAGCGATCCTGGAGAAAATACATGCATGTGCCATCGCAAAAGTACTGTAAACAAGAAAATCAGAATGACAAAAAAGGAAGTAATGATTCTTGAAGCCAACTGATTTCGAATTCCTCCTGAAAGAAGAATACATGATAAAAGAAGGTAGAAGGGCGGGCAAGCAAAGGGTATCTATCATTGCGTGCACCATCAAAAAAAAAAAGGCAATGCTTGAAAAATATCGGTCGTATACAAGGGGGGTACGGTACCACGAATGACAGCCGTCTGAAAAATATGATATCCGTTCTTTTATCTGGTTGGTAAGAGCTGAGCGGCTCGGAACGAGAGGAGACATGTCTTGGAGACAATTTCTTGGGGCGTACTCAAATCAGGCTGACCAAGGAAATCAGCTGCCTCGTCGAGGCGATGGAAAGCCACAGTAAGATCAGATCATCGTAATGGTTGTTTCACGTCCTGAACACCATTCGCAATCACCTCACGTAAAGTCCATCGGGGTGGCTTGACGACGCCTTGTAACCCATTCGCTTTTCTCCATTCGTCTTCCATTTCAGGAGTAACACCATCCGGAAGGTGTTCCGCTCCGCCGGCAACCCCAGTAGAGAACTTGAGTTGGAGAACATTGCCAATCTCGTCACATGCTGCGAGCAAGCGGTCCATATCATCTTTGTTGTGCGCAGCAGACACACAAAATCGGGCTCGGGAAGAGATCAAGGGAGTAGCTGGGTATCCAACGATAACGACGGCAATTTTTCGTCTCAGCATTTCGTGGGAGAATGCAGGCATCTTGGCAGGGTTGTACAATACAATAGGAATGATAGGTGAGTCGTCATGGCCATATGTGATGAAGCCGAGACGCTTCAATCCCAAACGGAGATATCGAGAGTTGAATGCAATACGTTGAAGACGTTCCTCACCCTGACCAGGAACGAGGTCACCAGAGATGATCTTAAGAGCACTCAGAATTTGCATCAAAACTGGGGGAGTTGGTGATTCGCCATAGATGGTAGCGGCATTTGTGGATCGAAGTTTGTCGATAATGTGCTTTTCCGCAGCTACGTACCCTCCATTGGCTCCAAAGGATTTTGTTAACGTGCCCATCAAGATATCAACTTCGGCTGGATCGATGTTGAAGTAGTCGCATACACCGCGGCCTCGAGGACCAAGTGCACCCACGGAATGGGCTTCGTCCACAAACAAGTTGTACTTGTACTTCTTCTTCAGAGCAACAAGACCGGGCAAGTTGCACATTGTCCCTTCCATAGAGTACAATCCCTCCACAACCACCAAAATCTTCTTCCAAGGCCGATGAGTACGGGGTTGGCCTTGGGAAATGACCTCGCGAAGAGTCTTTTCCAAATCAGTCATATCGTTGTGTTTGAATGAGGCAATCATGGCTCCTGAAAGACGTGCGCCGATACGAATCGATGCGTGGTTGAGTTCGTCCGAGATGATCAGGCAACCCTTTCCTACCAGGGCTGGGAAAGAACTGGCATTGGTACTGAATCCCATAGAGAAAACCATAGCAGCAGGTTTGCCAACAAATTTGGCAATTCTGTCTTCAACTTCAAGGGCCAAATCGGATGTACCGGCATCAGCACGAGGACTTGCGGAGCTGATGCCGTATTTCTTAATTGTCTCTTCGACGGCATCTGCACACGGACCTTCGGATTGAGCGAAGCCAAGATAATTGTAAGAACTCATGTTCAAGGTTTCGGTATAAGTGCCTGTGAACTGGTAATGCTCGTTGAAATCATCCGTCTTTCGGTCGATCAAAGTCACGTATCGACCAGGAACACCCGTGATTGGGCGAGCAAAACAATCGTCAATACGCAACTTCAATCTTCGTACGTAGAAGTTGTCGAAATCGTTGTTGAGGGCAGCATAGCCATCTGCGGCTTTCAAATGTTTGTAATGCTCGGGTTTGAAGCGCTTTCCAAAGAAATCTCTAACATGCCCAAAAACGATCAAAATGAGATAACTGATGTAAGTTGTCAAGAGGTAATAGTATGGCGGTTCATCGATAACGGGTTCTTGCAATTCTCCTCCCATATGCTTGCTCACATATCGGTGGCTTTGGCTCCCTAGTGGACCGAATTGAGCATCGATTTTTGCTTGTCTCTTTGCCTCTGCTACTGAAGGGGGCTGGAAAAGGGTGGTTGGAGGCTCGTCCATATTTGCTTCCCCGGCTTTGGCTGTTGAGAGAGAGATGGTGGGGAGTGAAAGAGAAGGGGCACTAATGTGCGGTGAGGGGTTATTTAGGAGATGCTGCTGCTGCGCTGCGACTGCAGAGAGCAATGCTGCCTGTGCGGTTTGCTGTTCCTTACTCTTGGGCGAAGAGGAGAAGAATTGGGCTAATCTATTCCCTTTCGATGTCGAGGGTCTTCGAGGTACGGCCCTGTCTGTTGAGGGGATCGAAACCGGGCTGGTAGTAGAACTGGCAAACGGATTTCGTGGGAGTCTTTGAGGCATTTTGACCATGGATCGAGTGTATAGATTTGATTTGTATAGCGGAAGGCTGATTTCGTATGCTACGAAAGTGAGAAGAGGCGGAAGTAGACTCGAGGATATGTTTTCGCAGGTTGTCGCAACTAATGAGGCGCGGGATATGTAATCGGTCACAGCGGTGTAGGTAAGTAAATGGTGGCTGAGCCTGGAAGAAGTGATGATGTTAGCGACGGGGTTCCTTGCGGTTTTCGACGCTCAATTGCAACAGATAGCCATGGTTTTGCAGAGACTGGCAGAAACTGGGGATTTGGTTGGGGAAGTGTTGGTACCAAAGACTTTGTAGTACAGAGGTCGGACTTGCTTAGAGCCCTTGTTGGTAATGAAGGGCGAAGCCTTCTCATGCGACGTTTCTTAGGGAGAACAAGGGGAAAGGAGGAGGATACATACCGAGTGGAAAGTCCAATTGCTCGTTCTTCGGGAATGCGATCCACGGGCGAGTACGGAGTACAAGAGTCGGCGATGGAGGTGGGGAAGGCGCACTTTGGTGTTGAGTTGGTCTCAGGAGGTCCAAGTCGGCGTTGTGTTGCGTTGCAGGTGCGGGAAGCTTTGAGGGAGGTGGGAGGCGGCGCCACCGTAGCCGTTACACTCTTTCCCTATGCCTGGCTTTAGGGGAAGGAGCAATCAAGAGACAGTGCGACAGCGACACTTTATGCGATGTTCTGCTATGCCAATAATGACCCGATGGTGAATGTCTAGCCAACGCAATGAAGCGACAGCATTTGGGACCAAAGAGGATGAGGGGAAAGAAGAGGAGCAGGATTTTTTCAACAACAACAGAAGCTTCCTGGGCAAGAGAAATGTACCGTAACGGTAGTAGGATGAAGTATCCCCGTCAGCGTCTCTTTTGTGAAATTGCGGTGGAGTGATTATGTCCCAAACATGCCGGCTCGGGCTCGGAGGATCGGGCACACTGCTCTCCGGTACTTCCGTTGGTGGTGAGAGCGGCGTTGGGCAGGTGCTGGCGGGTGGATGTGCAGAGGGGAGCGCAGGGAGGCAGAGGAGCAGAGAAGGTCTTAGCGAAGGTTGGGAGCCATGGCCCGTCGCCCATCATTGATCTGCCATCCAACACCAAATTGCACTGCGATGCGAGCCGCCAACTTGGAGCAATTCGTGTAAACATCATCTTAAATTTATTTACAACTCTCATAGTGATGAGTGCCTGAGGGGAAATAGGAGAAATAGGACACGTATCCACACTCAAAACACATCACCGCATCACCAGTCGGTGTCGCTTCGGTTCCTGTTCAGCTGCAAAACTCGCTACATCAGCTCAATCGGCATCTGAATCTCAAAAATTCCATCCGATTTCCGATCTTGTCTCTGATAAGCCGCTTACCAAAGCACTTGGCAGTGTAAATCCCCGTCCTGAAGATCACCACTTCATTTTATATTTTCAGAGCGTCTTGGTCTTCCTTAAAACCCCGGTCAAGTTGTCAACAGCCCTTTCCATGAGAGCATCTGAACTTCTGAAGACATCAAGAAAAGATAGTGTCAAGCCAATGTCAGCTGTCACTTCAATACATTAGCTTGCCTAGCCCTTTGGGTGAAATACCACCAACACATCGTGCGCTCATGGATCAGCTAAGCTTTACCTGCAGGAAAATTATCCATCGTCTGACCGTACCTCGGTACCACCAAGCCCGGTCGGTCCGGGTGCGGAGGAATGGTATAAGGAAGATGCTCAGTCCAGATTGCAGAAGAAACTGAAATATAGAGACACACGTACTTAACTGCGAGTATCATAAAGATGAGATGTGAATTACGTAGCAGTAAGTTCAGATATAGTGAGGGGCTTTATACTTCGGTATCCAGTTGATCTTGTCCTCGTAAATGACCGGCTCGGCTATGCATCCCGAGGGTTACCAAAAAGTCACCTTAAGCCGACTTTCACAAACTCAATCTATACATCCCTCTTTGACGTAGGGTCTCCCCATCAAAAACCCTATCAACGCTCTGGGTCACTCCCAATATCACACGACATAGTCTCCAATTCATGAACTAGTCGTTTTACTTAGTACGACATTCCTGAATAACCCCACCCCCATATCCGTTCCGCCCAACAAAAAATTCAAAGTAATTCACCAACGACTTGAGATTAAGCTTAACCACAAGAAGCCAAAACCTCAAGTCCTCTGGACCCCCATCGTGCCTAGAAGAAGACAGTCCACCTCGTTGATTCTCTTACAGTACATCATGGGAGACTCTGACCTTGACCATCCGATGCAGCTATGGACTCATCCATCCCCCGAGACCACTCAGATGTGGCTATTCAAACTTGGCGTGGAAAAGAAGTACAATGTTACTTTGAGAGACTACAAGGATCTCTATAACTGGTCAATTGACAATATTGCTGATTTCTGGAGGGAGACTTGTATTTTTACTGGGCTTCATGCTTCGGCCAGGAATCCGGGTGAGGTATCTAATGGAGTACATGGATTGCCAAGAGGGAAGGCCCCTGATAATTTGTTTGATCAGGTAGGATGAATAGTTTTCATTATGTTACTTGTTTCGTTACACATTCTCTATTATCTTGACTCAAATTGCTCTAAAAGAATTCAAGTATCCAGCATCATCAGCTATTCAGTGACACTCTTCCTCATCTTGAAGCTCAAAATATCGCAAAACTCATTCGCTAACATTTCCCAGATCCTCCCTCAAGATGCTCCCATGTATCCAAGACCAGATTTCTTCCCCGATATCTCACTCAACTTTGCAGAAAATCTCCTTTATCCACTCCACCCAGCTGGTTCCGTCAAAGATGACGATATCGCCATCATTGCTGCTACTGAATCAACGCGATCTGAGATAACCTGGAGCCAATTGAGAGAAAAGGTTGCAGAATGTTACTTTGCGCTTCTGCATCAGGGGGTAAAGAAAGGGGATCGAGTTGCTGGGTTTATTGGTAGGTTTTTGAAAGGGAAGTGGGGATTGATTACTTTTGGGCTCATTTGTGGTTTAGGCCACAATACGAATGCTATTGTTACAATGCTTGCTGCAACTGCTATTGGTGCTATATGGACTGCTGTTAGTCCTGATACTGGAGTGGGAGCAGTACTTGATAGGTAAGCTTTCTCTCGATTAATCCAAGGGTCGTGTCTTAGATTGGCATTGAAAGGGCATTGAGTGGTACTTACAATTCTTCGTCTTTGAGGCAATTTGAGTCATTAGTCCAAAGTTTTGGACTGGATGAATTCTGTGTACAAAAATGCTCTTTATTCGATCTTTTCGATTTCTCTGATACATTGAAATAACCATTTGAAATACCCCGGACGGGTTGAACAACGAGAGGGCCTATTTATTGCTCACGTTCGATGTCCATCACGAGCGTGTTTTACGCCTAAGTCCACCTGTGCTAACCAACTGCCAATAGACTCGAACAAATCGAACCTGTAATTCTATTCGCTGATAACGCCTCACTTTACAATGGCAAAACACACGAGACGACTGCTAAAGTCAAAGAAATCGTAGCCTCGCTTCCAAAATTGAAGGCACTGGTTGTTTTCGAAGCAATCCCAGGAACAGATATTCGGTCACAAATCTCGTCGTTGAGACCTCCGGCAGGGAATGTGTTTATTTATGATGACTTCCTCAAGTGGTAAGCAGAAATGGTGTCAGCTCCCTAGTCATATTTGCTAATATATGCTAGTGTACCCGCTTTCGAGGGCAATAAGGAGATCAAGTTCGAACGGTTTCCCGCTAGTCACCCTGTTTATATTCTTTACAGGTAGGTTGCAAAACTCAAGAACAGACTCATGGCTAACATCTTCATAGTTCTGGGACCACAGGAAAACCCAAATGCATCGTCCACTCCGCCGGCGGAACCTTGGTGCAACACAAGAAAGAACACATACTCCATGGGGACATCCTTCCAAAAGATCGATTCTTCTACTTTACCACAACAACATGGATGATATGGCACTGGCTTGTTTCCGGTCTTTCTTGTGGTGCTACCCTGATTGTTTACGACGGTAGTCCTTTCTATCCACACGGTCCCCTCACAATGCCGAAATTGATTGATGAGCTGCAAATCAAGCAATTCGGTACTTCGGCTAAATACTTGAGTGTTTTGGAACAGAAAAATGTCTTTCCGAAAGAGGAAGGATTGAGTCTTGCTTCTCTGAAAGTTGTATACTCAACTGGTTCTCCATTAGCTCCAAGTACAGTAAGTAACTCCCACCCATCCACAATCCACATTACCAAAATCAAAATCTCTCGAGCCCACATTACACGAGATTCAGAGCTAACACCCCGCAAGTTCAAATACATAACCACCGCCTTCGGGACCCAAGTCCAAACCGCCTCCATAACAGGCGGCACCGACATCATCTCCCTCTTCGGCGCCCCCTGCCCTCTAACACCCGTCTACGTCGGCGAAATCCAACAAGCCGGCCTGGGAATGAGTATCAAAGCCATCACCCCCTCGGGAAGCATCCTCACCACCTCCGACCCGGGGGATCTCGTCTGCACCCAGCCCTTCCCCTCGCAACCAACCACCTTCTACGGTCCCTCCGGCGATGAGAAATACAAGTCCTCGTACTTCACCACTTTCCCCAGTCTCTGGCACCATGGGGATTTCATCAAGATTAATCCCGTGACCGGCGGCTTGGTGATGCTGGGGAGGAGTGATGGGATTTTGAAACCTAGTGGTGTGCGGTTTGGCAGTGCGGAGATTTATAATTTGCTCCTCAAGTATTTTGGTGGGAGGGTGGAAGAGGGGTTATGTATTGGCCTACGGAGAGAAGGGGATGATGACGAGGTTGTCGTCTTGTTCTGCAAGATGTGTGAGGGCATCCTTCTTGATGACCCTTTGAAAACTGAGATCAAGGGTGTTATTCGACGGGATTTGAGTGCACGACATGTTCCGGGGGTTATCGATGAGTGTTTTGAGATTCCTGTTACGGGGAATGGGAAGAAGTGAGTTTTTCGCCCTCTCTTTTTTCCCCTTTTCTCTCTTATACTGTACCCCCACTTCCTATCCTGTCACTTGTAGCAGATATCCACATAGGTACAGACAAAGAAACAGACTAATGACTCATTGTGTACAGAGTCGAAGTCGCGGTCAAACAGATCCTTTGCGGGATCAATGTCCAGACTAGTGCCAGTGTCGCGAATGCCGCGTGTCTGGACTGGTACCGGGGGTGGAACGGGAGGAATTGAGGGTTGTCTTGTTAAACAGTATTGATTTTGCTATGGGGTATAGAACGTAGACTCCAGACGATGTTTGTGGGCTGAGAGGAAATTCTCGCCTGGGGGGAAGGAGGAAGGGAGGTTGATTAGAGATAATGATGCATATGAATATAAAGCATTGGTTCTTCGTCTTTTTGTCTTGAATTATTGGAAAATATCCGGTAATGGAGGTGATAGAAGTGATAGAGGTGGGAAGATTGACTGTTGTGAAATTTCTGAGTTATATATACCGTATTTATTGGTTTACAAGATAACATATTAATTATAAAAAGTCTGTCCAGGGACTAATATGAACCTTATATGCTAAAAAAAGTAATGTCTTAATTCAAGATTTTGCCCTACTTTTTGAGGGTTTATATTCCCCGCCACTCCTAGCCTTTTGTTTTACCCCCAACCTCATCTAATCTTCTAATTATTTAAGCCCATTCCATATTAAGACGTGGAATGGGTCCTGAAATCATTCCAAGAAGAGGCTATAGGCGGCTGGTTATAGATTAAGCGAGTGATAGGAATCATATCAACTTATCTAGTAGTAACCAGGAATAGCTTTAAAAATATATACTACCTTTTTTATATGCCGATTATTAAATATGCGTTTGCAAGTTCAGCTCTGAAATCCCGAGTCTTTTAGAGTATGTGGTGGTACTAAAATAAGTGTAGAAAGATTGATTTGAAAGTATCGATTTTAGATTCTAGCTCTCTAATTGGTCAGAATTATGAGATACTAATCCTACGAACGTTTGGAACCATATACGATATACGTATGTTATCTTAACGAGGAATGTTATTTTGTAATCCAATTAATACGGTATATGTTCTTGTTATAGATATCTTTTTATGATGTATATATTCTTACTATGTTTATACTTACTATACACAATACTCACTATTCATAATTCTCACAAGAACCTCTTCTCACAACAACCTCTCCTCACAACAACTACCTCCTACTATCTACCTCCTACCATCCCCCTAAATAATACAGTCGCTAGAAAAACATACATATCCTTAGAGTAAAGATAACTTAAATAAGTAAATAGAATAACTATACTCAATTAATACTAATATATTAATACTTGGAACTATAGATTCAAAAGGAGGGGAAATGAATGAGTTTAGAAAATAAAGAAATAGAGGAATGAGGGAGGAGGTAGATTAGTAATTAAAAGGTAAGAAAGGAAGAATAGGATATGTTTATAGGAAAGTGGGGGAGTGGGTATGTGAGGGAGTAGGTATGTGAGGGAGTGGGTATGTGAGGGAGTAGGTATGTGAGGGAGTAGGTAAGTTAGGTAGGGATAAAGTAAGGAGGTTAGGGAGGAAAGAAAGGAAAGAGTAAGGTAGTAAGAAGTGAGTTAGAATCAAGTAAGTTAGAGAGATAAAGTAAAATAGTAAGGAAGTAAAGAATAAAGGAAGGAAAAGGAGCTAGAGAAAAGGAGTTGTTAGGGAAGTGAAGTAGTTAGGAAGTAATATAGTTAAGGAGTAAGAAAGTAAGGAAGTAAGTAAGTTAATACCGAGTAGATAAGTGAGTTAGCAAGTAAGTGACTTAGTAGGCAAGTAAGATAATAGGTAAGTGAGATAATATAAAGTAAGTAGAATAGGAAGTAAAAGATGAAGGAGTAAAGTAGTAATAAGTAAGTGAGTTAGTAATAAGTAAGTGAGTTAGTAATAAGTAAGTGAGTTAGTAATAAGTAAGTGAGTTAGTCAAGAAGTGAGTTAGTCAAGAAGTGAGTTAGTCAAGAAGTGAGTTAGTCAAGAAGTGAGTTAGTCAAGAAGTGAGTTAGTCAAGAAGTGAGTTAGTCAAGAAGTGAGTTAGTCAAGAAGTGAGTTAGTCAAGAAGTGAGTTAGTCAAGAAGTGAGTTAGTCAAGAAGTGAGTTAGTCAAGAAGTGAGTTAGTCAAGAAGTGAGTTAGTCAAGAAGTGAGTTAGTCAAGAAGTGAGTTAGTCAAGAAGTGAGTTAGTCAAGAAGTGAGTTAGTCAAGAAGTGAGTTAGTCAAGAAGTGAGTTAGTCAAGAAGTGAGTTAGTCAAGAAGTGAGTTAGTCAAGAAGTGAGTTAGTCAAGAAGTGAGTTAGTCAAGAAGTGAGTTAGTCAAGAAGTGAGTTAGTCAAGAAGTGAGTTAGTCAAGAAGTGAGTTAGTCAAGAAGTGAGTTAGTCAAGAAGTGAGTTAGTCAAGAAGTGAGTTAGTCAAGAAGTGAGTTAGTCAAGAAGTGAGTTAGTCAAGAAGTGAGTTAGTCAAGAAGTGAGTTAGTCAAGAAGTGAGTTAGTCAAGAAGTGAGTTAGTCAAGAAGTGAGTTAGTCAAGAAGTGAGTTAGTCAAGAAGTGAGTTAGTCAAGAAGTGAGTTAGTCAAGAAGTGAGTTAGTCAAGAAGTGAGTTAGTCAAGAAGTGAGTTAGCAGGTGAGTGAGTTAGCAAGAAGTGAGTTAGTAATAAAGTAACTTAACAAAGAAGTGAAGAATAGAGTAAGGTAAACATTATACTATACCACTCTACCTACGAGTACCCAAGGAACAACACTTCCCAATTCCCTGATCCCAATTCCAAGTACCCTATACTCTCACAGCATCCACACACCCACCTCATCACTCCCAATTCACCCCCATCCCCGTAAAAAGGAATCTCATCCAAACAACCCACAAAAACACTCACAAACCCCCTCCAAAGAAAAAAAAACCAAAAAAAACTACAAGACCAATATATTCATTACCCCATTCTCTAAATTAAGCCCCCCCCTCCCTATCATCTCCCTTTAGAACTTCCCCCCCGCTCCACACCACCTGCACACAGGTACCTAAACCTCATTACCCCA